GTGCCAGTTGCTGTGCAGTCGCATCAGAAGTCTCGCTGATTTGGCCTTCCTCGCCTGCTTCTGCGTTGCCAGTCGATTGGGCAGATGCATTCGCTTGAGCAATGGCTTCATCACGAGCGGTTCTTGCAGCATTGAGTTCTTGCTGGGTGGTCGCGAGCTGCGTTCGGATCTGCTCCAGTTCCTTCTGGAGTGTCGCGATTCGCTCCTGGGATTGACCAGCACCCGCACTCGTTGTTTGTGCGTTCGTAAGTTCCTGTCGAATGCGCTCAATTTCCTGCTGCAAGTCTGTAACAGATTTCTGGGCCTCGTCTCGCTCAGCAGTGCGCGCGCTGATTTCGTCGTTCTTAACCTTCATGCGCTCGTTGTGCTTCTTTTGGAACTTCTCCCTTTCAGACTTCTGGATGTTATCACGCTCGGCATTAGCAGTTTGTACCTCGCCAGTAAGGGCTGTGATCTGCTCATTGAGGCCTGCCACTTGCTCGAGTGCCTGATCGCGCTCAACCTTGTAGTCTTCGATCTGTTTTTTGAGATCCTCGAGTTCCTTGGGATCAATGCGATCATAGCGTTGGAGCACATCTTGGTGGCGCTTCTGCCAACGGTCGCGGTCCTCTTCGACAGCCTTGAGATGACCGACGTTGAGCTCCAGCTCACCCTCAAGCTCGGTTACGCGAATTTGCAAGGGTTCTAGTTGAGCCTGCAGGTCTTCCAATTCCTTAGCCTTCTCGGCGAATGAGGCTTGAAGACGAGTGTTTTCACTTCGTAATGTCGCATTGCTCTCACGGTAAACATTGAGCTCTTCGAGGTTCTTGTTAAGATGTGCAAGGCTGGAGTTGCTGTGGGAACCAGAGGCCTTGGCCTGCTCTTCCAACAACTTCTCTCGGGTTTGGTCGAGCTGGCCTTGGGCGTGCGTGAGTTGCTGCTCCAGACGCTTCGACTCTTGTACCTTGAGGTTGAGCTGCACCTCCAAGATCTCTTTCTCGCGGCGGAGATATGTCTCGATATCCTGGAGATTGCTTGAGCCGGATTCTGCGGTACCGGTCTCACCAGCCGCAGCACCCCGGTCATTCTTTAAGCTGTTGATTTGTTCCTTGTATTCGTCGAATTGCTTGAGCAAAGTCTGGTTATATTGCTTCAAATCATCATGGCGGCGTCTGGCTTCAGTAAGCTGCTCCTCATACCGACCCTCGGTAGACTTCCAGTGGTCTTGGCTTTGCTCCAGTGTCGTTCGTGCAGCTTCAGCCTGTGTTTTGAACTCTGTGATCTGAGACTGAAGTTGGTTGTGCTGGTCTCGTAGTTCGCGAAGCTTCTCCATGCTCTCGGCGTGCTTCTGGAACTCATGCTCGTAGTCCTTCTGGGCACGCTCTGCAATGTCGGCCTGGGTCTTGACGTATTGTGTTTGGTTTTCGGCCTCGGCCTTGTAGTCGGCGACGTCATTCTTGAGTCGGGTGATTTCTGCCTCCAGGGTTTCCTTCTCTTGCCTCAGTACCAAGGTGTCTTGCTCATGCTTGCCCCTCAGTTCAGTGAGTTCGGTGCTACTGGTAGCAAGCTCAGATGAGATGTCCTCAACACGCTGCTGAAGGTCGCTGATAGTTGCGTCCTTCTCTTCTTGTGCAAGATTGAGTTGCTCCTGGAGTCGTTCGTGGGCTTCGACGAAAGTCTGTAACCGGTTTTCGGCGTCCTGTGCGATATCCTGGAAACCGGCAATCTGGGCAGTAACAGCTTCAAGGTCCTCCTCCTTGCGCTGAATCTTGCGCTTGAGATCTGAAACTTGTTCGGCCAGCTGTTCCTCACGGCTGACAGAATCCTGCTCTTCGCTCGAGCCGTTGGTCTGTGGCTGGAGAGCCTGTACGCGCTCCTCGGCGGACTGGAGCTGATTCTGGAGGTCCTTGATGCGTTGTTCCAGCTGTTGGCGTGTTGATTCGGCAGTCGCAGACTTGACCTCAGCACTATTGCGCGCGGCGATAAGATCGTCAATTCGTCGTTGCGCTTCAGTCCGCTCGTACTCCCGCTGTGCACTAGCCTTCTTATGCTCCGCAATTTCATCCTCCAGTTTGCTTTCGGCACTCTGCAAGTCGGTCCGGAGCTTGTCCACCGTGTTCTGCAATTCGCGCCGACTCTCCGCTGTAGCCAACTCAGCTTCATTGCGCAAGCTTTGGATTTGAGAAACCATGTTGCTCAACCGATCGCGCTCACTCATCAACTCTTGGTTCCTTTCTTTGAGACGAGCTTCAATCGTTGCGGACATTTGTTGAGATGCCTTGAGCTGGACCATCTCGCCTTGTAAGCTCTGCAGACGGGCCTCGGCTTCAGCGGCATTTTGAGTGGCTTTGACAAGCCTGTCGTCCTGCTGGGCCATAGTCGCCTGGACTTTGTTGTAGCGTTCTTGAAGCGAGTCCTTCTCAGATTGGAGCAATTTGATGCTTCCCTCCAGGCGAGCATACCGGTCCTGCTCTCGACGCACCTGCGACTCAAAGCGGAGCTTATCACTTTGAAGTTGTGAGTTATCCTTGGTGAGGTTGTCGACTTGCGCCTTGAGTGTGGCGCGGTCGGTGGCACTCTCCTCTTTAAGCAAGTCAATATGGGACTGAAGGTCCTTGATGAGCTTGCTGTACTCTGGAATGTCGCGGGATTGCGATCCATTTTCTAGCAACAAGGCACCCCCGGTCGCGGGCACTGACTGTGCAAACGCAGACGTTGACTGGGAGAAAGATGCTTGCTGTCCTCGGCCGCTGACTATACGGCTGTACATGTCGCGTTCAGTCTTGAGGGTTTGCGAGCGAACGTTGAGGGACTTGATCTCTTCTTCCTTCTCCGCAACCACGGAGCGCAGGCGACCAAGCTCCTCGATGTCGTGTTGGTATTGTTCAGACTTCATTCTGACCTCTTGCCTCTCCTGTTCGTCGCCCACTTGTCGAAGAGTGCGTGTCAGCTCGGCATTTTGTTGCTGGAGGCTAGCGATGTCCTTGTAAAGAATAAGATGCTTGGTGATCATGCTGTGTGTAGGCGAGTCTTCGGGTATGTGCTGGTCAGGCACTTCGTTCTTCTCGATAGCGTTGATGATGAACTCCTGCTGTTCCTCAGTGAGACTACCTAGACCCTCCTCTTCTACTTGCCGACGCCATAGCAAGGTACGTAGCTGGATCGTCATATCCTGGACCTGGCGACGCAGGAGACCAGATTCGTTGTGTACGCCTTCCAAGTCACCCAAGGCCTTGCGCGAGTCCCGTTGTGCTGCCTCGCGTTCGGCAATAGCTTCCTCGAGAAGGGCGGAGACTTCGTTGTTCTGCTCGATGAGCGCATCGTTTTGACGACGAATTTCGTCAAATTCTGGCTGGGCCCGTTCCATCTCTTGTAGCATTTCATTGAGGACGTTGGTCTGCTCTTCTTGCTTCTCGCGGACCTTGCGTAGCTCCTTCTTGAGTTCGTTGTTCTCGATGAGTAGCTGAGTCTTGGACGCATCGGTCTTGAGCTGCGAGCCGCCAGGAGAGAAAACGACGGCGGGCGAAGCTGCTCTGCCTGGGGTGCTGAAGCCGCCGTTCATGCTCATGCCATGTCGTGGTGTTCCAGGGACACGGACGGAACTTCGAAGATCGGAGTTGTCGCTCTTGAGGGTCTCGACGAGCGTCTCTAGCTCAGCAGTGCGCGCATCGGCTTCGGCAGCCCTTTCGCGTTCCACCTCGACTTCAGCCTGCAGTTGCCCGATCTCGGTGGCAGCCTCCTCTTGGACGCGGCTGCTGTCTGCCTGCAGCTGCTCCAGGCGTTTCTTTGTCATCTCATTGTTCTGCTGATGCAACGTCGACAGGCGGCGTGCGCTGTCGAGCTCGATGCGGAAGTGAGCCTCGGCAGCTGATGCTGCGTTCTCCAGCTCCTCGATACGCAAGCGATCCTCCTCGGCCTTGCTCTTGAGCTCCTCAATGTGTTGTCGCAACAGTGTCTCGGCACGGCGCAGTTCATCAATGGTCTCGGCGGCATCGGCGTTCTCGCGCTGGAGCTGGGCAATCTGCGCATTCTTCTCCTTTCGGTATTTGCTGTGGTCGTCGGCGCGTGTCTTGAGTTCGGTCGTGTACCAGTCGTTGTTGCTGCGGAGTTGCTCAATTTCCTGCTGCAGGTTGGCCTCGCGGAACTTGACGTTGGTGGCAGCGCTCTCAAGAGACTGTGTCTTCTCCTCGAGTGCCGACACCTGCTTGCGCAGCTCGACGGACTTCTGGTGTTGCTCGGTAAGCTCCTTCGCGAGGCGGTCGTGTGCGGTCGTCTTGGTTTCGTGCATGGCAATCATGTCGCGGTTCTGGGACTCGAGCGTCTTGATGCGCGACTCCAGCGCCTGCGTCTCAGACGTGGAGCTGCTAGCCGTGGCCTGCAGGTTGTGCAGTGCCGACTCTGCCTCTTGCCGTGCATTTTCTGTAAACGCGTCAGCATGAATTGGCGACGGGTAAGCTTTGCATCTCATACCTTCCTGGACAAGCTTCTTCTTCAATTCCTCGGCCTCCTTCTGCGCCTTCTCTGCCGTGGCCTTCAAGACCCGCGCGCGCTGCTCGCCGCCCTGGATAGCTGCTTCGAGCTCGACATCGGTGCGAATCTTGTCCGACTGCAAGTCATCGTAGGCGCGTGCCTTGGCTTCGATTTGGGTGAGCAGCGTCTGGACTAGCTCTATGGTGGGTTCGGATAGTAATGACTGTAGCGTCGTCTCGGGGACGGAGTAGGACGCGGCCAGGTAGCCAACGTCGACCGTCGCCGCCATTATCGTGTATTAATCTATTGGGGACGTCGAGGCATTCTCCAGAGTCGCTCGACGAGTGCCCAGAAAGAAAGGAGACAAAGGAGGGAGGGCGGTGTTGTTGACGCGAACAATGAGCGGGTCCACAGGTCAAAGTCGCGAGTTGCAGTTGTTTGACGACGTTCGCGCAGGGGCCAGGCTCTAGCGCGGCAGCCTTGAGGTCATAGCACATGTCCGTCTTTCTCCCCGACGCTTCCAGTCGACGTCTTCGCCAACAACACCTTCACCCACTCCTCCCTAGCACCTTCCGCCGACCCACGCTCACTACCGTCCTATTACTCCTAGCAGGGCGAGACTTTCGCTTGCGACTCTTTAACTAGACGCCGCACGCCCCGACCGCCGACATCGACATCTCCCATCCACAACTACAACCAACTACGCCAACCATGTCGTTCCTCAAGGCAAACTCGGCCACGGCCATGAATGCCCCTTCACCCACACCCTCGTCCTCGTCCGCTAGCGGCAAGCGCAAGCGTCCTGCCGATGGAGCGCCCCCGGTCGTCTACTCGCAGCCGCAGGACACAGGCACCGGCGAGCATGTCTTCACGCGCCTCACCTACGTCAACGACTTCCTGCGCGAACGAAAGGACAAATGGCACACCTTCGATGACATAATGGAATATCTCAACATCCCGCCCGGTCACATCCAGCGCGAACAGCTCCGCCAGCTCATGCGCGCCGACAACCAAGGCAACAGGATCAGCTGGGACGCTGCGAACGAGCGCTACAAGTACAAGAGCAAGCTCAGCATTCACGACCGTGCACAGCTAAAAGGCCATTTCCAAACGCAAAAGTCGGCCATGGGACTTCAGATCAAAGACCTGAAAGATGGCTGGTCCACCGTGGCTGATGATATTACAAAGATGGAAGACAAGAAGGAGGTGCTGGTGCGACGCGCCAAGGACGGCGTGCCAAAGACCGTCTGGGGCAATGACCCCTCTCTCATGCTGCCCATGGACCCCGTCTTCGCAAAGGCGTGGCACTCGGTTCAGGTACCGGATAACCCTGATGAGTTGCGCAAGGCCCTGTTAGCCAACAAATTGACCGCTGCTACCCAAGCCAAGGTCATTGTTGCTGCCCCTACGACCAAGAAGAAGAAGGGTCCTCGTCGTGGTGGAAAGCAGACCAACACCCACATGATTGGTATTCTCAAGGATTTCTCTGGAATGAGGAAGTAAATTCTTTTGCTTTTGATGCATAGCGAAGGCGTTTGGGGTGGTTTTTTTTTCCTCTGCAACGTGGGAAGACTGTTGAAACTGATTCAAATTGGTATAAGTCATGTACATTATGCGTTATTGTTTTTGCCTACGATTACTCTTAACACTACATGAGAAAGTATGTAGCCCAAGATTGCAACTCTCTTCAAAGTTTGCCAACCTTAGACCAAACCAATGTTACAACAAAGCACCATCAATTTTCAAGTTAATGGACCCACCGTTCTATTATATCTTTAAATACAACGTTCTTGCTGTGCCTGTAACACTATCGAAACCGAACCCGACACCTAGGTTGTACAGTGAAGCCTGAGGCTGAACGCGACAGCGAGAAAGGGGACGAAGGACTACGCTAAAGGAGCCTCTTCCTGCTTGTTCAGGAATGTTTTGGGTGCTACACTCGACCTCATAGTGGTACAAAACTGTAGCATGGACCGGATGAGAATTCAAATCTGGTGTCTCTTCTAGTCCTTTGCACGTCATCTGGGTTTCAGCTAGCCACTGACTTAGGAGACGGTATAGTTTCCTTACCACGTCCCTTCCAGTACGGCTCTTTCTGCAACCGCTCATCAACGAACCGTTCAGGGAAGCCGAGATCTCTACTAGCCTCATAGCCATACTCCAAATCGCGGATCCGAGCATCTTCACTTGATCCCCGTGGTTCATATACCACACTGCCCGCCTTACGAAACATCTCGTTCTCTTCCTCGAACCTGACCTTCATGTCTTTGAGTATTGCAGCGAGATGTTTCTGCTGTGTTGCGTCGATCCATACCTTTGCGCATTCTCGGTTGGTGCCCTTAGTTGCCGTTGGCTGCCATTTAACATCTGACTCCCATTCAATATCTTCGTTCCAGCCCCAAGGTCGCTCGATGGTAAAAGGACTGCCTTCATAGAACATGTCGCACAATATAACGGTAGTTCTTATTCCTCCAACAGCGGCTAGCTGGCAGATCGATGCTATTTCGTCAAACCATTCGTCCTTCCAGTCCAGCAGGGGAAATTCGATACGCAAGAGACGTAACTTGGGGAAAGCATTCCACTTGTTCTGCACGACATCATGAAGCGCTGGGAGTAAGCAATTCGAGGCGAATGGGAAATCTCCGTCATGTCCGCCGACCCGAGTCTGGTCATGGGTCCTCGTAATCCAGAGCTCTTCTAGGTTTTCAGGTAGCACAGACCAAAGTTGCTCCTGAGCAGAACGTTGCATATTTGCTTGGCGAAACAGTGTCCTGTGAGACCATATATATAGAGGAGCCACTCTGAGTCGCTTCAGCGCAACGAAGGACTTGAATGAGCATAGTCCAGGATTATCGCGAATTCGTTTGTCATGATAAAGATAGGCACCGTCGTAGCTCAGACTCAGTCCTTCCAGCGACTCACAATGTGGCTGCAGGCTCTTCATGATTGCCTGGTGATCCGTACCACACCAAGACCATGATCGATCGCCAATCTCGTAGCTAAACGTCTTCAATTTCCCGGGTATTGTTGCATCCATCATAAGCTGGAAATGGTCTTTGTGTAGTTGGGAGCGACGCAGTTCGATGTATTCCACCGGGCATGATCGAAGTGGCAGCGTTGCGAACGGATTCTTCGCATCTTCCAAATCCGGAGGATCACCCATATCCCCAAGCCTCCATCCGTATATAGAGCGGACATTGGGAAGATGGAAGAAGTTTGCCAGATGTAAGGTGTAGTTGGAGTACCTGCGCACCGGCCCTGTGAATCTGACCATGATGTCGATATGGTCTGAAACTGCAGGCAGCTGTACTACCTGCGATGGGTTACTCGCAACGCTTTTGACCGTTTCCTTTGTGGAGCCGCAGCGTGATCGTAGCTTATTCATGATTTTAGGCCACAGTAAACGGAAATCAACGTGATCATTGCGCGACACTGGAGATACCGTCTTTGAGTCTGCTGGGGCTTTGCCAGTGCTAACCCTGAAATCCAGTCGTCGTAACTGGGGAAGACAAGCGAGTAGAACTGCCATGATAGCATCCTCATTCTCGCCAGATGAAATCTTACCATAGAGTTCGTTGGCCTCTTCTTCGCTAGACGTAAATGCTGCACTCTTGGCCTTCAAGACGCTCTGCACCTCTGTATCTTTGAGTTCAGGCCATGAACAGTCACGAGACTTCCCTTTGGTCCTTGCCCATGAATCAGGTACGATGAATGATTCGACAAGAGCGGCGTGGGCTGGGGAGGTAAACATCAAGTACGCGAGGGCGGGGAGATGGTGCGTCTCCTTCAGATCTATCCCCGAGTACAGAAATGGCGTGGCGATGCGGTTGAAGTCTCTTGAGGTTAGGCATAAACTCAGGAGAGAATCGCGAGGAGCGAAAGATAGTACTTGTTCTAGTAGCTCCGTGGGAAGCTTCTGCTCAACTGAGGATGACATGATGGTAACACCAGGTATGAGGTGTTCGCGAAAGCGCTTTGCGCGAAATGAGTGACGAATATAACAGCAGGTTCATTGTACGTTCTGATGAATCTAATGTAGCTCAAGGCATCCACATGCAGGGCGTGTTGGAGGCCTGCTTGGTACCTAATGTTAGCGTCGCTGACGTGACGTCACCGCCGCGTCCTCCAATCCTGTAAGCGACTTCTTTCTATTACCAGCCTTTTTTGATCTTCATTTCCCATTGGCCGTCACGTATCCAGGATAAATCAACAAGGCGTACTCTCAAGTTTATGCATGAATGTAGGTTGAACCCGAATACCCTTTTCTGTGCAAAACCAAAACAGTAGAGTCTCCCGACCATCCTAGAAGATACGTGACTGTGATCCACCAAATTGATCACATCCTCTAGATCATTCTTCGCATAGATTAGTTAGTGCAAGTATCGAATGGCCAGCCGACAAGGTCGATGTTGAGTAGCCTGCTAGACTCAATCTCTTTGGCACGAGACTTGAGCTCGTCGATGTCCCAGTTGCACCACAAGAACTTCCCTTTGAGGAATCGGGCCTCTGGGGTCGCAAGCCAGAGATTGAAGCTTGCTGGGAGAGTGACTAGATGACGAGCTGTTAGCTTCACCGTATTGCGTAGTGTAAAATTAGATCTTACCATCATCAGTCTTCACATCTTTAAAGCTATCCGCACCGCCGACTTTGAGGTTCATCTCAGTGAGAACAACGCCGGGCTGAGTATGGAAAACACTGAGGTTTGGCTTCGCAAGAAGCACGGTATCCCACAAGCGATAAACAGCCATCTTGGCAACGCAATAGGCGGCGAAGGCATCGTTGAGACTCAAATGAGCACCCCAAGAGTTGATGGCGATGACATGAGCATCTGGGGCAGCTGTACGAATAAAGGCCTTTGCAACCCACAAAGAACCCTCGAGGTTGTCGGTAACAGCTCTGAGAAACTCGCGTCCGTCGACATCCGCGAAATTATCATTCGGCCCAACAGCTGCAGCAGCGTGAATGACTGTGTTGATCTCGCCATCCTTGGCGAAGTTGTCAAATGCAGCATTGACTGAAGCCTCATCGGTGACGTCGGTGCTCTGGATGAAAACGATCGTACCAGGAGATTCCTTCTCAATATAGGCTTTGTTCTCGAGTAGAGGGCCTTCACGACGTCCAAGCAGACCAATGCGCGCGGCACCTGCGCGAGCGAAGAAGCGTGCTGTCTCTCCTCCGATGCCAGTGATGCCTCCACCTGTCACCATGATCGATTTGCCTTTCTGAGAGAGAGCCGCGAGGCTAGGATTGCCAGCGGGTTGAGCCGTGTTATGCCAGCGCTTGACAGGCGACGGGAAGGGTGGAGTGTCGGAAACCATGGCGACTTTACTGAGCTATGTTGGAATAGAAGAGCTGGACAAAAGATTGGCTGCTGTGTAATCTGCGACTTGCAGCACTGGAGTCCGGAGTAAGTGACCACTTGTCTTGGAGGGAATCTTTACGGTCTTATACCGGGAAATCTCATCGAAAATGGACATGTAGTGCTGCATGTCATCATCTACACTGTGCTTGGGATACAAATTTGTTCCATCCGACGCGCGTGAACTCCGACCATGATCATGGTACTCTCCGCCATACCACAATGGGCTTTCATACATGAAATAATATGCTTGGATACAAATAGCTAGTCCTCTCCGATGGTTTGTCTTTGGAGCGCCTCGGCCCTATCCCCATGTTCATACCGCTATGCCAGGGACGCCACAAGCATGATCAACCCGCCCATACCGTCCATACCAGAACACCACTCTGCCCACCAGTTTGAGCAGTGACGACTTCTGTTGTTGTGAATCTGAGAAGCGGGTTCTTTATCTGACGGAGCATATGGTAGCCACGCGTCGCGGCAGGATAGCCTTCCCTGATCTAACTTGATGATCTCGCCGTCGACGGCCAACGCGTACGAAATTTGTCCCTGTGGCTCCGTTTGGCTCTGTGATTTCCAGTCTTGTGCATTTTTTGCCTCCCAGAGTTGCCGTTTCGCGGGCAAAGGTGCAATCACGAATTCCGCAGGCATATTGCACATAGCTGCTGGTTCAAAGAAGATGAGTTTGTTCAGGACGCGATAGATAACCGCAAGTCTACCAGAACAGTCAGTAGGTAGGGATGGAATGATAATGCCAATAGCTGGCGTACCTCCGCCGGGACTCTTTATAGACCCAGTCTTGCCAGCTGCTTTCAGACGTGTTGCGACACGATAGGTAATTTGCATGGCAGTCAAAGTCGTCATGAGACAGTTGTATTGCGATGAGCTAGGCAGATTATTGTCAGAAAAGCTTGTTACGAGAGGGGATACAGTAAACTTACAATGACCGCCTTCTCCAGAAGATGGTCCACATTGTTATGCTCAGTCTCGCCCTCGTCCAGACGGATCAACACATAGACTGAGAGAGCTTGCATAGCACCAAGCAATTCCCATTTACCGAGAGTCTGGTTCTGACACATGCGTTCACACTCTTGCTTTACGTTGCGCCAGAAAAGCCTTCGGCTTCCTTGTATTCCATTCGCCATCATGTGTATTAGGGCAATGCAGTTTTCAAGTGGCTCGTTTGTTGTACCTTCATCTGTGAATGAAACGCAGCTCGGGTGAATGAATGGGGGAAGAGTGCTTTGACGCAGCATTAGCGGGTAAGATTTAAGAGTGTAGAATAACAGATTGGCAGTTCTGTCCGCTCCGGGGCGCATATTTGGTCGTTGCATCATTGATCGTACATTCTGGTTAGGAATTGGTGGGATGGAAGAGCTCACCAGCCATGAAGCGTGATCCTGTCGCTGCCGCTGAGAAGCGGGTTGAGGTTGCTCTTGAAATGCTACATCTGCTGTTTCCGGAAGCAACAAAGACGGCGAAACGGGGGTCTGGCCAGCTGAAGCTAGCGAATGAGATGGTGTTGTTGTAAAAAGATTCAAGTCATGTGTAGAACGTATGAAGTCGTCAAAGGTCGCAGTGTCGTGGAGGTTCCACTGTATATCAGCGGACAGCATGGAGTTTTCACGGGCCGGTAACAGCTCTCGAATATCCTGAATCTGTTCGGGTACTGCTGATACTATGGTGTTTGTAGGATCTTGATCTAAACCATGCAGGTCGGGTATGTCATGCCGTGTTTTTACAGGGTTGCGTCTTTTCACTGCAGACCATGAAGGGTACTTGCACGTGATGTCTTTCCGGAGACAGCGCGAGCATGCTGGCAGTGCGTTGTCACAGCTGGTCTTGGTTTTTGCGCAAGTTGTGCATGATCTTCGTCTCTGTACTGGTTCTTTCTTGTTGGACCGACAGTAGTACCCATGACGTTTTAATCTTGACTCTTTGGGACAGTCAGTCTGCCATCTTTGGCTTCGTATATATGACAATCCAGCAAATATACTGACGCTTCGAAAAAGGCTTCTTACACTGGCTACACCAGAGCACAGGTGCCTGCTCTGCCATCGAGTGCTGATTAGCAAGCAGGGATATGGTTTGCTACCCGCTCAATTTGAGGTGTCCCAGTTGTCACTTCTACCCTATGAAGAGATAGGGATTGTCCTACGACGAAGCTTGATCGTGCTCGGTACTGGGTTGGGATGGGCTGACAAATGCGCGAGCAGCACACCCCCACTTTCATCCTTCGGCCACTACAAATTGTAATCCCCGGTTCAAAGAGCGAATTCCCTAGGTGGTCTAGTGCTGAAATGATGCATCGATGTTCCAAAGTCATCAATAGAGAGAATAAGAAGAAAAGAACGAGCGCAGTATTCACGTGATGCTGAAGCGGTCAGCGAGGCAAAACGTTCAACCCACACAATTGCTTTTGCATCAGGCTGGCCATCGAAATTTGAAACAAATATTCTGAAGATGTTTTTCAAAACGCTAGCAGACAAGGTGGGGAAGAGCGTTGCCTAGAAATAGCCGCATAGAAGGCGTAAGGCTGCGGATGTCGAGCCTGCTTTTCATCTGGCCGCCACTACAGCGATTGAAGGTGTGTATACCGGACAGGAATCCAGAACACCAGTTGTTCTTGACGATTCCATAGGTACGCCTTGGTACCAGTCAATAAGGTGGTTGTGGTGCAAAGGCAGTAATGGGATGTCATCTTGGGGCGAGCTTGCAGGCCGTGACGTCGTGGCGTCCTACTGGTGCTCAATCGTCTTGGGTGTCTCATGGGTATCCTGCTTCATTCAAATGGAAATACACCGGGTACTAGCTCTTTCTCAAGCACATGAGCGCTATCCTCTCATCCCTCTAGCGCCTTTGTCCGGCCGTTCCTCTTCCTCCAGGCTTGCACACCTCTGTCGATCTCGTCTCTCGTCACACCATCTCTTATAAGTTGCATAGTTACACCAAGCGCCTCTACGTTCTTATTCCTGCTCTCATCATCGAAGAAGAGCATCTCCTCGTATTCGATCCCACTGTCTCTGTGTATCCTCTCAAAGTGCGTCGTCTTGCTACCGGGATATATCTGCATGTGATCGAAGTAGTCGATTGCGCGCGAGGACGACCCGTTGGGACTGGGTATCTTAAGGAGCTTGAGCATTTCGCGGCCGAGATCGGGAGCACTCGTGCGCGAGGCTGCGCCGATCAGGATGTTCTTGTCTTTAAGCTGTGAGGGCGTTAGAACTTCCCATTGCATCAGCAGACGACTATGTACTAACAGCTGCTAATATGCCTCCCACGTCGTTGTAAAATCCGAAGCCCTCGCCATATCTGTCCTTTACTTTCAGGCCTCCTTCTACGGGCTTCAGCGGAGCTGTGACATGCGTGTCCACCCAGAAGGGCCATAGTGTGTAGTCGAGGTCGAAAACGACGATTTTAGGGAGTGGCAGTCCGTCTGTGAATGTGGATGGCCATTGGACCTTGTCTGGGAGCTTGGTGGTGGTAGTTGTGTCGGCTGACGCTGACGAGGTCGCGCTGCGGCGGGGCATTGTGAACTTTGGCGCGTGCGGTGACTGTGCTTTGAGCAGGAATGTCACGATGATTACAAATACCGTAGCTGTCAGGAAGCGTGGCAGAGCCAGGTTGGCATGTGTAGAGTGGTAACAAAGATGGAAAGTGTGGCGCGTGTCGCAGAAAAAAAGGTGATGACGTAGACGCGTCGGATTGCCTCATTCGGCGCCCGGGTACACTTCGGGGCACATCTCGAAGCCCTGAGCATGCATGGCCGTTATGATGTCGGATGTACCTCGTTACGGCATGCCTCGATCGATCGTCGACAGCAGAAAAAGCACATGTACACCCTGACCAGAGGATCCGCTTTCATGACCGCCATTTCCGTCCACATGCACTTCGCCATCGTTGACCGCCGCAGAGAAGCCAGATTCAGTTCGAGATACACACTGACATGTCGGTTTCGTTGTATGACTGTCTAAGGGACGAGTCACTACCCTGGACACCTTGTATGCCCTATACATAGTATATGTACAACACGCGGGAACTGATCGCCTCGACCGCTAGCGCAAGCATCCGCGAACTGCCGATGAACTCGTCGTCCGGGCTGACAAGGACCATCCTGAACCTTGTCTATCGCGTCTGCAACCTTATTTCCAACTTTAACTGTCCAAATGTCATTGCCAAGCGTATCGAGTATGGTCAGGGTCACGCGCGCGATGCGCTCAACCAGTCAGTGGGAGCCAGGTTATAGCTCTGTGGACGCTGCTCCTCCCACAATACTCATCGCGCACTTCCGAAACCAGAAAAACAGACCAGACAGGCGCGAAACACGCAGACATGCGAATGTGCGATGACGCTGGCGACGATAGCCGTCTTGCATGTGTCAAAGTGGTGCCGCGCTGCACACCTTCCGTTCTAGTCGTCCAGCCACTACCAGCCCCGCAAATAACGGGCAGCGGAAGGAATCCCGCCTGACTTCTGCCTGCGTCAACCTCTACACAGCTTTCTCAGAACATGTCGCTGTGATCCGACCACCAACTGGGCTTCGATGGCGGCGACCTGTGCTCGTCGTACAATTTCACACCGCGACCAGAAACAGCACCATTTCGTCACCACTCGGCAACCCGCAATTGCGCAAACTCGGTGCCTGCGAATCAAGGCGCGCCCCATTGAAATCCAGCGCAACAACGGGTGACACCACACCAATCAATCGCCACAATGACCGACTTCAATGAAACAAGATCACCCCTGACAAACGATAATGTCCAAGCATGGGCTCGTGCGAATTTTGCCGCGCCCTTTCGCGCATTACCGCGCGCCGCAAGACTGCATTGGATCCAGTTCGACGAGAGCTTCACCATCAGCAGGGCCATCTGGCGAGGCCTCGGTCGCTCCACCCACAAGCAGTTGCTTGTCATCGGCGGATATGCGCCAGGCCCCGCCGGCGACGACGATGAACCCATTGATCGCGTCACCGCCCATGTCCACGAGGATGAAGCCGAGGTCAGCTTTTATCGCATAACCGAATTGGATGACGGCAGTAGCGAGCTGCAAGCTGTGAATAGTACCAGTACTGTTGCCTTCCATGCGCCTTTTTGTGATGTTGGAGACGATATGGGGGGGTCCAAAGCCATCCATCGCGTATCGGCCCTCATTCTTTACTACTTCTTGGCTGCTGGCCACGTGAAAGAGCTATGTCGGACAAGGTCGGATCCTACCATGTTTACCAGGAATTTTCGGGACGCGTGTTTATGGGTGCACAATGAGGGAGAACGACCATTGCTGCCGCCAACGAGGAAATCAGAACCGAGTACTCCTTATGAAAAGGACTCGATCGTTGTCCGGCCAAAACGATCATCCACCGTCTGTACGTTGGAATCTATCGTTATCAACTTCGTGGTTATACTGACTAGAAACAGCTTCATTATCAAGATCCATAACAGAAGATATTCAAGCGCCGCCCATTAAACGCGCAGCAACAGACAGCCTAAATGTCAAGATCAAACGCGAACGCGACGAAGACTACACCGGAATCGCATCAGCCATTCGTCCCAAGAAGCACCCTCGACGCACCCTCAGTGAGCAGATCATTGTGCCCTCAAGTCTCAAGCAATCAACCACAGCACCGTCACCATCATCGATTCTAAGTCCACGTAGTCCTGCGCCAGAGCGCGTTAATCGTGCACTAACAGACAGAATACAAAACCTCAAAGATGAGAATGCCGGTCTGAAAGACGTGAACGCCGGACTCAAAGCCTCTGTCAACGGTCTCGAAACAGAAAAAATAGATCTCCAGAAGCGCATGGAGAAAGAATCACATGCATACCGCGGCCTGGAAATGGAATTCGAAAGCATCAAGAAGGAAATGATGGCCATGAAAGAGCGGTTAGAATCTGTCGAGACGTCTGGCGAGAAGGTACGCGTGGAAGTAGATCGGTTAAAAACTGTCGAAGAGGCTAGCAAAGAATTACGGAAAGAGTTGAGGAACGAGGTGGAGAAGCTGAGAGGAAGGGTTGAGAGGAGCGAGAAGGAGGCTGAGAATGCGAAGGAAGAGTTGTTGGCTGTGCGGAGGGGCCTCACCAAGGAGTTGGGAGAGGCGGTCAAGAAGTGGGGTGCGTAGGCGAGGTGCGCTGTTTCTTTTTTTATTATCTTCTGTTGGACGAATGATTTGGGCGGCGGTTTGTGGGCGGTTTGTACAGGAACGTGCAACCATGATTGATCTAGGGGGCATCTCTTTGTTTGATGAAGAAGCGGCATCATCGGCGTATTTTTCGGCGTCTCGTTTTCTTCTTCGATATAGCGCATCGCTACTCGCAATTTCAACACCGAAACCAATACCAAAGCAGTATGCAAATCTCGGGCCCGGGGATGGAAATATACCGAAATCGATTTTCCTTGTCGATACTAACATTCAGCATATCGTTACAGAGGCACCTACTGCAAATAATGTAAATACAGTAAGTCTGAATCAAAGAAGGTAAGAAAGAATGGAAATGTAGGTAATACAGCCACCCGGAACAAGTATACAGTCTGTACGGGTTCTTTTTTTTTCTGTTGTGTTGCATACATACTGACCACCCACCTGCCATTTGATTATACGAAGTGTTCCAAATACCATTTCACGGCATGTACCTCCACTACCTTTCTCAGGCTGCAACTGCAACAACGGTCCCCGTTCTCACCCTAGCATCACGATGCGCATTCCGCCTCAACTGCTCAATCTTGGCGCAAAGTTATGGTCCGTCGGCTTCTCCTCCTCCTCCCCCTCCTCATCCTCTACTATATCCCTTACGATTGGCATTCCTATTGCGGCTTGATGAGTTTTTCGCTGCGTTGATTTTCGTGGAGCTGTTTCTTGAAGAGTCAGAGAGGGAGGTGATAGTGGCATGCTTGGAGGATGCGAGACCGGACTGAGGTTTGGTTAGGGTGGTATGAGTGGGTGTAGTAGGTGTGGTAGTACGGCGCTTTTTGTTGTCGTTTGTGCTGCGGGGATGCGGTTCACGTCGTTCTTGGGTTATGCGAGGGAGCTTGACCTTGACATTCGGAATGGTGGATGTAGAGGTGGGGGCGTCGTCTTCGGTGTTCGAAGTCCATGAGTCTTCGGAGTGGCGCCGGGTGCTTGATTCACTATCTGGTGTGTCGATTGAGGTGGTCTTGGAGGGAGCTTTGCAAGCGGTCAGTAGCGAAGGGTTGCGATCGAGGATAGGCAACGATAGTGGCGAGGCAGAGGGGTTACTGGAAGGTACTTGGGCCTTGCTTAGTCCTACGCTGGCCGTTGATGTACAGGATGACTGCGGGCTAGGTGATGGAGTGGGAGCATCATCGAGGTCGATGAGCAGATCTGGCATGTGGCTCGCACACTGAGTCGGTTGCTTGACTATCGCTGCTGGGGGAGTTAGGCGACCTGCTGTGGTTTGCTTGGGAGAGAGATCTCTCTTGAGAATACTACGCGGCTGCTGTACTTCCTCACTAAATAAATCGTGTCCCTCAGTGGTCCTCAATTTGAGTGTAGAAGGGTCAGGGAATTCCCTTGGTTCTGGTACTTGCCCTGCATACTCCACATCTTCATTCCCAGCCAGCCGTCGCTGCATCCATGTGGGCGGTCTAGGAACGATAGCAGTTTTCTCCTTCCACCATCTCGGTATGCCTCGAACGAAGCCTAGTTCACGCAGCTTCTCGATACCAGGCATCTCGTGTTTGAACTTGCAGCCCATAGCCGCGAAGCTACACTCGCCAGTTTGGATCCAGTGCGTGCAGTACTCTTTCTTGGATGGATCGGGCTCAATGCCGGATGGATGGGGGAGGCGGTAACCAAGGCGTTTTGCATCTTTCGGATAGATGGATGCGAAGGTGTCGGTCAGCGATGAAGGACTTTCAAGGGTAATGCTAGGCGTCGGACGATGTTGATCTGGCGAATTCACGAGAGCTGGATATTGAGCTGAATTTGCGACGGTTGGAGACTGATGAAAAAGTCGAGTAGGCCGATAGTAGTCTACAGATGTCATCTGCTGTTCAGCACGCACATGATGATCTGGTGCCAAGTATCGGGGGCTTGTAGTCGGACTGGGTTGGGTTAGATGGCTGGTCATTATAGGCGCTTGGATCGCGAGTGCTGATGACACCTCGTGAGTCTCTGAACAGAGCCTCCAGCCTTCGTCTGAGATTTGGCGATGGGTCAGCCGCCGCGGGATTCCTTGGAGTTGAAACGGTAGTTGATCCACCAGTACCAGTGGGACCATCACACTACTCCCCATAGCATCACTGCGAAGAAGATAGTATCGGAGCCCATCTAGAAGTGCGCCACTATTAGAAGATTGAGTGGCCATGGCAGTGAGTTTCAATACTGTAAGCAGAAAGGATGAATTTACAACTTGTTAGCCGTAAGTGATTTCGACGGTGTACCTACTATACAGAGAAGTAATGACCGAGGAAGACAACTTATGGAAGCTGGATACTGAGACTTGTAAGACAGTGTGAGTTATATCCCCAGGTGTGCGACTGTGCTTGAGACAGCAAAGTCAAGTTGCTGCGGGACAGCAAACTGTTTCCCCATAGTGCTGTGCAGCCACCCGCAAGCTGCTGGTGCGAAACATGATCTTGAGCATTGGACGACCAGAAATATGAAAACCACGATTTGATTGAGTGTTACCTGCGACTCGACCAGAAAGTATAACATGACAATTGAGTATAATCAATAAGCCTTGGAAGCTTGCGACGTGATCGTTCATAGCAAACTAACGGCTGTGGGCAGTCAGTTGTTTTTGCAGTGGCTGAAACAAGCTGTAAGACGAATGAATTGAAAGACAATCAGACACAATGACAGAAGCTTCTCGATCGTGTCTCCAAGAATATAAGCACAATGCAGAAGCGATGGCGTAGCAGTCGTTAGGGGAAATAGGGATAATTTGCAATTTACGCGTTCCGAGGAGCGTCACGAAACCGTGACAGAGCATAACGCGTTAAGTAGACGGGTCGTGGGCTGCACGGGTACGTTTCCCGGTTTTACCTACTCAGGGCACTGCAGCAACCATTCTTCGTAGCGCAAAGTATCGCGGTTGTGATGCAGTTGAGATGGCGCTTATGACGAGTGGATTACTAGATCGGAGAGACATTTTCTGGGACTGCCAGAAGTCCAGGCCTGCCAAGCTATGACCCTTTTCGCTCAACGGCTATCCCTGTGGAGATCACAACCGCGGCACGGCATCCTCCGTTTCGCCAAGACTAGCCTAGCCCCAACTTCAAAACACCAGACTGCTTCCACCAACGCTACTTCGTCGCGGCTTTTGCACTCGGCTTATCACCTTGGCAGTGACAGCGCGCGCTTTGTGTCATCTTTCATAGCCTCGAGCCGTGGTCGGGAGATGACGATCCCCACACTTCAACGGTTGACCTCGCGATGGGAATGGTAGAAGTTTGCACAAAGCTAACCATCAGAACCTATGCCTAGTGTTCCGGCAGTTGACATCTGGACCATACATGTCAAAACTTACTTGCATGATATTAGCCGTGTGGCGTTTTCATGGAGTTATCTCCGTGCTGTGGCTGGCAGCAAGATCACAGACTAGGAGCCCGCTATTGAAGGTACCACGATTCGTCAACGAATGAAGCTCACAGGATGTCGGCACTGACTCGAGGACGAACGCGATCTCCAATAGTGGGTCGATGGCTTCGCACTGGTAACTTGCGGCAATATGCCTGGCCAGTTCGGAGAGTAAGCAGCTGGGACGACTATCAACGGTCCCTAGGCTTCAGGGTTCGTTAATACCGGAGCTTCTCTCCCTCCCCCGCTGATTACTCAAACAATTCTCCATTGCACGAAGATTGGCAAGCAACGTATCGAATGGATGTGCGAACCCGGAACCGCTGAGCAGAGCCTGAAATATGAGCAAGGACGATCGCAGTCGCGAAGTATTCGCTGTGGCTGCACTGTTCTTCGTGCTCACATGGACGACGGTCTGCCTACGAGTTTATGTGCGAGCCATATTGATGAAGACATGGGGAAAAGACGACTCGTTCATGGTTGCGTCGCTAGTAAGTTGTCACACTTCAGATACATGTGGTTGGCTGTGCTTATCAAACTTTGTAGGCGGTCTTCACAGTGTACCTGCCATGTCAGATCATTGCCGCTATACATGGTACTGGAAGGCATCGATGGGACTTGAGCGATCATGATCGAAAGACTGCACTCATGGTCAGTTCAACGTCATTGCTTAACATTCTCGCGTCTAACTCAACACAGTTCTGGTACTTGTGTGAGATCTTCTACGTCATAGCAAACTGCCTGCTCAAGTTTGCTATTGGCTATTTCTACCTTAGGGTCGCCATTGAACGGTGGCACATCTGGTGCATCAGATTGCTAATGCTAGGCACGGTACTATGTGGTCTGATTTACCTCTTTCTAGTCATGCTTCAGTGTCTACCCAGTAAGACCTTTTCAGACGCTCACTTTCCGCACTTGCTAATGAATACAGTCTCTGCATTTTGGCTGGAGCACCCAGCTTCAAACAAGTGCATACCAAGAGGACCTACCTTAGGCATTACCTATGCGCTTGCCGCAGTCAACGCACTCGCTGATTGGGGGTTCGGGCTGCTTCCGTTCTTTATTGTTTGGGGCCTAGAGATGAGGCCGAAGACAAAGGTGTTGGTTGCATCGATACTTGCATTTGCGGCGATCGGAAGCACCGGTACAGTCATTCGCATGGCTTATATCCACACACTTGTAGAAGGCCCCGACTTCTTATATGCTACTACCGATGTTGCCCTATGGAGCACCATTGAACCAGGGATCGGGATAACAGCGGGGAGTATCGCCACATTTCGTCCGCTTGTCCGTCACTGTCTTTGGAAGCTGGGTCTCGGCGAAGCACCTAGGCACGAACGAGGTCGTAGTTACTACCCTTCTGTCATCGGCCAGAAGCGAAAGAATCGTCGCGGATACCGACGTAGCTTAAGTCCGTCTGACCTAGTGCCTACCGAGCATGGAGGCATGACTTCTATACAGATTCATGGACCTGAAGATATAGACCTGGAGAACAATATCCCGCCGCCAAAGATCGTTGTCACAGAGGCGGATCTGCCGCAACCCCCGGAAGGGCAAATCGTACATACCGTCTCGGTTCAGCAAGAATACGAGGGTCCGCCAAAGCTTCACCTCCGTGATAGCCTCAGGAACAGCTTCACTCGTGGGAGTATTCTAAGCCTTGGAAAATTCCGCATACCCGATTGAGCTGTTCGAACGTGTTCTGTAGTATTTTCGGTATCCGAAGTCGAGCAAACGCGAGATACGATCTTTCAAATGCACGAACGATTGACGATAAAACGTCGAGGTGTCGTGAAAGACACGTTCTCTCAAGCATACAGCATGGCCTTCACTAGTACGGCTAGTCGCCATACACGCAAATTAGCGTCACCGGACCGGTCTACAGAAGAAAGTGAGAGAGACGACGGAGCGTGGCGTCATCTGGATGAAACACATTCACCGACGCTGATTGTGGTTCACGTCATTCACCAGATGTGTCTATACTAACCATTTCCTGGTTCCTGATCTCGCTCCTGCAGCTTTTATCATACCACCTGAATCTTAACGAGCGCCGTCTAGCAAGCCGATCGTACTCTACCATCACCTGGCGTGTTCATACGAGTTGGTCGTACAATCCTCGCAATCTCAAAGATCAATCTACTCCAAAGACAGTTTCCAGCTACTTTTGTAGACAACTTCCGATGAACGAGAACGACATAGCAGTGTTGCAACTCAACAAAGACGTTATCGCGGACGCCATCACCATGACCAACATCGAGCGTTTCCTACATTTTTTACAGCACGCCAAGTCGTTGGTAGGGCTATATGGACCTTATAGCAAGCAACCCAATACAACGGTTTTCGCGCGCGATGTGAGGCCGCCTCAGCATCCGAAACCTCAAGATCCATCGCTCAACACTCTCGCCCTCTCCTTCGCAGCAACACAAGATTGCACATACAGCGCCCAACCCGCTGGGTCAGGGAAAGAAGACCTAGACCTCTTCACACTCCTGTGGGATTGTGCAGTCGTGGTCCTTGAGGAGATACTCGCTAGAGGTTCTCTTCCACAAGAGTCTTTCGGCTGGGGTATCTTTGGTCTTTCCGCTGGCTACATGCATCCGCCTGCCCGCGATCTCACCGCACAAAACGTCTTTCTGAGCAATAAGCGCCGACTTCATGACGCGCTGAATGTGTTGCCTTCTTTAAATCGAGAGACGAGCAGCGAGTATGTGGTAGGCGAGAAGAAGACTACGGCTTTGCTCACACGGGCTCGAAGGGATATACACACACTAGGGCATATCTTGTTACACGAGTACAAGCTCAGTAGCTGGAGGCGAGTGAGGTGGCTACATACGATCGCAGTTGCGGAGAGGTGGGTTGGCGCTTTCGGACTGAAACCGATGAGAGAGCTAGGCGTGTTGACAAAGAGGACGAAAGAGGTGGTTTGTGAGGCAACGAAACCGCCAGGGAAGAGGGTGGTAAATAATAATGTGAGGTTCGAATTTCCTGATGTTAGCGCCCAGGATTCACAGGGCGTCATGGATGAAAGGCCAGAGCGAGAGAGGGGTAATGAGAGGACCACTTCACATACAGAAAGACGATGTCAAATTACTTATGGTTAAGTAGATTAACCCATCTATACTGATATCCGACAATGACTTTCTACTGATAGTAGTATCCTTCCACTCTCTATCAGCGTAGTGTGCGTTCCACCTATCTTAGCACCCCATTCATCTTGATGCGGAAACGCTAATCTATATGTAAGGCGGTCTCCATCACCAGATCAGAAGCGCGAATGTCTATATAGATAAGTAAACAGCTTGAGAAGGCTAGGACTTTGCTTACTCGCTCAAGATGTCTTACGTGTGGTCTTCAGCGAATGGCAACGCGGTCCTTCCGGACCTATACCAGAGGCGGCTAGTAGCAGCGATCTACAATCACGACATACCACCCCTCGATTTCGTGTACAACCAGACCTCATAAGCCCTTGCAACAGTCCGCCGTGTTATGCAACGATGCCGAGGAAAGCTGGACCTGTCAACATGCATCAGACCTCGCATCGAACGCGACATGCCATGCGCTCCAATGACAGCCCACAATCATGCCTGGGTATGTGCATGAGCCCGTGGTCATGACGCTGCGGCGGCTTGAGCTGCTCAACCCACGTTCTTGCATCATCCCAAGCTATGGAGAATTCGAGAATAGCGAGTTGATAAGTAGGCGTTAGTGCCCGGCTGTCGCAAAATGGAAAAAATTATCTCAACATCTCTGGTCCATTTCCAGTGCGACCGTTATCATGGCATCGGAGAAGCACAACGCGCCTGTCGCGTCCGACTCATCTGACAGCGATGTAGAGGTTGTTCAGGGTACTATCAACGAGAAGAAATTGCTAAGAACACTGGATCTGAGGTTACTTCCCGCGGTTTCAGTGCTATATCTGTTGAGTTTTCTTGATCGCAGCAATGGTGCTACACGCCCTACCCACAACGAAAGCACCGTATGCTGACCTATCTCTCCAGTCGCCAACGCCCGCATCGAAGGTCTCACGGACGACCTACATATGACTGGAAACCAATATCTCACTGGTCTAACACTGTATTTCATCGGTTACGTACTATTCGAGATTCCATGCAACATCATTCTCAAGCGAACTACGCCGAAATTTTGGCTACCGACACTCACGCTGGTCTGGGGGGTTGTCGCAACATTGATGGGTGTCACACAGAATCGAGAGGGCTTCTTTGCCGTGCGTTTCTTGTGAGTAGCTGTTGGGAAGTACTTGGCGTACAAGCAATGCACCAGAACAAATGGGCTGACTTGAGAACAGTTTGGGTGTCGCTGAGTCCGGACTTTTTCCAGGCGTTGTATACTACCTTTCAATGTGGTACAAAAGAAACGAACGCCAGTACCGTATCTCTTTGTTCTTCAGCTGCGCTTCACTTGCTGGCGCTTTTGGTGGAGTATGTTGTGCCCGCATCGCAAGTTTGATCGCTTGTACTGACTGCTTCAGATCCTAGCCTGGGGCATTGCGCATATGCGCAACGTTGGCGGATATGCTGGTTGGAGATGGATTTTCATCCTGGAAAGTATGCTTATCCGAGCGTCGTTCTTATACTAACAAAATATATAGGAGGGCCTTCTCACAATTGTGATCGCGATCGTCGCATATTGGTTCATTTCCAACTATCCCGGCACAGTCAGCTGGCTCAGTAAAGAAGAGCGAGCCTTTGTACAAGCACGTCTTAAGGCTGATAGTGACGCGACAAATGATGAGAAGTTTTCATGGGCCGAAGTGCGGGTTGCAGCCAAGGACATCAAGATCTGGTTGTATGCCTTAGCCTTTCATACTATGAGTCTACCTTTGTATACTCTATCACTGTTCTTGGTAAGCTAGCCGCTTTGCACTACTGAATGCGTCAAATATCCCTGTCTAACAGTAAAAAAGCCAACGATTATTCGGGATATGGGTTACTCGTCAGCCCAGTCTCAACTTCTTACCATCCCACCTTATGCGGTCGCGACAATCTTCACGATTTTCTGGGCGATACTCTCTGAGCGCTATGCCCGCCGTGCACTCTTCATCCTCACGACCTCCACCGTTGCGATCATCGGATACATTATCCTGCTCGCGAACACCGATCCCAAGGCACGGCCAGGTGTTTCCTACGTTGGAACCTTCTTTGCCGCTATCGGAATATACCCGTCCGTCGCGTTGATCCTCTGCTGGCCTGCAATCAACGTAAGTGGACAGACAAAGAGAGCGACCGCGAATGCCATGCAGATCAGCATCGGCAACTTGGGAGCAGTGCTGGGTACGCAGCTGTACCGCGCAAATTCCGGGCCGCGATACGTTCTTGGGCATAGCTTTGCACTTGGGTATTCATGTCTGAATCTGGTCGTTGTCGGGGCATTATTGGTGGTTTTGAAGAAGGAGAACAAGGAGAAAGAGAGGATATTGTTGGAGAAACCAGATACTCGCGGTTTCCACGACACAGTGGAGGATCTGGCCATGGGTGATCGTCATCCGAGATGGAAGTTTCAGGCTTGATGGAGTAAATAGGTGGCGGCGATGTTGAAGAGTGGGGGCGATAAACACTGATGGGAATTGTACGTTACGTTCTGTGGATATGACACCACAGTGGACACGACTCGGAGATGGCTACGGTGGAGCTATCCAGATGAGAATGATCTCTTTTTCACCTGTCACAGATGGTGTCAGCTGCGTTCCTCGAGAGCGCAACGATTGCAAAATTGTAGCAGTTTGTGATGCGATTACACTCCGAGCACACGATGACAGGGAAGTAGATACGAGTGTTTCGACGACCCGATAATAATACTGCAGTCCGTGAATCTACCTTCCTGATTGAGACTAGTATATACGTACTACTCCGAGGTCGGTTATCCCCGCGTAATGTCCATAACCAGCGCTCCGAGCTCCAAGCTTCCAAGCCTTCGACCTTCAATACTCATCACAATGGCGGCCAATAACAAGGAAAAGCAGACATCAGCTGCAACTCCTCCAAAGTCATACAGACCATCGTACAATCGTCAATTCATCGGCAGCGCTGTCTTTTGCTTGGGAATTTTGGCTTTCCTACGTCATACAACCACCCCCATCTCGTCGTCATGGCACCTTCCTTCAGACTTAAGCAACGCCAAGTCTGGAGCGCAATGCCCACAAGTCGAACTCTTGTTCCCGACAAAGAGGACGAAAGAGTTGGATGAAATGGAGAGCTACCTGACATCGGACGCTTTTCGTGATGTTGCCATTGAGCGTCTATCGGGTGCTGTCAAGATCCCCACGCAAAGCTACGATGACATGGGCGAGATCGGATCTGATCCGCGATGGGATATCATGTACTCTTTCGCAGACTATCTTGGAAAAACTTTTCCGCTCACGCACGCGACATTGCAATTGGAGAAGGTCAATACGCATGGGTTGCTGTATACGTGGGCTGGCACGGATGCAAGCTTGAAGCCTAACTTGCTCATGGCGCATCAGGATGTTGTGCCGGTTCCGGATTCTACAGTCAAGCAGTGGACCTACCCGCCTTTCTCAGGTCACTATGACGGGAAGTTTGTTTGGGGTAGGGGTGCGAGCGATTGCAAGAACCAGTTGATGGCTATTTTGAATAGCGTGGAGGCGTTGATTTCTGCTGGCTTTACTCCTCAGAGAACATTAATATTGTCGTTTGGATTCGATGAAGAAATCTCTGGTCGGGAAGGTGCGCAACACCTTGCGGACTACCTGGTCAAGAAACTTGGACACAACTCCATCGCTGCCATCGTCGATGAAGGCGCAGTAAACGTTGAGAGCTGGGGAGCAAATTTCGCAATCCCTGGTGTCGCCGAGAAAGGCTACGTCGACGTTGACATTGTCGTGCGCATGCCTGGCGGCCACAGCAGCATCCCTCCACCGCACAACGGCATCGGCGTCGCCAGCGAGCTCATCACTTTGATAGAAGCCAACCCTTACGAGCCTCGTCTTTTTGACGAAAACCCTTACCTAGGTCTCCTCCAATGCGGTGCCGAGCATGCCTCAGACTTTCCCCGCCATCTAGGGAAACTGCTCGACAAGCGCTCTAAACGAAGTGCAACATGTTCGAAGAAACCAACAAAAGACGCTCTCGCACTTGAAGCAGCAAAAGCGGGACCAGGCATAAAATATCTCTTCACGACCTCCGTGGCAGTCGACATAATCCACGGTGGCGTGAAAACAAACGCACTTCCTGAGCGCACGCAGATAACCGTAAACCACCGCATAAACGTTGGTTCAAGCTCCTCGGATGTTAAAGCACACATCTCGTCCCTTGCAGCTCAGGTAGCGCACAAGTACAACCTCACACTGCATGCATTCAACGGCACAGAAACCCCCTCTAGCATCACTCTCTCCCACGGACCCACAATGCTAGAACCAGCACCCGTTACACCCACTTCTCTCCACACCTCTGCCTCTAACAAGACCGTGACGCCCTACCAAATTCTCTCGGGAACCACCCGCGCCCTCTACGGTAGAGAACTTCTTGTGAGCCCTGGTATCATGACCGGTAACACGGACACGCGTTATTACTGGGACTTGAGCGAAAACATCTTCAGGTATGGGCCAGGTTGGGATAAGGAGCAGGTTGGTCTAGGAAATATTCACACTGTCGACGAGAGAGTTGGAGTGCAAGCGCATTTGGATACTGTCAAGTGGATGTGGGGCTGGATTAGGAACATGGATGAGGCGGCTTTGTAGACATCGTCGATGAAGGTTACTTAGACGAGAATTCTGCATGTGAGGGAAGTGGGGCTGCGACAATTCGCAGTTGGTAATTACTGATAGAAGCCAAAAGGGATTGCTTACTCACTTAGGTAGCTAACGATACGTGGTAAGCTTGAGTGAACCCAGAAGCGGCAAGCTATCCTTCTCTGCTTGTTAGTAAAAGAAGATATCTTTTGTGATTGCTAAGCTACTGTTGTGGTCGAGTTGGAATTAGTTTTGCTTTCATTGAAGTTACTTCGGTACTGTGATGACTTGACCAATAGACGACGAGCCACTGATAGTTACAATCCTACAATCGTTATTATCCTAAACAGAACTTACATATATCAATAACTATATTGGCGTCAGAGTTACTCAAATATTGTATGAATCACAAACACTATATGTAATACAGAGCAGAATGTACATATAACATATTTGCGATGTTCCATGTGCACGAGTTCAAGTAACACATCATAATGTATAACATCGAATTGGCTTTGCCATTCAAAAGACGAGTCTGTCTAAGGATGCTGCCTCTGCACAATTGAATATGTCGTATTCGAATGCGATAGCAACCCATCCTATTGTACCGGTCAGACTGTTCGTATCTGAACACCTTGTGACTCGATCTTCATCTTCATCTTCATTTACCACTTATATGCAATTGATACGTTGGCCGATGCTGGCGAGTGTGCGATAGCTCTGAGTTCTAACTTGACTGTATTACACTAAGTGCTCACGTCCGGAACGGTACGAGAAGAAAGAATGTCGAAGGACTTTGTGAGTGCACAATTGGTGAATCGCGGCATGGATACTGGATAAGGAAATTGTCAATCTGCATCGGTCGAAAGTTGGAGCGAGGGCCAAGTGACTGCGTTGACAAGCACCGCTTGGCTCCTCTTGCCTGACGCATCGATGAATCGCAGTATTGCCCCTTGCACGAAGCAACTCTAGGACCTTGCCCAACAGCGCGCAGGTACTGCAATGTGCAGTATTAGATCCTTTACTCAACTAGAAGAAGAGATGTAGGGAAAACATTATCGAAAAGTCGAGCTTGCGCACACATTTGCTTCTGGAGCGACTGCGCTGCTTTATCCAAACGCCCACGCACCAGCAACCCTCCGCTCCCCGCGGGCACCTAGCGCTTCCGCGGGGCGATCGCGTGTGTGCCAGATCGTGCATCGATCAAAGAGGCGTCAAATCACTTCTCGGTTTGGATACGAGGCTAGATTCCGATTTACCGATCTTGAGTCTAACATCAACATGACATCATCACTTCGCCCCGAACTCTCGACGCGTCGCAAACATGGAGGCCGCAATAAGCGTGCGCACGCAGCAAGGCGTAATTACCTGGCACGGTGACTATGTTATAGTCTTGTGCCCTTCGTCTAGAATCCCAGCAAAGTCAGTAAATTTCGCGGATAGTCCCTTGAGACCGTCGCAAACGGCCACTTCCAGCCATCTTTGTTTATTGTCGATCATTGTATGGTGTATGTCCTCAGAATAGCCTCACGACGATTACTGCTATCAATTAGCTTCCCCTAAATTCGGAACCATTCGCGATGGCGTCTGGCAACGACACTACGGAGAATTCTCTAGGATTCAACCAACAGCGCTCACATAACGATTTGGAACGACAATCCAATCTCTATTCAAATGTGTCAGACGACAACGACAACGCAAACACGCACAACACTTTCATTTCCAATGCTTTACATACCAGCAGTCGGAGCTATTACGGTGCAGATGGCACGCAATTGTCTACAGCTTCAACCAATTCCACAGTGGTAGCATCCCCAGAAGTCCGGTCAATCCAGGATGTCACAAACGAACAACAAGCCAAAGAAACCATGTCTGGAAACGCGGTTATCACACCATCTACCCCTGGCAATGACTACCTTCAAAAGACGACATCGGGAGACCCAGTTGAGGAACATGTAGTTCTTCAAGACGACTCATCCGATTCGGAACATGAAGCTGGCGAGCCATCCACCAAGCCTGCCGCTGTCGCGAAACGGCCTGGTCTGCAGTCAAAGAACTCCAGACCCATGACAGAAGACGATCTGTTCCGCGCCTTGTCCCGACGAATGACGAGTCAGAATAACGGCCTCAGCAAGTCTAACACTAATGCTTCGGGGCGAAGTCAGGAGGAAGAAGATGAGATCAACAAACTCATGTCGAAGATGTTCGGGCGTACTAGACAGGAGGCATCAGAAGAAGAGAAGACCCGGCATCAAGGTGTTATATTTAAACACTTGACAGTCAAGGGCATGGGGATTGGAGCAGCTTTGCAGCCAAGTGTTGGAGATATTTTCCTGAACCCAGTTCGGCTCATCAAGAACCTTGTAACCAAGGGGCCGCGTCAGGCAGCCGGAAAGCCCCCCGTTCGTAAGTGGTATCTTTGTACAAACTGTATGTGAGACAATTACTGACTTCTTACACCAATATCTAGGAACTCTTCTAGATGACTTCTCTGGATGCATAAGACCTGGTGAGATGGTTCTAGTCCTCGGAAGACCGGGAGCTGGTTGCTCCACATTTCTCAAGATGATCGGCAATCAACGGTACGGATTCGAAGAGATCACAGGCGATGTCTCGTACGGTGGCACAGATGCCGACGAGATGGGCAAGAAGTATCGTTCAGAGGTGCTTTACAATCCTGAGGAAGACCTCCATTACGCGACACTAAAGGTCAAAGACACATTGCGATTTGCTCTGAAGACAAGAACACCCGGCAAAGAGTCACGAAAAGAAGGCGAGTCTCGCAAGGACTATGTAAACGAGTTTCTTCGTGTGGTTACCAAACTCTTCTGGATTGAACACACACTGGGTACAAAGGTCGGTAACGAAATGATCCGTGGTGTCTCAGGTGGTGAGAAAAAGCGTGTTTCAATTGCAGAGGCCATGGTCACAAAGGCTTCAGTACAATCTTGGGATAATTCGACGAAAGGCCTCGACGCGAGTACTGCTCTCGAATACGTCCAAAGTCTGCGTTCCCTTACGAACATGGCTCAAATCTCTACTGCCGTAGCGCTCTACCAAGCAGGCGAGTCTTTGTATGACCTTTTCGACAAAGTTCTCCTTATCCACGAGGGACGATGTTGCTACTTTGGACCTACCGAGAAGGCTGCAGACTACTTCAAGAACCTAGGCTTTGTTCAACCCGAACGTTGGACTACCAGTGATTTCTTGACATCCGTCACAGATGACCACGAGCGACAAATCAAGGAAGGCTGGGAGGACCGCATTCCCCGCACTGGTGCGGCTTTTGGCGAAGCATTCCACAACAGCGAACAAGCCAATGATAACCTTGCCGAGATTGAAGAGTTTGAGAAGGAGACCAAGCGACAGGCCGAAGAACGTCACGAGGCCCGCACCAAGGCTACGAAGAAGAAGAACTTTACCATCTCGTTTCCAGCTCAAGTCGTTGCCTGCACCGATCGCCAATTCCGTGTAATGGTGGGAGATCCGCAATCTCTCATCGGAAAATGGGGAGGTATTTTTTTCCAGGCTCTCATCGTCGGATCGCTCTTTTACAATCTTCCAAACACTGCACAAGGCGTGTTTCCACGTGGTGGTGTCATCTTCTTCATGTAAGTCATATCCTGCTAAGCACTACATGAGACGAGTACTAACTTGACGACCAACCTTTAGGCTTCTTTTCAATGCCCTTCTCGCCCTCGCTGAGCTTACGTCTGCCTTCGAGTCCCGGCCTATTCTATTGAAACACAAGACGTTCTCTTTCTATCGACCAGCCGCCTACGCGATTGCGCAAACCCTAATCGACATGCCCCTGGTGCTAGTTCAGGTTTTCATCTTCGATATCGTGGTGTACTTCATGGCGAACCTGCAACGAACAGCATCTCAATTCTTCATTAGCTTACTCTTCCTCTGGATCATCACAATGACCATGTATGCTTTCTTCCGAGCTATTGGTGCCTTGGTAGGATCCTTGGACGTTGCAACTCGAATTACCGGTGTTGCCATACAAGCACTCGTCGTATATACTGGTTATCTGATTCCTCCGGCGAAGATGCATCCGTGGTTTTCATGGCTGAGATGGATTAACCCTATCCAATACGGTTTCGAAGGTCTCCTAGCAAACGAGTTTTACAACCTGGAGATTCAATGTGTGCCTCCATTCATCGCGCCACAGATTCCAGGCGCGCAGGAGCAGTATCAGTCTTGCGCAATTCAAGGTAACACGCCTGGATCTCTTACGGTCTCTGGCCCAGACTACATCTCGGCAGCCTTTGGCTACAGTAGGTCGCACCTGTGGCGCAACTTTGGTTTCATCTGCGCCTTCTTCCTCTTCTTTGTTGCACTCACCGCGTTTGGTATGGAGATCCAGAAACCAAATAAAGGTGGAGGTGCTGTAACAATCTACAAGCGCGGTCAGGTGCCGAAGACTGTTGAAAAGGAGATGGAGACTAAAACTTTGCCCAAGGATGAAGAAGCTGGCAACAGTGAGCCAGTTAGCGAGAAACACTCCTCCAGCGACAACGACGACTCCGACAAGACAGCCGAAGGGGTAGCGAAGAACGAGACTATCTTTACATTCCAGGACATCACCTACACCATTCCATACGAGAAGGGCGAACGGACGTTGTTGAAGGGTGTACAAGGTTTTGTCAGGCCTGGCAAGCTCACTGCCTTGATGGGTGCTTCAGGTGCCGGCAAGACGACACTGTTGAACACCCTTGCTCAGCGCATCGACTTTGGCGTCGTTCGTGGAGACTTCTTGGTCGATGGGAAGCCATTGCCCCATAGTTTCCAACGCAGCACAGGTTTTGCAGAGCAAATGGATGTACACGAATCAACGGCGACAGTACGCGAAGCACTTCAATTCTCAGCACGGTTGAGACAGCCCAAAGAGGTACCTATCCAGGAAAAGTACGATTACGTTGAGAAGATCATCGACTTGCTGGAGATGCGCGATATCGCTGGAGCAGCTATTGGTACCGCTGGAAATGGACTTAATCAAGAGCAGAGGAAGCGTCTGACCATCGGTGTGGAGCTTGCAAGCAAACCTGAACTGCTAATGTTCCTCGATGAGCCTACATCTGGCTTGGACTCTGGTGCTGCTTTTAACATTGTCCGGTTCCTGCGCAAGGTAAGTTTGACGAATCTGTACCGTATATGACTGATAACTGACTTGGATTCAGCTTGCGGATGCTGGACAAGCGATCCTTTGCACGATTCATCAGCCCAGTGCTGTTCTATTTGAGCACTTTGATCAGCTCCTGCTTCTCAAATCTGGAGGTAGAACGGTTTATTTTGGTGATCTAGGCCACGACTCGCAGAACCTCATCGAGTATCTTCAGAACAATGGCGCCGAGAAGATTGGCCCCAAGACTAACCCTGCCGAATATATGCTGGAGGCTATAGGTGCTGGCAATCCCGACTATAAGGGCCAGGACTGGGGTGATGTCTGGGAGAAGAGCGCGGAAAACGAAAAGCTGGGCAAGGAGATACAGGAGATCATCGCCAGCAGACGTGACGCATCGAAGAACGATGAAGCTCGTGATGACCGAGAATATGCGATGCCATACATTCAACAATGGCTTACAGTTGTCAAGCGAAGTTTCGTGGCGATTTGGCGAGACCCTCCATACGTAAGTCATCTCCATGTACGAACTGCATATGAGACATTTACTGACATCTTACACCTATGTTTAGGTATCAGGTATGGTCATGTTGCACATCATCACTGGATTGTTCAACGGCTTCACTTTCTGGAATCTCGGACAAAGTCAGATCGATATGCAATCACGACTCTTCTCCATCTTCATGACCCTCACTATTGCGCCTCCTCTGATCCAACAACTACAACCCCGCTTCATCAGCGTGCGTGGCATCTATGAGTCCCGCGAAGGCAGCGCTAAGATCTACTCCTGGACGGCGATGGTCTGGGGTACCATACTTAGCGAGTTACCATACCGTATCGTCGCTGGAACCATTTACTGGTGCTGCTGGTACTTCCCACCTGGCTTTCCTCGCGATACATACACCGCGGCGAGTGTTTGGCTCTTCGTCATGCTCTTTGAGGTCTTCTATCTAGGCTTTGGACAGGCCATCGCCTCTTTTGCTCCCAACGAGCTACTCGCGTCACTACTTGTGCCGCTGTTCTTTACTTTCATCGTCTCCTTCTGTGGTGTGGTTGTGCCCTACGCCGGACTACCCACATTCTGGTAAGAAATCCCATTCACGAACTGCTTATAACAGGTAGACTAACTGCAGACCTAGGCAATCCTGGATGTACCATTTGACGCCTTTCCGGTACCTACTGGAAGGGTTCCTCGCGCTACTTGTTCAAGGACAAGAAATCAGATGCGAGACTAACGAGTTGGCGATCTTTCCACCCCCACCTGGCCAAGACTGTCAGACGTATGCCGGTCAATTCGCGCAGCAAGCGGGGGGTTATGTCGAAGCCCAGCCAGACGGTACTTGTGGATTCTGTCAGTACGCAACGGGCGACGCCTTCGCAGCTTCGTTCAACGTCTTCCCAAAGTCCATCTGGCGCGATTTTGGCATTATGTGGGCCTACATCTTCTTCAATTTTGCAGTAGTCTTCTTCTGCACCTGGCTTTACTTGGGCGGCCTGCGCCAGATCAAGTCATTCTTCAGCCCAGCGGCGCGCAAACAAAAGAAGGAGACGGCGAAGAAGAAGAAGAAGACACAGAGCGGCGACGCAGCTTGAGGCAGAAAAAAAAGAGAATTCGGCACAGTGTGCAGCGACATGGCTTGCATGTCGCTGTGAAGATGCGGGTTCCGGAAAACTCCTAGCTTGCCCGCGGCCGGAACGCGCAAGGCTGGGTTAGCACGCAGCTTTGGAACGGCCCATCCCAGCGCAGGGTGGGGCTCATTTCCGCCTCGTGCATTCCCCGCGAAATGCCTCTTGGGGATCTAGAGCATGTGCTAGAGGTTTGGTGTACGTACAGGCTGGACTCTAGCGTTCACCATAGTGCCATTCGTATAGAGATTTTCAAGCGGTGTAGCAATTAATAGTAATTTTTGACAGCACAGCTGTCATGTGTACAGACACGCAGTAGCTTCCACTGTACTTGGCGTCTGAGGACGCAATGAATGTGATGTTTTCTACCGTGGCTGTCGAAGGACATGCGGGATTAACCCACCGCGCATTCGAGATGCTCGGCACTTGACACATGCAAACTCAATCTCGCAAGAAGTCGGGTTAACAAGGCATCGTGAGATGCATCGAAATGCCTCAGCTTTTCCGATTATCAGTGCCATCCGTCCGAGGCGCTTGATTTGTGCATTGTGAAATCGAGAGCTAAGCCGAACAGCGTTCCATCATCGTGCAGGGGTTTGTGTGGATCGCAAACCGCACACGAGCTGGAACCGGAACTGTGGTATCTTGCACCGCCTCGCTGTGGCCAGGCTACGCTATCTGCTATTGATTATCGTGATGCGCGCAGTACTGACGCAAAGTTACTGTGTTGGAGGTATGCGGCATTTGCTGCAGGTACCTCGTAATTGTTCCAGTAGACCTCGGAAAAGCATCACACGGTCTACGATTCAATCGCATGCCGGCGAAAAATAGGCCAAGACGTGGCTATAGCCGAAATGTGGCCAATGAAACAATGACGAAAGGTCGTTGAGCCTTTACCGCATCCAGCGAGCGTGAATGTGGGGTAAGTGCGATCAGCCCCTCCAGCCAATGCCAGCCCGCGCATTGCAGTTCACGCAGTCGTTACAATCGTCACGAGGGCTCCGTTGCAGCGAAAATGTCATCGACCATGACACAACAGTGACCGCAAACCTCCCCTTAGTTTTAGTTTTAGTTTTGGAAAATAGGAGATCCATGCGCATCGGCTTAAGATTCATCGGCCATAAAGCTGGTGGTTGTGGTTACACTTGCCGGGCGCTCCTTCCGAAGTCACCCAGCTCTCGTGCCCAGCTCCGCGTTATTTTCGTCCCTCGTGAGCCGACCGGCACTCCCACTACCCAAACACGCACCATTACCCAATCAGCTCCAGTAGCGCTAGCTTGTCCCCGGCCCAGCATTGCCAGACTGAGCGCAGACGACGTCGTCAGAATGGCTTCGAATGGTATTAAAGCTACCGAGGACCCCGTCATTCGAACAGCAAGCCCAGCTCCTTTGGCCCAAGACTTTGCCCGTCAACAGGTGTCAAAACAACAGCGTTCCAATTTCCACTCGTCTTCCATCTCTCCACTCATATCCAACACCATGGTTTCTCAAAGCGTCAACAAGACCAACCTCCATCCTTCCGGCGTTGCGTGCGTGACCCTGCCTTTCCAAGGTCAATTGACCTGAAATAGGTGAACAAAGACTGACATGCTCCTCACAGGCCGAACAAGGAACACACGGAGATTGAAGAAGCTCTCCACGACAAGGCACACATCGACTATGACCGTGTAGCCATTGTAAGCTTGCCCCATGCATCAACCTCGATTCCAACACTAACAAGTCCACTAGATCGCCAACCCTTCAGTCGCTGCCCTCTACGAAGATGCGCTCGTATATGAGACTGGTTCAGCCATCACAGCTTCAGGTGCCCTCTCAGCATACTCAGGAGCGAAGACTGGCCGCTCACCCTCGGATAAGCGCATCGTCGAGGAAGACACGTCAAAAGACGATGTCTGGTGGGGCCCAGTCAACAAGCCGATGAAGACCGACGTAAGTGCTTCTCCGCATTCCCTAATCCCTTTAAACTTCTGCCTTACGTCAAACCGCGGTTTGGCTTGTGAAATTTTGGCGGCAGACGTCATGTACGCTAGCCACATACCCGATGTAGCTCGCATCCCTGCACTTGGCGGTTATGGGGCTCGGCTGCCCCGCATCTTTGCGCCTGCATGACGGATCAAGTTCCATCGATCCATACGGAAGACCATCACGTGCGCATCTTGTTTCATTTGCTAACCTTGTCGTCTAGGTCTGGCGTATCAACCGTGAGCGTGCTATCGACTACCTCAACACCAGGAACCGCATCTACGTCGTCGATGGCTTTGCCGGCTGGGATGAGCGCTACAGGATACGCGTACGAGTCGTCTGCGCTCGTGCCTACCATGCTCTCTTCATGCGCAACATGTTGATCCGTCCTTCAAGAGAAGAACTGGAACACTTCGAGCCTGACTACACTATCTACAATGCTGGTGCTTTCCCTGCCAACAGGTACACGAGTGGTATGACCTCGTCAACGTCCGTTGCCCTTAACTTTGCCGACAAGGAGATGGTTATCCTCGGTACCGAATACGCTGGTGAGATGTAAGCAACGCCCCTACATGAGCTTTCTGAGGCATGCACTGACATTATATGCCATCATTTAGGAAGAAGGGCATTTTCACTGTGCTCTACTACGAGATGCCCGTCAAGCACAACGTCCTCACTCTGCATTCGTCAGCGAACGAGGGTATCGAGAACAAGGATGTTACTGTTTTCTTCGGTCTTTCCGGAACCGGCAAGACCACTTTGTCTGCCGACCCCAAGCGTGCCTTGATCGGTGACGACGAGCATTGCTGGAGTGACACTGGTGTCTTCAACATTGAGGGTGGCTGCTATGCCAAGTGCATTGGTCTCTCTGCTGAGAAGGAGCCAGACATTTACGGCGCCATCCGCTTCGGATCCATCCTCGAGAACGTCGTTTTTGACCCTACAACCCGTGTTGTTGATTACGACGATGACACCCTGACCGAGAACACTCGCTGCGCCTACCCCATCGAGTACATTGAGAACACCAAGATCCCCTGCATCTCAGACGGCCACCCCAAGAACATTGTCCTCCTTACCTGCGACGCTCGCGGTGTCCTTCCTCCTATCTCCAAGCTCAGCCCCGAGCAAACCATGTACCACTTTATCTCTGGTTACACCTCCAAGATGGCCGGTACCGAGCAGGGTATCACCGAGCCCCAAGCTACCTTCTCCTCTTGCTTCGCTCAACCCTTCCTCGCCCTGCACCCAATGCGCTACGCCAAGATGCTTGCGGAGAAGATTCAGCAACACGGCGCCAACGCCTGGCTCCTCAACACCGGCTGGGTCGGTGCCGGTGCCACCACAGGCGGCAAGGTAAGCCAAGACTCTCTAACGGATACATGCGAACACATGCTAATATTTCCCCTAGCGTTGCCCTCTCAAGTACACCCGTGCTATCCTCGACGCCATTCACTCCGGCGAGCTCGCCAACGTCGAATACGAAACCTACGAAACCTTCGGTCTCTCCGTCCCCAAGACCTGCCCCAACGTCCCTGACGAGCTGCTCAACCCCGCCAAGTCATGGAACGGTACCGCCGACTTCAAGGGCGAAGTCGAGAAGCTCGGCAAGCTCTTCATGGAGAACTTCAAGAAGTACGAAGACCAGGCCACCAAGGAGGTTATCGAGAGTGGTCCACACGTATGCTGCTGCCCCAAGCACTAGATGGTTGATTTCAGTTCCGACATATCTTTCTTACTTTTTTGACAGACTGACTAGCGGTTTTCCTTTACTATCTCGCGGTCGAGCGATCACTCCAATCGACGTCAGCGGCTATTCCTTTCACCACTTGGTTATGGGCAAAAAAGCCCATGGATGGATGCAGGATATGATATCACGGTTTCCCTATCTTAATTGTTTGCTTAATGGACGTTCTGTTATATGTATATACACTTTTGGCGTTATTGTCCCAATTGTGTAGCATTGCATGGCTGGTGACGAGAAGAGAAGATAGCGTATTGGCTTCTAGATGGAGCGAGCGTGAGAGAGATACAAAATTTCATAATGTTCATTTTGACTTGCGATGTTGCATAGTGAGCCACGATACCGACCATTATCAGTAGAAGGATGTTCATCGTCAACATACGTCATTGTGTCTCTTAAAAATATAGTCCATCTAAGATTTCCTTGTGCTATGAATATATGCATCCAAGAATACCTTTCAAGTAGATTTCGTCAAGGATAACTCAGGTGGAATGAGTTTCGCCAATAAGATTAGAGTCGGTTATCCTGAACGAAATCATGGGCCAGAAACTTGTCTCTCTTCACGTTCTGTGGCGAGCCGTCAGATCCGGGGTTTCGGTGCAGATGATTGCCCGTTCTGGAACCCTGCGGGAATGAAGTAACGAGGCTGCGCCCCGTCAGGCAACCAACACTATTGTCAGCCGACGGATAGTCATCGAAAGGAGCCCTGTAGTGGGCTGCAACATCATAAAAATCCTTTGCCTTGTCCTTTATGCACGTCGCATCAACGGTATAATATTCTCAAGTCGGATAGTTTACCCAGGCACGGCAAAGTAGCGCTCCCTAATCGACAATGTCGCAGCAGGGTGGCACCTATCGCGCCCCGGGGTCTCTGTTGTCATATCAGATTCGCCTAGGTAATAGGACATTGGGCTCAAAGCCCACGAGCAAAGAAGGTAACGCAGTTGTCCAGTCACGCATCAAATCGTCTTACTCGACTGACTTTTGGTGGAAGCACACGATACCAACGTTTCGGAACCCAAGACCGACGACCAACGTTTCGATGACGAAAAGGAACTCGGCGAAGAATGGGAGGTCGTTGAGTGGCCTGTTGTAGACGACAAGGAAGAGCATGGCCCTTGTGACGGCTGCAGGACATATAGGAGTCAGTTCAAGCTGGAATTGGGCACTGGTAGTTGGAAGACAACGGTTTGCGACTGGGAGGCGAATGTCAGGGTTGCCTCGTGAGTTCTGACTGCGTGCATTGTCTTGATGAGATGGATGGGTTGTAAATGAACCATGGTACACACAACCATGACCATACTCAACCAACAATTTCCTGAGATCTAGTGCACAATGTGATAAGCGATCATTTTTTCAACACCTACTAAATGCTCACAAGGGTTATTTCCATCCCAACCATTTCTTCATCCCATAAGAGTCTATCACGACGCTCTCAAGTGCAGCAACAACAATACCCTCCTCTCTACCATCCCAACTGCTACAAAAAAGATCGGTCAGTTCCGCGAAATCCCCTATACTAAAAGGCGATCATGTACATTCCGGCCCAACCCCACCAAGCAACCCAGTTCAACGTCTTCCTCCAAAACTTCTACTCGGACAAGACGATGAAAAGAGTATCTCGGCACAACTCCGCCTTGTCAATCTCGTTACCAACAGATCCAACGATCACCTCATCATCGTCAGCAACAAACCGATTCACATCAACTACACCCTCAACAGCGCTGGAGCTTTCTGACCAGGTCGCACACATTAAGAAGCTCGAGACCCTGACGAGGGAGCAGAATACCGAGCTTAAGCAGTATCGGAAACAACACAAGGCGATTGAGGTAGTCGAGGAGGAGAAGAGGTCGCTACAGGCGAAGCTGCGCAAGATGGATGACTTGGAACGTCGACTGGGTGAGGCTGAGTTGAGAATGCAGGTTCTAGAAGAAGAGCGCCATTCGTGGACGTCCATCGAGCCCACTGAATTCTTCTTCTTCCCCTTCTTCCCCTTCTTCCCCTTCTTCCCCTTCTTCCCCTTCTTCCTCTTCCTCCTCTTCCTCCTCTTCTTCACCACCAGCCCTGACTCTTGACTTGGAACCAATAGTACTATCCGAGAGATACGCACAGTCCCGAGCTTTCACAAGCTTGACTCCACCTACTTCGAATGCAAACAGATTAATGGCAAGCATGCTGCGAAGAGACAGTATAGAGCTTTCACTCATCCGGCTCAACAGGGCCAAGTCCTACTACTAGGCAAATCGGTCTTTCATACTGGGCCAGTGGGTTGTAGCGGTGGTTGAGAGTGCGGAAAACACGAGGGTCATGTGCCATGTAGGCATGAAAGATTTGACGAGAAAAGCGAAGAAGAACAGGAGCGAAAATGGAGCAAAGGTGCTCATACTTAGGTGGGATTTCGAACAAAAGATAAGCAGAAGTTGGAACAGACCCGCAGCGTGTGACGTAAACCAGTGAACGAATGACTACACGGACGAAGCATTGGTCTTCTTTTTTAAAAACATATTCTGGTATTCAATCTAGAATAAAAACACCCCGCAAGAGCAAAAGCTAATCGTGCAAATGTGATATACGGTATATCTCCTCCATTTCCCATAGTAGTTTCGCAAAATGTGACAACCCCCCCAAACATTTCAGTACAAGATGGTACAAGGGCAGGTCATGATCTTGAGGTATTTTTGTTGTGTTAAACAGACCACGTAGCTCCTAGCTCGCGCTGGAACACCAAGAAACGCCAACATGATTAAGTGGGAATCGAAGGCATGGGGGAAATGCAAAGGTCTGGCCGTTGCCGTCAAGGCTTGGTGGTTTGACCAGGTGGTGGCTTGGGGACCATCTACCTCTTCCTAACGCAGAAGAAGAGACCAGTACGGCCAAGGAACCAAATACATCCGATGAAACGGACAATAGCAAGAGCAGCGGTAGCCCATAGAAGGGCCTGGAAGAAATGCGCGGTTCTGCCCGAGGCGCTAGACTGTTATTTTGTTAGTAATTATCATTCAGAGCGATCAGGGCAAAAACTTACAGAGAAACCAAAGCGGTCAAAGTTATCCTGGGTGATGACAACCGCAAGAGTGGCATTCGAACCGATCCAGGCCGTACACAAATGGGTACGGAAAGACTTGTAGGAATCCTCCAGCGTCTTCTCGTCACTCTCGACAGGCGGTACGTAAGGAGCAAGAGCGCGCTTGACGGTAGCTTCAAACTGGCTGTCGATGTCGGCTTGTGGTAGATCCGGTTCCTCAATGACGTTGGATTTACCGTCAGCACCCTTTTCTGTCTTGGCAGAAGGAAGCGCCTCTGCCTTGTCGGAACCCTTGGTACCCCAGGAAACGTCGTGCCAGTTGGAGAAGGCGTAGACGTTGAGAATGTTGACGTAGGACGACATGATGAGCAGGTATTGCGGGAACGAGGTGAACATGTGCCATGGATCCATGTACAGGAACGAGGCGACGTAGTAGAGACCAAAGGTAGCCGCAAGCGCGATGATGATAATACCGACTCCGCTGGACGAGAAGAAAGAATTGGCAAATGCTTCTGGTGACGAGGTATCGAGTTTCTGCGACGACGGGTTCGTGAATGCCTGGACAACGAGGTAGATGGACAGGATGACGATGTAGAACTGGATGAGAGCGAAGACGGAGAAAGAGACCAGGTAGGTCCACTTGGAACCCTTTGGACGGTTACCGAAGGCCAGAATAAATTGCAGGACCAGGAATGCCAGGTAGAGATAGGTGACGATGACGTTGAAGATGGGCGTGGCAGTGTTTCCGAATGGCCAGGCATCCCGATCATCGGTTTTGGTACCGACAAGTGACATGATGACGACAGTAGTGAGCCAGAAGGAAGCCAGGGAGAACCAAGCCATAATGGTTTGGAATATGTTGTAGAGCATTTGGATGTGCAGGAAGAACATGCGGACCAGGTTGTGGCCACTCTTGTACATGCGACCGAAATGCAGAAGAGAGTAGATACCGGCAGCGAAAGAACCGTTCAGCCAACGACGACGCTGACCGATGAATTCAGCAACACCTTCGGGAACATCGGTTTCACCCTTGGAGGCCTTGATGTAGGTAAGATGCCACTTGGAGCCAGCCTTGGCGACGAGTTCGAAACACAGAATACGATCCTCGGCCAAGAACATGTTCTTTTTGAAAATGTTCATGCCCTCGATACCCTTCTTTCCGAGAATCTTGGCGAGTGTGTGGTCACCGTGGAAGTACTGCTCGAGCGGCCTGCCCATGATGGCGCGGTATCGGTAGGCAGAGAAAGCACCAGGCAAGACAGACACGTATCCGAAGGAGGATTCTAGCGGCTTGTCGAGAATGTTACTGATCTTGTACTCGAAGTTCTGTGCGGCCACGAGCGGGTTGAGGAGGTTCTTCCAGCCCTTACCCAACATAGCGTGAATCTCACCACAAGCACCACCGAGATCCTTGTCGTTGTAGAAACCTTCCCAGAGGGCGAGAAGCGACTTGGGTCCAGGCTTTGTACCCGCGTCGAGCAGAATGCAGACTTCAGGGTTCAGGATACGACCAATGGCAGTGAAAAGCCATCTGTGCGAGTTGATCTTCTTGGTGTTCTTCTGCTTCAAGCAAAACATCATCTGGACAGGAGGAAGCGTGCTGGCGCTATCATCGTGCGGGCGAATGAGCTGCTGGTTGGGCGTGACGGACAATTGCGTGGTGTATTCAAACTTGGCTTGTTAGCTGGAAAGGATGAGATTGATGACGACGCAAACTTACAATGTGGGCAACAGTCTCGTTTCCGTCGATATCCTTCTTCATGACACCGTCCTGGTAAATACCGATGGTGGCGAGCAGGTCGAGAGTGCCCTTGTCGCAAGGGTCGATACCGTCGAAGACCAGGCACACAACAATCTTCTGCCAGGCTGGGCCACCCTTGTTCCAGAACTCGGATTTCTTCAGGTTGACAATGTCGCGGATGTTTTGCATGACACCGTGCAGAGTACGGGCGGTAAGAACCTTGTCTTCATTGTAGTAGGTGACGGCAATGAGCAGCTCTGTGTGACGGTTGTACATGGCAGGACGCAGATTGTAGCCATTCTTGAGGGTGAAGTCGTTGGGGTCGCATGTCGCGGCCGTGTCTGCAGCTGTTAGAGGCGAAGGGAAAAGTCGGGTAGAATGGAAGACTTACAGCGCATGTGTGTGAACTCCTCGCTGCCGCTCTCGAGGTCATTGCGGTACTTGGCCTGGATGGCGTTCTGGATGGCCGAAGGCACAGGGTAGTCGGCACTCAGGACGGAGCCCTGGACAAGCTTGACCTTACGTGTCATACCACGCTTGAGACCACCGGCGGCACCTCCGCCGGGCTGCTGTCGCTGCCTCCATGCCTCGGTTGAGCTGGTCTCGCTCCTCTGGTATGGTGATGGAGCTCGCTGAGGAGCGCCGAAGTCGCCCGGGGCGTCGTAACCGCCTGTCGCCGAGTAGGCAGAGCCATCGTGAGCTTGGCCGGGGTATTGTGTTGGCCTGTCGGTGGCATACGACTCGGTCAAGCTGTAGGTCGAGTGTGGGCGGACCTCAGGGTTGCCGTAGAAAGGGTCTGAGTGGGCGCCGGTAGGGTTCTCGTGCAGGAGCGAGCGACCAACTTCGTCGTCATGCTCCTGGCGGTCGTACTGGGTAGCTGTCAGTATGTGGTGCCTTTGCTGCCCGCGGGTTCAGGGGCGCCTACGCCAGTGTTGGGGTCTCCAAGGTTATAACCTTGGTTATTGTTGTACGCCATGACGTGCTGCAGTCCACGGGCCGGCGCTGCAGATGGCGATGTTTTCGAGAAAAAGGAATAGGCGGTGGAGAAGGATAGTGTTGAGATAGAGAAAAGTAGTCAGCGCACAACTCGGGGTGTCGCTTGATAAAGGTGGATGGAATGTCTGGGGCGCTTCAGGGCTGAGAAAGCTGAAGGGACGCGCGCTATACCCCTTGGAGCGGGATGGGGAGGGTTGCGCTAGGAAAACGGCCGCGCTGAAACACGACTTATTGGTCGACTCCAAGTGCTGCCAGGTTTCAGCTTGTAGGCGGGCGCTCCTTTAACGAAAGTACTTTCGTGGGACTGTCTCGACAAGAACGGGCAATCGCCTCTACTTGAATTCACTGACGACAGAAAACCTGCTGGCGGTGAAGCACACGAGTAGAGCACATGGCAGTCGCCGTCGTCTGTCAGTGTGGCGCTAGACCGGCCACGACGGCTAAAATTAGAGACAGGCCTTAATCAGCTCCACGCTTATACCTGCTCAGCCTCACCCAGAATCTACCTTTTTCGCTGTTGCCGGGCGTATACTGCGCAGCGACTATGCCCACATCTGCTTTGGTTTCACTCTGCAGACTGCCGTATGCACAACAACGTTCGCCGCTGCAAAGTGGCTTGACATGGACAAGATGGCTCCCGTCTCTGGCTGCGCGTCGAATGTCTCAAGCTAGGGGTAGTAGCACGGTCGACGTCAGCATCCTTCCAAGGTTGCTCCGTAGGCGGATCCACTCCCACAGATCTTCACGTTCTCTACAAAGGGTTACATGCATTGGCACTGTAACCCATGCTACCCAAGTATACGAGTGAATAGTCGGAGCGATTGATACTTTGAATAGGCCCGGTACATTTTCGGTTCGTCACTACACGTCGCCACATCAGTTTCTGCGCGCATAGCTGCATCGCTCCCACGGCGACTTTGTTTGGCTGCTGCTAAGGTCGCTCCATGGCAGTGCGTTGACAGGGTCCAGGCCGTTGGTGAGGTCTCCTATCCGCTGCAGTGGGTCGCCGTTGTAGGCTTGTTCCTGGACCCTTCATCTCTCCGCTGGCTCACATCTCTACCGCCATGCACTCGACACATTGGCAGCTCGATGCAGGCGCATGCTCTACATGGGTCTGTTACGCGCCGTCGGGCATTTAAGCTAGCTTCCAACAGCGATGCAGAGTCACTGCCATCAATTCTTCTCGACGTCGCATTTGTCCAAATGAACACCATAGGACGCCCATGGGCAAGAGCCTGTGCGCTTCACCCAAGACATCACGTGCCACCTTATCCATTAGTTCCTAGCTGTTCACAAGAAGACACTCTCAAGTACCCCCTCTCGGTAGCGACGGGAAAGCAATGCGATGCGTTCCTTCCTGCCTTCCTTTTTGCTTGAACATGACAGCGCGGGGAAGGGCAGCTCGCACCTTCCGTCATCCGCGTCTCAACAAAACACAAACTTGTATACTTCTTATGGATGTCAGCCACACCACCAAAATAGTTCGTTTTCCTTTCCGGAAAGCAGCACGTTGATATTTCCCACTCTTGGCCCGCGTCATATCCGGTACGACTGCCCCGCATCGTGGTACTGTCCATTATAGTTGAGACTGCAGTGACTGAACCTCCTGTTCGCTCTCTACCAAGCTTCCAACCCAGTCCTCGTAGACCCGCCATATCCACTAAGCGGTACGAGCCGCCATGGCCTCAGCCGCACCACTAGTGGGCCTACCGAGATCCAAGTCCAAGGCTTCATCAGCATCCGCCACGGCCACCGCCGTGTCAGCAGCTGGGGCTCACGTCAGTGCTTCTCAATGGAGAGCGCCCGATAACCCCGACTTTGTTCATCCGGATCATGTAATTCCACTACCGAGCTATCCGAGTGCGGACAATCTCATCATTGTTTGCTGCCATGCCATCTTCCTTCCGAATGCAGATGACGCCAGCTTCCCACTGCGCAGTCCTCACTACGAGCCTAATTGGCTGCTAGCGCCCTTCCAAAAGTCAGACGAGGCAACAGGCAAAATAGGCGAGCATGAGACATTCCTGGCTCATGTTAAAGCTGGTATTGATGCTTTGACTGTTGGAACGGACGCAGAGCACCCTCCTAAGAGCATCCTCGTCCTCAGTGGTGGAGCCACTAAACGCTCTGAATCTCTGAAGACGGAGGCACGCTCATACTATCATGCAGCCCTAGCAGAAGAGTTGGCAGAAGGCCATATGGGTGGTGGACGAACCCATCGATTACACAATAGAGGCTATATCTTACTGGAAGAACAAGCGACCGATTCATTCCAAAACCTATTATTCAGCATCCTTTTGTTCAGAAAAGCTACAGGCAACTACCCAAAACGAATCCGCGTCATTACACATGCTTTCAAGGCGAGACGCTTCCTAGATCTACATGCCCCAGCGATACGATGGCCAAAAGAGCGTATCCAGGTTCAGGGCATCGACCCGGTTATGTCGAGCAGCGAGTTAAGAAGCACACTTCGTGGGGAGGAAGAGAATGGATATACGGCATGGGAAAGTGATCCTTTAGGTACCGGAGATCTTCTAGGCGGAAAGAGACAGCTTCGTGGATGGGATGCTAGCAAAGGGGCCAAGCACTTTCAAGGTCTCGAAGATAGTGTCAAAGAGTTATTTCAGGGCACGGTATCTGACGAACTGCCGTGGATAAGCTAGCCTAAACGATGCTCAAGTCTTACATACACCCTACCTATAGTACTTCTCATTGTCGAAGTTCCTTGTTCGGTCGCCCGCAAAGTACTACATCTTCTCCTAGTGGTATCCATTTCGTGTCTTTCAATCTCGTCACAGGCAACCGCTTCGATCCGCCGTCTGGACATACTTGGACACCACCTTTCCCGAGCCATGTCGGGGCAATTGTAACAATGACAGAGTCTACTAGAGCATAGGCAGAGCCTTGTCCTAGTATATCGTTGATGACGAAGCCGCCGCCTTCGATCATTACACTTCCGATACCCCGACACGACAAAGCGTCAAGAATGAGGTGCCACGATGAACCCGCCGTAGCGACACACTTGGCTGAGAGGTCCAGGACTATCACTTCGCCACCTACACTTTCGAGAACGGCTCGTTGAGAGTCAGATGGCTCCATGCACGTCACAATGTAAGGTGCCTTTCCCTTTCCTTCTTTAGCTAGTTTCATCACTTTATTTTCTTCGCTGAATTCCCATCGCCCATGTGGATCAACGACAATCGGCCTTGGCTGCCCTTCAAGTCCTTCACCACCATAGCCACCCACACCTTCGATCCGGCAATTCAACGATGGGTTGTCGGCAATAGCTGTCCCAACTCCGACCAGAATGGCATCATGTCTTGATCTCAGAAAATGCGTCATGGCTTTCGATTGCGGACCGGATAGCGCTGTTTGTACTCCTGGTGCAATTGCTAGTTGGCTATCTAGGGAAGTGGCGAACGTTAAGGTGACGAAGGGCTTGGGGGATGTGGTGAGCCGTGGGAGTCGGGATGATGGCAGAGGGGGTAGATAGTCCACGATTTGTTCGCTCTCTGGACCTGAGAATTGTAACGCATCTCTTGCCGGGGCTTCCATCATTCTTGTTGTGACTGTTTTTCCTTTTTCCTGCGGAAGTTTGGCTGGTGTTCTTACACACATCTGAGGACCTTACGTGATGACTAAGTCGTGGAGTGGGCGTCGCCGCCCCACGTCGAATGCACGGACGGAGGCCCGACGATCGTGGCAGCCTACCCAACTGATCCTCATTCTCACGTACAATTTCCCTAGGCCCTTCTTCTTGTTTGGCGTTTGTGGTTTCGCAGGTATCTGTACTCGCGCCTCCTCTGCTTACCCTCACCTGTCTCGCGACCGTCCGCTGGTCCCCTACCTCTCGCTGGCCAATTGCCCCGCGATCCTCTCACGCGCGCCCATCATAAAGCACACCCACGCGATTATATCAATACAGGCAGTAGCCCAGACGCCACCAAAAATACCGCCAAGATGATGAAAATATGGTCTATGGTAGGTCTCTACCCTTCTGGGACCGCAAGTGCCGGGTCGTACGACAGCAAAGGCTAACACCCCTTGCAGAAGAAGCAGCAGCAGCAGGACGAGGCAGCCGCTGCAGCCTCGAGCAAGAAGAAGAAGGTCACCCCAGCCCAGTTACGCACACAGAAAGGTACCGCCATCCCTACTTCACCCACATCTTCACGCGCAAAAGCTAACGCGATCGCAGATCTCGAAGAGCTATCCCTTGGTACAACAATGAAGACGCACTTCCCTAACCCCGACGATATCCTTAATTTCGAGCTCACGATCGACCCCGACGAGGGCATGTACAAGGGCGGACGCTTCAGGTTCGACTTCAAGATCAACCAGAACTTCCCTCACGACCCGCCAAAAGTCAAGTGCACACAGAAGATTTACCACCCGAACATCGACCTTGAGGGAAACGTCTGCTTGAACATTCTGCGAGAAGACTGGAAGCCGGTGTTGAACTTGAATGCGGTTGTTGTTGGGTTACAGTTTCTGTTCCTTGAGCCAAACGCGTCGGACCCCCTGAACAAGGAGGCTGCGGAGGATCTCAAGCAGAACCGAGAGGGCTTCAAGCGCAATGTGCGCGCATCGCTCGGCGGTGGAACGGTCAAGGGACAGAGCTTTGATCGCGTGCTCAAATGAGCAGTATGGTATATGGCTGGAGCAACACGAAGCTCTTCTGCAGCAATACCCCCAAGCGCCAGTTGGAGGACGGGTACATCACGACGGAACGATACCGAGCCAAGGGCTCGATGCAGGATGTGGACTGACGCTTGGGGGAGGATCGGGGGTGGGCATGTCTACACCTTAGCGACTGCATGCAGGGTCTGGCGCATCATGTAGAAGGTGCATGGCGTATCACACGGGGTGCAATATAGTCTTCCAAGATCTCTCACAATATAGATGCATATTTGCGTGCAAAGAATGACTCAATGTGCGTATGGTACTTGATGTGACTGTGGTATTTGCCCAAACTATGGCGTCACCGACAGACCTAGTCCGCATCCGTCTTTTAACACGGGATCGAGGCAACGGCCACACGCAAACCGTACTGCGAAACGCTGCACCCACTGCTCGCTGTATACATGTCAAAGACACCAAGCCCGCCGCTAGGACTGCGGTGAGTACCACTAGGTTATCGGCCGCCACGCATCATCAGTATGACTGGATCCAGCGCTGCCTCCAACCATCAGAACCGCACTCGGAGACACGCATTCCTCCCCGAAGACCCTCCAGCCCCCCTGCTAGCACTCAATCGTCATGCTGTGATTGGCCAGTCACGCGAACGGCCTGGTCTGGGGCAGCGATAATCGGCATGGTCCAAGCTCCCGTGCTCGAAATTCTGGGTGTGGTCAAGATCTCACCAGCGAGTTTAAAAGCTGTCATCCCCGCTTGACAATTCCAATTCCTCAAGATACCCCTTTCACACACACATTCACAATGGCTTCAAGACCTGTTTCCCGCGCTCTGCGCCAAACCGCCCGCCAATTGGCTGCTACTCCCGCTCAGAAGCGCACTTTCGTGTCTGCTCTGAATGCTGGTGCCAAGAAGGCTGCTCCCCGCGCGGCTGTTACAAGCCAGTTCCAGCAGACTCGTGGTATCAAGACCATTGACTTCGCTGGTACCAAGGAGACTGTCTACGGTAAGTTTTGAGCTCCGTTGGATGTCAATTGAGGACATTGTTGCATTGGAATGAGAGCTGACGTATGCCGAACAGAGCGTGATGACTGGCCAAAGGAGAAGCTCCTTGAGTACTTCAAGAACGACACCATGGCCATGATTGGCTACGGCTCCCAAGGTCACGGCCAGGGTCTCAACATGCGCGACAATGGCCTCAACGTCATCGTCGGTGTACGGAAGAACGGTGCTTCATGGAAGGAGGCTGAGGCGGATGGCTGGGTTCCCGGCAAGAACCTGTTCGACATCGACGAGGCCATTGCCAAGTCGACCATTGTCATGAACCTTCTCTCCGACGCCGCTCAGTCCGAGACCTGGCCCGCTATCAAGCCCCAGCTCAAGGGCAAGGTAAGCGGGAATCATCGGACCTGACAAGTATGCACACTAATGACAACAGACTCTCTACTTCTCCCACGGCTTCTCCCCCGTCTTCAAGGACCTTACCAAGGTCGAAGTCCCCACCGACATTGACGTCATCCTCGTCGCTCCCAAGGGTTCCGGCCGTACTGTCCGCACCCTCTTCCGTGAGGGCCGTGGTATCAACTCATCCATCGCCGTCTTCCAAGATGTCACCGGCAAGGCCAAGGAGAAGGCTGTCGCCCTCGGTGTTGCCGTCGGTTCCGGATACATGTACGAGACCACCTTCGAGAAGGAGGTCTACTCCGACCTGTACGGTGAGCGTGGCTGCCTGATGGGTGGTATCCACGGCATGTTCCTCGCCCAATACGAAGTCCTCCGTGAGCGCGGCCACAGCCCCTCTGAGGCTTTCAACGAGACTGTTGAGGAGGCTACACAGTCTTTGTACCCCTTGATCGGCGCCAACGGCATGGACTACATGTACGCCGCCTGCTCCACCACCGCCCGCCGTGGTGCCCTCGACTGGAGCCCACGCTTCAAGGCCGCCCTTAAGCCCGTCTTCAACGACCTCTACACTGCTGTTGCCGACGGTAGCGAGACCAAGCGTAGCTTGGAGTACAACTCGCAGCCCGACTACCGTCAGAAGTACGACGCGGAGCTTAAGGAGATTGACGAGTTGGAGATCTGGAGGGCCGGAAAGGCTGTTCGCTCCCTCAGGCCCGAGAACGCCAAGTAGATGCGTCTCGGCATGCGAGGTTGAGCTTGGATAGTCAAAGACAAAAGATGTGTAGATAGTGTCATGTTTACGATTACGGATGTACTCTGGCGTTTGATATGGGCGCTGATAATTCCATGCTTGCTGCATTGACAGCGACGGTAAATCAAAAAGAACGAGAGAAGTAAAAGGGAATGGCTTGTTAAAAGCGAAATGAATACCTTTGCAAGACAGTTGTTGTTCTGGTTCGCTTATGATGTCCAATGTGATTTGTGATTCCTTTACTTTGAACTCATTGAATAGCTTTGCTAGAGCTAGGGGCTTGGTTTGGTATATCTGACCATCACTAATACGTCGTCGATGCTTCATGTTGCATCGTATCTTTCCATCTAGCTAGGCGCGAATAGTAAAACGGTTGTGGGCGGTGTAGATGTAAGGAAGCCGGTTATGGTGTATATATACATTGTAGCACAGCGGGATGCACATGTACAGGAGGGTTAAGCTCGACTCGCAATCGGGGATAGGTAGGCATAGTGAATTGATTTTTATAGCTATCGAAGGTGGGTGGGCAACCTGTGAGGATCGCAAGCTTGCTTTCTGGCTCCCAATATACTCCTCGGCTTCCCGATCTCACGTGACTACCTACTACACCATAACGTTCGTCTCTACATCATACATTTACATGAATCGAAGATACCATTCTTTGTCTTTGTAGCCATCCTTCTCCGTTCCAATATTCAGATTCGGTGCTTCTGTCCACAGCTTACTGATATCTAGTCTCGCGTACCGCTCCTCTCTATCCGCCGTTCTAGCTAGCGCGAAAACCGCACTGCCGAACTCATAACATGGTTTCCCTGAGGTACTTGGAGGGACGATCAGCTCGCTCTTGATGACGGGTATGAGAGTACGCTGCCACACTAGATTCGTATTCGCGTCTGGTTTCAGTATTTCGGCTTGTGAGTTCGCAAGCAGTCGTTCGTCGTGGATGCGAGAACCAAGGATAGCGATACCGCTAGCGCCAGCATTGGAGCAGATGAGTGCAGAGTCCTGAGTCGTTACCACGCCTTCGGGGAAAGGCTGGCCGTTGTGAGTGGATGAGGAAGAAGAGAGGCCAGAGGCGTGCGCGTGGGTGGGCAGAACTTCGCCGTGTTGGTGGCCGCGGCCTTGGATTGCAAAGCCGCCTTGCACGGCGTGGATCTTTACCGCATTAGATCCGTTGTTGGTGATGCGGTGCCAGCGGAAGTACCAGTCTGGCCATTGTTCACAAGGTGGAATGATGTGAGTTGATACAGAAATGTCCGCGTCGGCCCAAGGCTTCCATGTACTCGTAAGGCAGGTTCTCCTCGACCAGGACGTGAGCTTGCGTTCTATAGACACATCAACGAAGCCATGATTTGTGACTTTCCACGGTACTCGCCAGGTCTCGCCGTCGTCTTTACTCAGTGCGAGGGTGCTGTCTGGCGCGATTTGTTGTATCAACGAACCAGTAGGCACGCTGAAGCCAAAGTGCGAAGAGTATGCATATTTTCCATATTTTGCTTCCGTCGCTTTGAGGGGCCAGGGACAAAACTGTCCCGCCGAGAGGAGGAAGTGGTGGTTTGGCTGACTGCAGAGGATGTGCATTGGCGGTTTGATGGGCATGATATTCCACGGACCACCATAGGGCAAGCGTCTCTCCTTCGAAGTCCAGAACAGATGGTCTTCTGGCAACCCCAGTGCCAGGAATGACTTCAGAGCCCAATATGGAGACTGTGGGCTGTTGTAATCTTCGCTCATGTACATGTTTGGGTAGGTGAAGCCGATTGTCAAGGTACCGTCCATGTTGAACATGTCATCTTTAGTGCTCCACCATCGAAAGTGCCGAAGGAGAAGACCTTTGACGTCACACCATTCTCTTATTGGCGGTACTGGTAGTTCCAACTCTGCGAAAGCCGCGGCTGACCAGAACCCAGCGAATGCGAATCGATATGTCAAACTTCGGCCAAAAGGTATCGCAGCACCTAGTTTGTGTCAGGTAGCGTCAGAGCTTTGATATCGATAATGGGCTTACCATTAGTATCAAAATATCGCCAAAACGACTTGGCGAACTCCTTTGCTCGGCCCCGGAACCTTGCGCATCGCTCTGGATCCAAGTCACTTGCCATCTTCACATATATGAGCTGAGAAAACTGTATAGCAAAACTTCCAGAATAGTAGTCTGCCTGCCTTCCCTCATCACTCCATATTCCGTCGGCTGACCAACCCTCACCTAGGTAGAATTGCTCCATGAGATCCAGATCCGCCTTCATGGCATCGAGCGCGTTGTCCTTGGGTGCGCCACATACTTTGATCAGCGCGAGGTTAGTCATGACGCGGAACCAGAGCCAATTTGTGGTAGGAAAGTCCTTTCCATTGATGGTCTCCAGCCACTTCGTGATGTTTTTCTTCGCTTCTTCGGTCTGCGAATGGAACATGGTGTCTGGTGCTGCTAGTAATGCGAACGAAATGATTTCCATCTCGACCATTCTTTGGTCTCGAAGTACGACTGGGCCCCAGTATTCGGCATGGTTTGGATCGGTTCCGTTGGCTAGACCTGTGGCGTAGGGCTCGATGAGCTCGTTGTACTCGTCTGCGGAGACGATGTTTGAGTGCATGAGCGTGCCGACTGCCCATAGTGGCCGAGCATAGCCTTCGAGCTGGGCTGCGACATCGTCGAAGTGAGTACCAGTCACCAACGGGAGTTTGATTCGGGCACCGTGGGGTGATTGATACGGCTTCAATGCGCGGAGGAGAGCTATCGCTGCCTTCTTAAAGTCGGCGTGTGTCTTGAAAGGGTTGTTCGAGAACCCGTCCAACGGAGGCATTGTGTCTAGCACGCTTTTAAAGGCCTTTAACGCGTAAAGACGCGGGATCTTGCTGTGTGCTTGCGGTTTTACACGTTCTGTAGTCTCTCAAGTCCTGTGGGTCCATGTTCGTGTCCCGCTCTGAGCGGCTCGACTGGCGACAGTCATCTTCGTGCCATTTTCGCTTCGCACCTGAATTGGCAGCGCATCCGATATACACCTGGACGTCGTGCATCGTCATCCCTTGCCTGTCACGGGTTGATGGAATTGGGTGGCTCCCGCCGTGGAGTGATCAGCCGAAAGAAGGGTTAGCCTCGCGGGGTCCGAGTGTGGAGAAACCTTGATTTATCCCGATGCCCGCCGCTCCTGCATCATCCACATTTGCTTCTTCCTGACCAGCGCTTTTGCGATGTCGTGCTGATGTCGGCTGGGTGGACTAATTACTCGGTTGGCAATGGCAGCCAAGCAGGCGAGGACGATGGCCCCGTCTCGGTAGGGGGTGACACTCCTGCGTGTGTTAGCTGCAAGCAACGCAAGCTGCGATGCTCGCGCGAGACACCCTCGTGCTCGCATTGCCTGAGGCTGTGTAAGTAATCTTGTTGAATGGCGCTATCTTGCGTCGCTGACATGCGCCATAGCTTCCGAATGTGTCTATCAGCCAAAGAACAAGCCTGGCCTTAAACCCGGAGCTGTTGAGGCGTTGACCCGCCGCGTTGGTATGGTAGTACTCCTTCTACGATGAACTCAATCTCACGCAGGTTAGCTTTTCTGGAGAGGATACTTTTGGATGACGCTGGAAACATCCGACCCCGGTATAGAGAAGATGATGTTGCGACCAATGGGCATACAGTCGCCCATGCAGGACCTGATACCGTAAAAGAGAGCCCTGCGCCTCGTGTTGAAGAGCCACCACAATGTGTTGCGCCTACTCCCAAGTTCAACCACATTCAACAATCCACTGAGGATCGATCAACAGGCCTTGAAGAAGAGAGCGGTGCGATCAACCCGTTGAAACGAAGACATGAGATGCCAATTGCTGAGAGCTGGCTTCTGCCCTTTGAAGATGTTGATATTGCACAATATCTGCCATCTCAACCACTTCTCGAAAAGATTGCAGACTTCTTCTGTATCTCATTCCATCATTGGATCCCGTACATTCATAAGGCGAGACTCCAAACACGAGTACGTCAAGGTTGTCAGGATCCAGGCCATGTGCTAGTCCTGCATGCTTTGGTTGCAGTTGCTTTACGGCACATGGATCACAACGTAATATATCTGGACAATGACCAGATAGTTCAACAAACCAGGGTGTCACGTATGATTGTGGAAACTCATGCAATGCGCAATGTCACCATCGAAAGTCTACAGGCCCTCATCTTTCTAGTCTTTGATCTTCTCAATGACGGACAAACGCAAAGGGCATGGCCCTTGATTGGATCCCTTACGAGGACTATCGACTACCTTCAACTTACTACCGAGCCATCAACATCACAGTCAGGGTCGCTCATGACGCCGGTGCGACTAGTGAAACCATCCAACGATTGGACGGAATTGGAGGAAAGGCGAAGACTATTTTGGATTATCTTCCTACTGGATAGATTCTGCTCAGTATCTACTGGATGGAATACGAGCCTCACCGCGGACGACGTGCACCGTCGCTTGCCAGCCGATGGCGGATTCTTTACGAGAGAGGAACCAGTGACCACGCCGTACTTCGGTATCTGGAACAAGGCGGCTGCTCGTATCGGGCGCTCACTGGCAAACGTCCCTGCGCAATACAACGACGAGGACTCAGCAATCGATCACTTGCCTCAAGGGGCTAGTCCCAATTCTGCTAACGGCTACATCGACGCTTCCAAGCTCGGCGCATTCGCATATTGCGTCGAAGCAACCGAAAGTCTGAGTCAGGTGACCACGTTTTTCCTCCAACAACGGATCAACTGGCAAGACAAGGAGCATGCGGTCAGTTGGTTGACGCGCTTCAAAGAGCTAGATCTTAGGCTTGTACAATGGAAAATATTCTTACCACCCAGATGGAAGGACTCGAACATCTCGTCAGATAGGACTGTGGTCGACATGGATCCAAACCTTACACTAGCACATATCACACATAACACGTCAATGATTCTGCTGCATCATCCAATTGGATACCCACCCCGTGGATGGAACGACTTCGTCGCACTGCCGAAAGAGTGTAGCGTTCAGACTTGCGAGCTTGCCGCTGTGGAGTCTTCAAACATCGTCGACAAGTTCCTTACCCATACACCTATACCATTTGTTAACGTACAGTTCTCGTTCTGTGCATTCATTGCCGCCAAGGCGTTACTCTTCGAACACCAGGCCGCTCGTAGACCTTTACGTTCCGAATTCCACCGCCTGATCCGCAATCTCGAGGAGATGTCGGCAAGATGGAGGGGGCGGGACACAGATGATGCAAAACCGGAAAACCAAGCTGGAACATACGCAAAGCACCTTAAGCGCCTACTTGAAGCCTGCCAAAACGACGCCAATTTCCGATTCGACTTTTACGACCACAACGGACTCACTCTCGACCCACAAAACCACGCTAGTCCGACATATGCCGCTACTCCAAAAGCACGCTCTAGAAGTCTTGCACACGAACGCTCGCTGCTCAGGAACCATGGTCGCAACAATAGCTTTAACAGTTCCCAGTCGACTCTTAGTCCCAGACGCATACCACCAGACATGAACAGAAACGCAGCCATGCCATCTCCAAGTACATACGAGCAGCACCACCCACGTCTACCGACAGCCCATGCGATATCACCCACCGCACCACCTCCAATATATCAATCACCGCAAGTGCAGTCTAGTTACCCTGGTCATACTCCATCACATTATGCACCAGGCGGCACGCCCGTACCAGGATCTGGACCGTCTCTTGCTCCATATGGCGCTGCTGGTACGACGGCGAATCACCAGAGTGTGCAAGATCAATCTCTGCTTAATCTGTCTGACGCGTTCATGGACTCTGGTTTCTTGGATATGGACCGCGTTATTACATTTGAAGATGCGAATTTCTTCTTACCAGGCGATGCGTTTCGTTGGAGTTGATTTGTTCAGGTAGTTGAGAAAAGTTTTAACAGCAAGGCTGGAATTAATGCGCAAGGTCAACACCGGTCAGCGCACGTGATTGTTTACCGCAACATATGCGACACACAGCTGGAGGCCTGAAGTTCGTTGGGCAACGGTCATTGGTCGGTGGAACGGCTGCGCCTCAACTTTGAACATTTAAGTAAGAACAGAAGTCTGTCTCCACTGCAACCTGATAGTCCTATGTTCTCTCTCGCAGCATGGACGATGACTCCGGCGCAGAAGCTGTCAAAAGTTGGCGGTCGATTCTTACGATTATCGTCTTTGTTTTGATTAGTGAGTGATGGGTAGCTGCCTGATGTTGTTCAAGATGACTGGTCTGACCTTCATAGATCTGCCGATACTACACCCATTTAGCCTGCCAGTCTATATCCCACATTTGGTTGCGGAATCTTTATTCTACATCCTCAGCGTCTTGCGCATATTGTCATGGCAAAGAGAAGGTGGCGCAGCTAAACGGTCGAAGTTCACCAGATACACGGTACCGGTCAACTATGTTACAGCGCCTCTCGCCACAGTATTATTTCTACTAGCTGCTACAGTCATTGGCAAACACGAACTCATGTTGGGTATTATAGGCGATGATGATACCGGTATCTGCCCGTACGACCTAGTCATTGTCTTCCTCAGTCTAGGATATATTGCCAATTCACTTGGAGCAGCTGGCTTAGTCCGGTGGGTGGTATTCAAAGCCGTGAGACTCGGGAAGGTAGGTCACCGCTTATATTTCTACCTCTACATCTGCTTCTTCAGCATAGGAGCCTTTCTTGGAAACGATCCCATCATGGTCCTGTTTCTCTCCTACTTCATTCGGGTCGCTTCGAATATCAAACATCTACGAGCATGGATACAGACGCAATTCTGCATCGCCAACATCGCAACCGGGATCTTGGTATCATCAAATCCTACTAACCTCGTGCTCGCAAATGCGTTCAAGATACGTTTTGTTAGCTTTACAGCGAATATGGTTGTGCCAGTCTTTGCCACAACAGTTCTGCTCTTTCCCTTCCTACTTTATATCGTATTTGCCGATGAAAGTCTTATCCCGATGTCAGTGAAGGTCCTTGACCTACCTGATCAAATCAAAAACAAAAAGCCAACAAATCCCAATATTCGGGTAGTACGCGAAAGGCCTACTGACAACGAAAACTTTTGGTCCGAGGAAGAAGACGCGGAACGGGAGCGTGCAGAACGGGAGCACGCGGAACGGGAGCACATCTTGAACCCTTTCCTCGACAAGAAGAGTTCTATTCTCGGGTCCATCATCTTCGCCGTAACGATCATCCTGCTATTGGCCTTGAACGCTGTATATCTTTCGCAAGGTGGCAATACTGACTTCTGGGTTACACTGCCAGCTGCTGTCACCATGCTCTTTTGGGATCTTACTGTGGGCTGGATGCAAAGGGCAGGAACACGTCGTATCGCGCAACAGGGAAGGGATCGCGCTAAAAGTCTCAATCTCGATGGAGGAGTCTCAGCAATCGAGGACGTGGACCTAGCTCATGATGATCACAGCGCATCTAACATACATTTGTGTTCGTGCCAGAAAAATCCCTCTCAAGGAACTTGGTTATCATGGAGTGTCGATGCCAGAAGGGTGGCTCAGGCCTCCAATAGAACATCAACCGAAGAGCCTCCATCAGGAAACACAACCAACAAGAGTTTGGGGACGACCCAGCAGCAGCAGCAGCAAATACCCATGACTGGCGTGCAGCGGGCGCTCACAAATTTAGGGATCGCAGAAACCTCACACCCGACATCCGAGCTTCGACACAGAGATGATCATGTTACGCTATTCAAGCTCCTAGAAAACCGGTACGTGTGGTGTCAAGAGACCTTCCCCACAACGACGGTCTGTCTACGTCAGCTTCCATACGATCTCGTCCCCTTCGCGTTCTGCATGTTCATCCTTGTGGAGGCTCTCATCAGCAAAGGTTGGGTTCGTGTATTTGCTCACTGGTGGGACCTCTGGGCTACCAAGTCTGGATCTGTCGGATGCATTGCAGGTATGGGCTTCCTGGGTGTGGTGCTATCTAACGTAAGTATCACCAGCTCATAAATGTGAACGGAATGACTAAATCATCCTAGTTTGCGGGGACGAATATCGGGGCATGCCTGCTACTGTCGCGCGTAATACAAGCATGGCAAGAGACACATGACAAAAGCGGAATACCGATAAGCGAAAGAATGTTCTGGGGATCAGTCTATAGTCTCTCACTCGGTGTGAACTACGGCGCATTCGGCATATCGATGAGTGCATCGCTAACCGGTATCATGTGGCGAAGTGTGCTGATGAAGGAGAATACTAGAGTCGGTCCACTGGAGTTCTGGCGGGTGAACATTCCGATCATTGCTTTTTCCATGGTAGTTGCTTGCACAGTTCTCGTTGGAGAAACGTACATCATTAGAGATAACAGTCCTCATTGAAATCAACATCACCATCCCCGGGTCACCTTGGAATCTAGTAGCAACCCGTAGACGCTGAGTCCCAGCATGTGGTGATCCGTGGATGATCTGCACTCGCCGCGCGACACCTTGCGCGTTGATCTGGCCCCCACGCTTACTCTGCATAGCCTCAAAAGGCGGCGAAGCCAGGTATAAGGGTGTTTCAGGTTCAACAGCCTGATACTTAAGTATCTCAGCTCTCTGTCTCAATGTTTTCACTCGTTCTCGGTTCTCGCACACTCATTAACATTTAGCGTACAACCATGGCCAGGTTGAGCGGTAGCTTTCAGAAGCTACATACCAAGCTAAGCGGGTGGAGGAGATTAGCCATCTTGAACATCGGTGCTATGGTTCTTTTGACGCTATTACTATGCGGTTTCACCGTTGCTTCGATTCTCAAGACAGACCTATCAGAGATAGCCAACGAGGGTTACAATTACGACGAAGCCAGTCGAGGGGATGCGGTGCGCAACACCTTTCTGTTCCATTCCTCGCTCTGCACCGAACCTACGGCGCGGAATGTCAATACAGTTCTCCATTTAATCGTTAACGCCGTGTCCAGCGCAGTCCTGGCGTCGTCCAATTTCTTCTCGCAGGTACTCAGCTCGCCATCACGTGCAGAAGTGGATGTGTCGCACGCGCGAGGAAGATCACTCGACGTTGGAGTAATATCATGGCGGAACGCACTGGGTTTGTCTCCCTTCAAGACGGTGGCTTGGGTCGCACTCTTGGTCACGTCACTGCCTCTGCATTTGCTCTTTAATAGTGCCATACTGCAATCGGCCGATTCTGAGGGCTCCCATGCGCAAGACGGTGGCAACTGTTATGTGGGCGTCTCGAACCCGCTTCTCTTGACCGTTACGCTAGCTTGTCTAGTGAAAGTAATCATCTGCGTTATGATAGTGTGGGTCTTAGGCCCCCAGGAGTCCTTAGTCACGCCTGGAGACGCTGTGGCGTCGTTCATCTCCGTCCCAGACTCGTATACCGCCGACAGACTGGAGTTGCTTGTAAAACATCCGAAGCATAAGGCCGATAGTGGTAGCCCAATACTGTGGCGGTATACTCCTCTAAGACGATCATCCTGCATTTCGCGCTGGACATGGACATACACATACGCCTTTTTCGTTGCCTGCATCCTGGTCGCAGCTGGCGTTCTAGGGAAGGAATATCAAATGATAAAGAATGACGAGATGTAAGTTCCTATCCCAGATTATCGCACGCATAAGCTAAGCCATACGATAGGGACCAGCAATCCCTTCGCGATTCTAGCTCTCCCCTCACGATCATACCACCCAACTCCTCCGTCCCCTTTATCACCACGGTGCTCCTGGCCAATATTCCACAGCTATTACTCTCAGTCTGGTATTTTGCGTACAACGCCATCTTGACTCGGTTACAACTCAGCCAGGAATGGGCTCTGTACTCCACGTCATCCCGGCCTCTTCGTGTCTCTCAGCCCAGGTACTTTCCCAGTCTTCCTTCTGACTCTTATGAGTCTGCATGAGGCCATTTATGATGGCAAAGAAAGGTGCAAAACGGTATGCTAACGAAAGCTCTGATTAGAGGCCAACAAGTTGGAACTTATAGGCTCCAGCTCCCGTATAAATACAGTATCCTTCTTATAATCCTCAGTGCAGTTCTGCACTTCCTGCTTTCTGAGAGCTCGTTCGTGGTCCTCTTTACAGATGGTATGTACCTAGACAAAGATGCAATATATAGGTTCAACACAAAGGCACTAACATTAGATATCAGACGATGGGACTGTAGGACTGGACGGTTCGAAGGACTACCAAACCCTGCCATATGACCTGTATGTCGTCTGGGGTCTATCTCCAACATACTTGGCCGGACTGCTAGCCCTGGCCATCGCCGCCATTCAGATTCCCTGGCTTCTGGGTTTATTACGAATGCCCGGGCACATGCCGCCCGTTGGATCAGACTCACGGGCCATAGCAGCTGCTTGCCATGTCTCACCGTTGTCCAAAGCTCCACTTGATGAACAGAAGGGTGGGGAAGGCGAAGGCTACGAGCCCGTGTCTATGGCTGATAAAGAAGGACATGGCGGTCTGCTAGCCGTGTCTAGAAGTCTTCTCTCATGGGGTGTAGTGAAGATGCCTCAAGCTTGGTACGATGCTCATGTCGATCGGCGAAATGCACCAGAAAGCCGCCGGGCGGTGGAGCATCTAAGCTTTGGCACTTCGCTGGATGATGTAAAAAAGCCTATCAGGGGACGTTTATACTCATAGTCACGCATCAAGCACAAGAAGAATGAACAAAACGAAAGAAAACTGTACTCATTTCAGATATGTTGCCCATAAGACGAGACCTTTGAGGATCATCGAAATCCCTGTTGCTATCCTCAACAGACTTGTTCCACTCACGGTGCGCCTCAGAACTACCCGACCTCAGCTACCTTCCCCTGAACGAAATGACTAATTGAAAGCATCGTCACCCTCTGGGCTCAGAGCAGACCATAACTACTCAGTCCATATGTCCTCAAAGAAGTCTTCGACCCTAGGTCGACTCGAACGTTCATCTTCAGGCTGAAACAGATCCGATATGCCCTCAAATGGATCTTCGACTTCAACCCTACTCGAGCCTTCGTTTTCAGTCTGATTCAGATCTTCACCGTTCGGCAGAAAGAGATCTGGGTGAAGCCGACGTAAGTGTTCAAGGTCAGATCGAAGCGGCCGACAAACGTCTTCAAGCTCAAGTCGAAGCGACTCAGCTAGTTCATAATTTCTTGCCAGCTCAGCCTCACTCGAATCCTCATCCTCAGCCTGATTCAGGTCTTCACCGTGGTGTGGGAAGAATTCTGGGTAAAGCCGACCAATGTGCTCCAGGTTGGTTTCAAGCGACTCAATTGATTGTCCCACACCTCCTGGGAGGGACAAATCCGGGCGAAGTCGATAGAAAAACTCGACTTCAGCTCGGAGCGACTCATGCGCTTGCTCTGCTCTCGCCTCATAGCGTCGAGCCATGTCATACTGAGCCTCTAACTGTGCTTGCTCTATCCGCTGCTGTCGAAGCGTTTCGTCCTGATAATCTTCTATAGTCATTCCCGCACGGCTTTCCATATTTTCATCATCACGTACTATCGCACCCGTGACCTCGATGGGATGAAGTCCGTCGTCCAATGACTCATCCTCATCATGCTCGGAGATGTCCTGATGCACCACCTCATCCATATGCCGACGAGCCATACTAAGAACAGCGGCCGTGAAAGCCTCTTGAATCCTGTTAACCAGCCTGTCCATTGATGCGTTCATAGGAAAGAGCTCTGCGCGACAATTTGGACAGCTATTCCCACTCTTCAGCCAAACTTCTAGACAATGGCGACCAAAGACGCAGTTACAGCAACAGATCATCATGATGGGGGTATGGTCGTCGTGTTGTTCGGCTTGGAGGTCGGTCTCGCTTGTTGTGGTAGCAACGTTGACTACAACGCTATGCTGTCCAAGGGGTACGCTCATCACACTGGTATATCTGTATGATGTATAAACGTTGGCAGATTGAGTGGGCCCAGGCGAAGTTTCGTCAAGTTGTTCAATGCAGATGGGACAGTCGTGCTTTTCATCGAGTTCGAGACAGGACTCGACGCCCTCGGCGAAGAAGGTTGCTTTGCTGGTGAAGACAGGCATGGTTGCTAACGATGTTGGTGGAGTTGGGATTGGTTGTGGGTGTAGTGAGAATCGGATCTTGTAGTGGGTGATATGCTCTCTGTAACTACGTAGTTGAGAGAATCTTTTATAACTGCTAGAAAGCGCATAGTGCACAGACTTCGTGCCTCCATTGTTAGGGAAGACAGTATTATAACGGCTTTCACTCACCAGTAGGCTAGGCGCTACCATCGAAACCGGGTACGCGAATATGTGCTTTCACGTTCTAGCCAGCTCTCCTCTTCTCAGCGTTGACATGAGTGACAGCCATCCGGATGATAGTCTCGTCAAGGCCGGCCATCATTGTTGCGCAACAATAACATGGCTACCTGATGTTCGACTTTTCCACCTTTTCGACTCGTGAATGTTCCACCTCTTCACTCTTCAGAGACGTTCGCCCAATCTCACGACTTGGTACGATCTGTATCTCATAACGGACTCGTCATTGCAAACTTTGTGTCGCAAGACCAGGGTAAGACCACAAAGTCTAAACCTCCTTTTGCTGCGTGCTTGATCTCTGTTCGACTCAATCCCATACCCGCTACCAGCGTCTGGCATTCACCCTGGACCATTACTCCCTCTTACACCCACTTCTGGATATTATTTGGAATGAGCTTCCTGAACATGTCCAATTGCTTCGCATGAACCGCCATCTTCACGTCCAGTATCTCAGGTCGTAACTGCAGCGTCCTATCAACACGACGTTGGTTCCCCCCAAAGACGACAGTATAATCCGGCAAGCGTGTATACGGAGGAATGACCGAAGAAGCCGTAACGGTGCAGAACTATTGATTATTAGTTTCCCCACCACACCTCTCACACACGTTCCAAAAGCAAAAATAGAACATGTATATGGACATACCTTTCCAATTATAGTCCCCCTCCCCACCACAGCACCAACCTCAATCACACTCCCCTCGCCCACCTCAGCAGCCTCAACAACAGCCCCACTATCCACAACCACATTCCTCCCCAGAACCGTCCCTTCACTACGCATCGACTCAACCCGCATATGCGCACTACTTCGTGCAGGCGGTGGTGCCATACCCCCCCTCTTGCCCTCCTCATCACCCATACCCACACCCACTTTCGCCCGCTCAAACACCACACATCCCTCACCCAGCACGACCGGCGCCACAGCGCTGCTGAGCTTACTATGTGGGTGTAACACGGTATTTGGGCCAATGGTCACGGGATGCGTGCCGGTGATTTGCGCGTGTTGCGCGATGAGGACGGTGGAGTCGAGGAAGATGGATGAGGGTTTGGGTAGGAGGGATGTACGTTTTGGCGCTGTGGAGGAGCGGCGGTGGTCGGGCGCTGGGCGGGAGGGAGCGGGCTGGGCGGACATGGTGAGTTTGTCGTGGTGGTTATCGGTTGGTTATCAGGTTGGATGTTGGTGGTAGGGCTGGCGGGAGGTCCGACGCGAGACGCGCTGCTGGATTAGCGTATCGCCGGATCACGTGAGTGGTACTATATGTTGATCTGTATACGTTGAGGACATGCGCAACAGGCAAAGACGACCCGAGGGATTGAAGATTTGGGAGTGGAAATGTGAACCTTCCGAGGCAGGGTCTGCTGTCTTCGTAGCCATGCCTGTCTCGCTGTGGTTATTCCCTACTGCAACCCTTAGTAGTGATGACCCCCGGCTATCGATGACGAGCCACGCAGTCAAATGCAAAATATGATATACAGGAGTACAGAATCGGAGGGGGTATCTCATAACCATGCATTACTACATACATCGTACCAGTTCATCGCAAAAGCCTCACATGGATGCCGCACGCCGATCAACAATCAGCGTGCATCAACCTGCTAACAGCACAGAACCATCTGTCCCGCGCCAAAAACAACCCCATCGAGTGAATAACAAACAAGCTAAACCACGACTCTGCTCTCGTCTTCCTTACCATCGTCGCCGCTTCCCCTCCTCTCCAACTCCGGACTACCCACCTTCTCGGGACTGGCAACTTTCACCGGACTCCTTCTCCCCACCTCCTGCCCCTCAACTTCAATGCGGCCTAGTATGTTTTCCTCGTCGTCACCCACGCCCTCGATACTATGCAGACTGTCGTCATCGGACGAGTCCTCGATGCCTTCAAACATGCGTGCGAAGCGCTGATGCCCCTCACGCTCCTCTTGTTCCTGAGTTTTCCCGGGAGCTGAAGGGTCGTCGGGGTCCTCCTCTGCTTCGCGCGTCGATTCAAGTTGGGCTTTGCGTTGCGCGAGTCGAAGAGCAAATTGGCGACGGGCCCGCGACGGAGGGATTTGAAGCGGCGGGGGAGCAGTGGGCTGGAAGAACAAGCAGTGTTAGCAGAGAACACATATCGGTGTGGCTTCGTTCGGCGGCGATGGAACGCAAACAAAAGACACGACTACATGGAAAGTACGATACAGGAGGAAACACAAACAGATGGAGAAGCGGGGAGAAAGAAGAGGACAGCATACCAGATCATACGGGAGACCAATCATCCAAGTTGGTACGTCACACAAAGGAGATGAGAATAAGAATCACATCTCACGATGCGTATTACTACATGTATCATACACCCTGTCGGATGGCGCAAGGAATGTATGTACACAAGGGATGATGGCTGGCCCCATAGATCTAGTATGCGAGCCGTCTGTCCGTTCCAGCTCATGATACAAACAACGTATAAGAAAAGGAAACGCACCAAAGGCGGGAGAAACGATCGTGGTATAGTGTGTGTTATGGTCGGGGCGCTCGGACATTATCGATAGTCCATATCAGCATCGTCAAATGAGATTTCACCCACTTGTTCGGAGTCGTCGACAGGCCCCTGCCGTTGTTCCCGCTCTCTCTCGGTATCGACATCGTCCATGTCTTCGTCTTCTTCGTCACTCGAGTTAGTAAAGCCACTAAGCAAGGAGCCTCCGCTGAAGGTGTACCCACCACCCTCAGTGTCACCAGCATTGGTGAGCTCCATGCTGTCGAGGCCTATGTTGCCGTTGTTGGCAAGGCTTGCATTGGAGAGCCCGCCACTGTCGCCTCCAAAGTTGTTGTTCGCAGCGTTGACGGCGTTGAGCACGGCCTGTCGGGGCCCAACACTCATATCGGGTCGTACGCCTCCGAGAATGGCGTTGTCGCGTTCTCGTGTCTCAGCTAGAATGTGTTCCACGTAGTATACCCATTCTTGAGCGTGAACCTTCTCCAGGACCATCTGTGATAACACTTCGTCGGTGTGTCGTTCTGTAAACTTCAACACCTCTTCCGCGATCAGCGTAAGATGACCCATGTATCCCAGTCGCATGGATGTTTCCTTATGCGACTTGTCGCTCTCCTGCTGCCCTTTGATGATGCGCTCGGTAATGCCTCCGTTGTCGAAGAGATCGATCGCTAGTTGTCGGTTGTATCCACGGTCCATCTGCCCGTTGAAGACTTGCTGAACAACATCATACACAACATTGTGCAGGAAGTTGTTCCATGGGAAGCGAAAGAAGAAGTCCTGTAACACTTAGGGAAAATCGTTCACGATGAGGGTAAAATGGTACTTACCAGTATCGTTGGTACAACCTTGTTCTCAACGAATGTAATCTTCAACAAGTCGCCAACAACGGGCGTGCCGTCAATGTCGATTTCAAAGCCTACAGTCTCCTCTGCACTACCAAATACAACGGAACGTACGCTCTGAGTCTCGTCGATAGGAGTGATCTCTGACAGATCTGATCCCGCTACTGGTGCTGTGAAGCGCGAAGTGTCGATGCTGGCTGTTTCAGCTTTGCTTTCGCGGTTCTTACCCGCAAATAATGGGGCTGGCTTGTCATCTGGATGAGGTGAAAGACTCGCAGATTGGTCAACGTTTGAGTCTGAGGTTTGGCTGAGCTGCTGGGTTAGGAGAGATGGCGGGGTCTTGACATCGGGTTTGGGTTCAGTCTCGGACTTGTCGGTCTGTTCGGACTCAGTCGGTTCCTGGCGGTCATTCATGACGGTATCCGTATCCAATTCAAGCTCATCAACCTTGGCAGTCAGTCCTGCTGATGTAGGCGACTCAGCATCGTCCACGGGCTTGGGCGGCGACGGAGCAGTCTCAGCAGGTGCTGCACTGTCCTTGGGCGGCGTCAGAGGCTCATCAACAAACTCGCCGTCATCGTCTGCGGTCTTGGTAACGGGCGAATCTTTTGGCGCGTCCCTTGGTTCAACCTTTGGTGAGGGCTCCAATGGCTCTCCAATCTGCTCTTTCTCGGTCGCAGTGTCTTTGGAGTCCTCGGGAACAACCTCCGGCGCCACGACTCTCTCAAAGTCGTCCTCCGAGCTGTTTTGTACATGCAGAGGTTTTATCTCGGCAGGGGAGTCCATTGATGGTGCGCGCGCATGATGAAAGCCCTGGCTATCGACGCTGGTAGAGAAGTCGCCCATGTTGCCAGTGTTTGCCGAAGTCAATTTACCGTCTGCTTTCAGACGTTCCCGCTCAGCATCGCGTCTTCTAACTTCGGCTTCGCTTCCCCGTTCGTTGAGTAGCGCCATGTTACTGCAATGTAGCAATTCGGCCATCAACTCGCAGGTCTTGAAACGATCAAAGCCGAGTGGCTCGATCTTCTCGCCAAAGGCTGTCTTGAGCTCTCGCTTCTTCTTGGTAGTGCTGCCATCGCGCTGTGTCACGATCTGGCTCGAACTATTAACCAGCTCCATGAATTGCGGGATGTGGTTCGCGAACTGACGAAGCAGCGTTCCTAGATAGATGGGGTCTGAATTCTTGGGTACCGGCCCGATTTGATTCTCCAAGTCGTAGTCAGAGTTGTTCTTTCTGATGACCTCGATAATGATGCCCACACCGACTGTCAGTGGGTTGCCACCTTGAAGCATGAAGTCTATCAATTGCTTCAGACATTGCTCGGACACCAATTGGCGCGTAAGCTCGTTGGGCCCGATGACGGATTGATCTTGTGTGGTAGCGTTTGCGGATATGGTGATGATGGCCTTGAGGAAGTCACCAGCGGATGTTTGTGTAGAAGTAGATTGTTCGGGGGCGAGGAACGAGATCAGACGGGGTATGAGGTTCTGCTGTTGTAACCACTGCAGTGTTGTTAGCTCTGCCTGCGAGGACATGTGGGTGGAATGGCTTACGTCAACAATGCCTTGTCCGCCTTCACTCTTCTCTAGGCTGATGATCTTCAGCAACAGGTCCATGATGACAGGGCAGTCGACATGCTGCAACATGTCTGTCACAACGTTGTCCAACGACTTGAAGAACTCGAGCATCTCCTCCATCTTGCGGTCGAGCAGCGACTCGTTGACCTTGGTGAAGTAGCCAGCTTGTACAGGATCGAGGGGCGCAGGCTGCTTGATGTAGGCCCAGAACTGTCGCAAAGTGTCCTGGTTCTCGAGGACAGCCTCGGATATGGACCATACTTCGGAGGACAGGATCTCGCATGACACATAGGCATACTTCATGCGCTGTCGCTCCTCCTTGCTTTCTTCGCTATCGCCAGCATCGGACTTTGTGGTGGACGTCGAGCGTGCCCTGACTTTGCCGAAAAAGCCCGTCCGGCTGGGACTCCGGGCCTCGTGCGCAGGCTCATTGGATGTGTCGTCGTCTGGTTCCTTGGGCCTTGCGGCGATAACGTAGCGCAGCAGGCGCTCCAAGACATTCTCATCGCGAAGGTATTCTATCAGCTTCGAGTTCTGCTGCTTGAGCTCCTGTATGAGATCCGACTCGTCCAGCAGCTCCTCGACAGTCACGTCGGGCTTGTCGAGGATGCTGTCGAGCGACGACAGCTGCGCGTACCCGCCGAAGCGCCAAAACATGGTGGTTGCGGTGGTTTGCGGCTACAAGGGCGGGGCAGGGGAAGGGTCGGGCGAGGCACTCGAGAGCTGTTGCAGCTGCGTGGGGCACATGCGTAGATTTACTGCGGCGACCAATGCGTCATAGATAAAGGGGAATGGCGGTGCAAAAGCTGCTGGAATGGTCAGCGGCGGGCTTTGTTAGCAGAGAGAGAGCGCGAGAGAGGCTCGAGTGAGACAGAGGGCGCGTGTTCGTGGCTTGGGCTGGGTTGCATGCGTGGGACAGAGGTACCTACTAGCGAACACCAGGCCGCGGGGAACGAAGGCAATGGCAAGCGAAAAGCGCGCGAGACTCCAATCGACCCATGCACCGACTGTTGATGAAGCGTCGTTACAGACACAGATGCGGAAAACCTGTGTATTTCCTCAAGGCAGTAGTGTTGTGGGTATTGTTGGGTTTGGTGGTGACAGCTCAAGGCTAGAAGCTGCGTAGTACGGGTAGCGTGCGCCGCAGATCACTTGCACCTCCCTGATATCGACCACGGCAGACGGCAGGATACTAGCACCTCATGCTCGTTGCCTTGGTCGCTGGCTCGCCCGCCTGTTTTGCGCCAGCGTTGCATCGCCAAATTGGACTGCCGTTTACCTGAATCCATGCTACCATGTATACCATGCATCAGCTGTGTGACGAGTTGTTGAATCCTGCGTCGCATCGCATGCCGGCATCCGTCTACAAGACGCTCTTTTTCCGTCGTGCGTTATATAACCTTGAAATACTGTTGAAGTACTTTGCGCCCTACATGTACACTATGCTTTTTCTTTCTCTTATCATACTAGCTTTCGATAAGCGAACGCCTTCCCAACGTCACAATAAACATTCAATATGCTTCTTCGTATAGCGCGTGTGGCAACCATCTTTGGATCTTCAGGGTTGAGAGATCCACTGCGAGCACGTGACGATCAATGACGTTAGCGGGAACTGCCGGAGCTACGACCATCGTTTGGTGGCTGCCATTCACCCCACACTCGCCAGCACACTCCACGCCCACTCTCCTACCTTGACTACACACCACGAACCCTTCAGTGGACCGCCGAACATCCCCTCCCCGCCAACATGAACCGCCTATTCGGAGCCAAGAGCAGCGCGCCCAAACCGACACTCAACAGCGCCATCTCCAATGTACGCTACACATAATAGGCAGCACCCTTAGCACACTAACAGACCCAGGTCGACACACGCATAGAAAGCATCGATGTCAAGCTGGCGAAGCTTAATGCCGAGCTCTCTACCTACCAGCAGAAGCTCGCCAAGATGCGCGACGGCCCCGGCAAAACAGCCATCAAACAAAAAGCCCTCAAAGTCCTCCAGCAACGGAAACAATACGAAGCGCAGCGCGACCAGCTGCAGGCGCAGTCTTGGAATATGGAGCAGGCCGGCATGATGCAAGACAACCTCAAAAACACAATGACTACCATCGACGCCATGAAGACGACGACCAAGGAGCTACGGAAGCAATACGGCAAGGTCAATATCGATAAGATCGATAAGCTTCAGGACGAAATGGCGGATCTTATGGATATGGGGAATGATATACAAGATGCCATAAGCCGCAGCTACGATGTGCCAGAGGACGTGGACGAGTCAGAATTAGATGCTGAGCTGGAGGCACTGGGTGATGAGGTTGACTTCGAGGGCATCGGAGAGTCGTCAAGCATGCCGAGTTATATGCTGGACGATGCTGCACCACCGCAGTTCATCGACGAAGCGCCTACAACTGGCAACAAAGTCAAGGAAGCTGCAGGCTGATGAAAGAAGTGTCTGCGCATATACCTCAGATTGCATAGCGTCAGGCGTGTCAACGAGTCTCCCTAGCTTGTTCGCCATTAAACTTACAGCAGAAATATGGCCATGGACCCGCAATAGTTGCCTTGCGCATATTGAATGATAAAGCACGGGTCGGCCTGAACAAATTCTTCCATTGGGAATGAACAACGGCGATCAGCGGATTGGTAGGATGTAGATCGGGGCTCGGTGATCAACAGGCCTTCGAAATGCCTAACACCGGTACCGTGTAGGGGACGACTGAAAACGTACCCGATACGCAACACAATAGATGGCTAGCTCGGCGACACAATCGCGAAGCATACCTTACATCAATTAATGTATAACTTGCAATTTGTGTATCTGCGTATGCACGAAAAAAAAAAAAAACTTCTATTGTCTGGCCTCGCATGTACCTGATATGCAAAGGAGTGTTCTATCAAGTCATTTGCAAACTTTGTAAGAGTGGCGTCTAGCTAATCATTGTAGCATGGTTGGATCGTATCCCTGCGGACAGAGCGTCGCCAGATGCATGCCAGAGTAACAACGTTCAAGGGCTCGACATTCGTTAGCTAGTGCTGTCGGCGCAATCATTGTGCTGGACGCAAACAATGGACCAGGGGCTGAGCCGTACCAAGATCCAATTTCCGATTTATTATTGTCACGCCCCAGCCAAATCACACTGTGATACAGTACGCACAGTTAAGCCTATTTACACCAAATAGGGTATTAAGCACGAGTAGGAGATGCTTAAGCGACTCCCATACCCGCAAATACCAAAGCAGCAATGTTCATAAGAACAATAACGCCCCAAATGACGACTGCGAACGCCGCAGTGACCCAGTGGTTTCGCATTTGCACATAGCCATCTGCTGTAACATCCGTGTCTCTCTCCCCATTGTCGTCGGGTCTTACAGCGACTTTCATGTACTGCGCTCGGCAAGTGAACCAAATAAGCGGTGCGCTGACAAAAGGAAGAATCACACTCAGTGCGAACTGGCTGCCATTCAAGGCCTTGCTTAGCCCATCTTGTCCAACAGAGCCGGCGATGATGATCGAGGGCGTGATGCTGATGGATCGTGTTATGAGGCGACGAAGCCATGGTTTCATCGTCCAGTTCAACTGGCCTTCCGAGACCATCTGTCCAGCAATGGTGCACACGATTCCAGCCGAGGTACCAGAAAGAAGCAATGCCAGCGCGAAGATAGTACCGGCAACTGGCGCGATCGACCGGGACAACAGTTTGTGGATAGAGAACAAATCGGCGTCTGTCGCTTCGGATTGACCGTACAGCGAAGCGCCAGACACAATGAGAATGGCTGAGTTGACGAAAAGAGCAAAGGTGAAGAGAGATATGGCAAGCTCTGCGATACTGTAGGACATGCAGTGCTTGATAGCTGCGAGGGAAGGCCTGTACTTCAGCTCGTCTGAGAGAGAATTCTCGTCGGCGTCGCGAAAAGAGGTGGAGTTATTTTGGTCATCGTACTCGCGCAGGCGTGGCTGAACAATGCCGCTACCAAGGTAGAGGCTGTGAGGCATAACCGTGGCGCCCAAAATGCCACAGGCTTGGTATAAACTGCACCTACTTAGTAAGTGTACCCCCATAGAACGATGTGTAGTACTCACGCTTGCGACTTGACTAAAGTAGATGATGGAACGAAACCATCGAAGACTTCACCGACTGAGGCGTGGATCTTGCTGAGTTCAAAACAGAAACATATCACAACACCGAGCACGAGTAGTGCGACGAAATACTCGAATCCGCGAAGGGCACGCATAGTGCCTGAAGGGGAGTAGAAGATAAGAATGATCAAAACATCCACGATAGATAGTGCGCACCCGGCGACTAAAGGGACTTTGATGAGGATGTTCAAAGCAATGGCTGTACCAATCACCTATACAGGTCAGCATAGGCTAGAAGCAGGAGAATGGAGACTCACTTCAGCGATATCTGTCGCGATGATGGCTGACTCTGCAAAGAAATAAAGCGTATAGTTCATCCACCGTGGAAGATGGGCCCTGCAGTTCTCCGCGAGGTTCATGCCGGTGACGGAACCTAGTTTGATGCAGAGCGATTGCAAGAAGATGGCGAAGATATTAGACATTAGTACGATGAAGAGAAGTTTGTACTCGAAAGAAGCACCAGCTGCAACGTCGGTCGCGTAGTTTCCTTGAACTAGTCAGCGTTTTCTTGATACTTTTAGGTGGTGGTTGCAGCTCGCGCAGCTGCGCAACTACGCAACTTCGCCATCCACAGATCATGGCTCACCAGGGTCGATGTATGCCACGGCAACCATGAAGCCAGGTCCTACAAACTTCAAGTACTTTCGGACAACTTCAATGGCGCCACCCAAGATACCCCCGCGACGCTTCGGTCGATCGACATTTTGTTCTTCGTTGAAGATGGCAGACGGTCTGATGGCCGTACTAGCAATGTCATGGTCCACACTCCTGGTTGCATCGCTCCTCCTGCGCAAGCCGTCGAAAGCTTTAGGTTGCAATTGTCCATCCTCTTCAGTCGCTTGCCGACGATCTATCGCGATGTCGTTATCCATGTTGTGACAATCTATTCGGTTATCATCCCTGGCCCTTGCGTTCGCCAAGTATCCTAGATCCGCCCTCGTCGTCGCATCCGTGTTGAGCGCATTCGGGTTCTGATTGTATCCTTCCGGAAATTCCGGATCCGTGCGCGAAGGACAATTCATCGCGAGTATTTGGGTGGGCGCACGAACAGCGTTCCAGCTCCGCCTCTACACCGATGTATAAAAGTCAAGTTGACAATGTTATAGTGGTTGATGTAAGGAGTTTCCAAGACTTTGACAGGATTATTGTGGGGTTGATGGCGTCGCCGGGTACTGCGGCTCCGAGTTGGCGCATGCTAATTACGGGGTTATTGTGTCCGTGCATCAAGGACGCGCAAACGACTCGTCTTTTAGAAGACTAGACCTGCGGTGATGAGTCAAAATCTCATCAACTACAGTTCGACAGAGATCTAGTGTCGAGGATCAGGCATATGGAGCCCTACATCTACTATACGACGACGACTACCAGAATGTGTGGGGTGTAAGAAATATCGTACTACTCAAGCTAGTTTTCTAACTAAACACTAGTGTTCTCTTCTGTCCTATGCTTGAGGTCACATGACCATTGCCTCCATCGCCTGACTCGATAAGATACAGAGTGGATAGAGTAGATCTGCGGCATGGCTAAAGAGTCCCGCAGTGTTGACCTAGCAACAATTGGAGCGAATATGAAGTCTCCTCAATCCGACAGGGCATTGGTAGAGCCTAGGAGTTGATCGAGTGGAGCAGGCGATGCTAGAGTGGCATCATGATTCTTCATGTATGCGTGTAATGATCTTGTTAATTTTGTTAGGAGTAACACTGGAGTATGAGGACTCACAACAACTTCTATCAACCTAATTTCTACACCCTCGCATCTATGATAACCTTAGTCCGCACTTTAGTATCTCAAGGGCAATTTGTGTGAAGCAGTGCGATCAAACGTCCACTATGTGACACTCCTCGTGCCCACTGACGTAAAGTACAACATAAACCAACAAGACGACCAAAACAGCGAGCAAAAGCACAAATGGCATTTGCAAGCTTGCAAGATTCCGAAGAGCCCGCCATCCGTTTGTCCCTCCGTAAATCTCCTTCTTTTCCCCTAAAGCTTCTTCAACCTCATTTCCATCTTCATCAGCACACAGCGGTCTCAAGTATTCTTCGACCTCCCTTCTCCCCCTCCACCGCGCAGCCATCAACGGCGTCCTTCCTTCCCGATCCCTCCTCTTCAGATCCTGCACTGCACCGCGCTCAAGCAGCTTCTCCACTGCTCCCAGATTTCCCATACTAGCCGCATGATGCATCGCCGTGTGACCATATAGATCCGTCGCGTGGATATCAAAACCAGAATCTAACACCAAATCAATTGCTTGAGTTCGCGGACTTGTCGTTGCGAAGTGCAAAGGCGTTCGCCCATACCAATCGCATAAAAGCAACGCGTCTTTGGCGTGCGGGCTACCGAGGATGTATTCTATGAGGGCGATGTTGCCTCTCTGAAGGGCAAGATGTAGGACAGTCCTGCCATCGCTGTCGCGGGCGGCGAAGGGATTGGAAATGTCCTTCAAACAGATAGCGATATCTTCTGCTGTGGAGGATTTGCTGTACGCGGCATAGTGCGCAACGGTCATGCCAAGGTAGTCTTGCGTCGTATTATCGATATCATCTCGACAGTATCGTATAGTTTCCTGTAGCGTCGTGTTGTAATAGCAGTGTAGGGGCGTACGTCCTTGGCGGTTTTGGTGATGTAAGTTGGACCCATGTTTGAGAAGCAGTCGAATGATTTCGTAGTTGCATGTCGTTTTGACAGCAGTGTGCAGTGGTGTACTATTCAGTGTGAGGTGGCTAAGTCGTGGATCTCAAATTGAGGGTGGAAACTTACTCGCCTTCGTCGTTAGTTGCATTGACATCTGCTCCAGCGAGGAGAAGCTCTCTGACGATCTCAATATGGCCATACTTTGTGCCAATCTAAGAATAGTGAGCCAGCCATATCTCATCACCAAAACCTGATGACTCACATGTAGCAGGGTGTCACCATATATTGTTCGATGTGTAATTCTGATCTCCTTGTTAACCAGCAAGTCCCTCAAGAACAGCCAATTCCCTGTCGCCGCCGCATGATAAGCTGAGCTATTGAACCGAAGCAGTCCCACAAAGTTCAATCTCCATTTTACATCTATTGAGAACATGCTGGAGGTAGAATACATCGCGAGTATCTTGAGGGACAGTCGTCCAGGTAACAGTCGCGTAATCTGGAATGCGAAGGCAAGACCGTAGGCTTCTGCCGCTGGCATCAAAGAATAAGTGTCCTGCCCAGTGTTTGACCAACTGCGAACCATTACTGGGCCACCCTGGACAATCGCTGTCATCGTATCCCCAAGATATTCGAAGCGCTCCTGAATCCTTAGATCGACTGGGTCGCGGAGTGTTGAGAGGAACATGCTTAAGCGTCCAGGCATTAAGCTGCTAGGCGCTTGGAGAGTACCTGTGACGCTGCTTGGGTCTTGTGTTGGACGTACCAAAGCCTGTCCAGCAGGTGCGGCATCTCCTGATGCAATCGTGTGACGCTCGGTAAGTTTGGTGGTGTGCTCGAGAATTCGTATCGACATGGAGCTGATAGGATATTAGTCTTGAGTTGATTGATACTACATGAAAAGTGTGGGTACAGTTGCGCAGCAGCCGCAGCGGCTGCAAAGACCCTATCCCAGTGGTCCAGAGACTGATTAAATCTCTTCAAGTCACGATCTGAGGCGAGCCATTTGACTCTCTCCCAGGCATGCTGCACTCTTCCTTGACCCATCCGTATGCCCATCTCTTTTACTTTCGCGGTGAAGCCGTCGATTTCTTGCGTGAAGGAGACCAGATTCTGTTGAAAGACTGTGTCCAGCTGCAAGTCGGGTGGCAGGGCTGAGAATACGCTCAAGAGGTAATCGAAGCTTTGCTGAAGGGATTGCAGCTTGATTGACTGCGCATAGATATCTTTAGGCGCATCGTGAATATCGAGGACGAATTCGGATATGACCTTGCAAGACTGGCCAGCGACAGTGATAAGCGTCAAGAGGCTGGCAGTAAATGAGATAGGATCCATCGAGTAGTAGCTCTAGAGAATCTTCTCTTCTCAGCAGAGGAGCAGTCATGGATGCCATAAAGCAGCAACCTGCTACATAAAGCGTGTTTCGTAACTAGGGGCGTACACTAGCCATGTATTTGTTGGGTGCGACTGAGATGAATGAAGCTGTGACGTGAGGAGACGTCAGCGGTAAGGCTCAGCCACTGCCTCCTGTTGGGATATCTCTCCAATAGAACGTGAGCTCTGGTTACATCAAGGTTGACCGGAAGGCTTGGCAAAGGTGAGAAGAAAATACGGTATATCAGCTGAGCCTTGCCAGCGAGAGGACGTACTAGCAAGACTTCAACATCAACGGCAGTCGCATCAAGGCAGAGCGAGCATCGATCATAAAAGACAATTCTGCAAGGTTCGCATCATGCCACAACGCCCACCAACCCCCACTGGCGCTAGGCAGCCAGGCGCTGCTGACGGAAATGTATACAAGGCTGGTGATCAGGTGGTGGTGTGGGAAAGTGACAAAAGTGAGTGAGCTCCTCGTCAGTAGCATGTCTGAGACTGACTATGATGGGTAGCGGACTGGACTGCTGGCAAGGTGCTGAAGGCCGAAGGTTCGAGCGACGGTGCGCATAGCTGTTTTGTGCAGTATGGCCTGAGGAGCAATAAAGACACGTTCAAGTGGGAGAACATGCGCTTGACGCATAGGGACGGCTGAGTGGGCCACTAGTTAGCTGTGATCGATCAATTGATGTCTGGCGGGGCAAGTGCGGCTCTAGCTCTGATTCCCGCTCCCGCCCTAGCGCCGTCATACTGCCCCATGCTGTGTCGCCATGCCGCTACCGCTACTGTTCCTTTCGTTCTCCTCTCGCAGAGCGACATGCCCTCGACTGGCGACAAAGGTGACGACCGCTTCGACGTGGCGCACCAGTACGGCGGTCGCCCACTTGGGGCTGCCGATTTGCTTCGGTCTGCGCCTGCCACAAACTCTAATCCACCCCGGAACTACCAACAGACGGTACCCAACCCAAATTCAGGCCGTACATACGGCAACGTCTCCTGCCCTATGCGTCCAGATCCCCAAGCGCCTGTTCATATCATCAAGCTTCTCACGTAGGTCCACCGTTTGCGCCCTTGCTTTCAGAAGTCGAGACTGACGCGAACGCAGCCCTGGCCCTGGTCACTCCGCCTTCATGCTTCCCGGCGCAGGAAGGATACACGATGCCTCCTCTGCCATGTCCCGAGACACGTCCAGCCAGAGTCTTGCCCTGACGCCCTCACCTTCTGAATCCCATGCCGCAATACCGGGCACGTCGACAGTGGGGAGCAAAGCGGCAGACGCAAGCGACGACGAAGATAAGGATCCAGCCGACGCGGATCTGTTCCTCAGACACGTGCCACAGAGCACGTTGTCTGATTATCATCCGCGAAGAACCACTGGGGGTGATTACGGGCCCTTGCGTGAGCTTGGTAAGTCGCTTCTGCCTGTTAAGTGTGCTGTTACTGACCTTTGTAGATTCAGGAACTCGCGATCCCTCTGAACGCATTTCTCCCTTTGCTCAAATTCGAAAGCTCTACAGTCATTAAAGCAACCTGGCTGAAATGCTCATTTTTCGATTTGGTGTATGGGAATTATGTATGCACGACGGTAAATTTTGGGATCATGGTTGCATTGCGGATGTTCACATGGCAGGAGTTGGTCTTCTAAGGTTCTATTTGCCGCTTGGTCCGGCATCTTTCGCATCATTTAACGTACTAGGCGTTTATGGCATACATTGGATATCGAGATACCTCTTTGCGTTATTAAGAATGGCGAATTATCACTTGGGCTGCGACGTCCCTCGCACCTTCAGTCTGTGGGCTCAAGATGTTACAGCATATGGTGTGTGTAGCGAATGAGCACTACGAATTCCACCTCTGTTGGCAGAACTTAATTCCTATAGTCGGCGATGGACTTCAAATACTAACACAGAACTACATGGAAAGCAAGGAAATCAGTCAATAGGTTGTCGCTGAACGTGACATTTAACGTGCAGCACGTTAGATAGTCATTGGCGCGTTGCGGGGCAATGATGCGTTCGGTTCTCTCGCGACGCCCAGATCCTGCCTACTCTGTCAGGCCCAGCTAGGTGCTTGCCATCGCACATGACCGTAAACTATCAAACACACATCGTAAAAAGACTTTAGACATGGATACATCATCCAATTATTGTTGAAGAAAGCCTCAGGTCATGGTAGGAAGGCTGAAATCCTTCGTGCCCCCTCCCCCTCCCCATCCCCCTCCCCCACCACGATTCTGCCTGCAGGCGCCACAGGCACTTTCAATGTTGTTGACAACCCGTCTACTTCTTATGTGAATCATTATGAGCGCATAAGAGTAACGTCGCTTTTGAAGCTACCCTTTCACAATCAGGGCGTTGTGATGCTCGGCTGCCCAAGAGCGCAGCGAGGGCGTTGGGGCTCAAGATGCGGTACCTTCACCGGGAAACCGATCAAAAAGGACTCCGCCTACATGTCGAATCCATGGTAGCTGCCTAGTCAAGCCACACACTCAGACTCAGGTGCAATCAGCTCTTAGCTCCCACTCAACACCTGCACTCGATAAGGCTTGCAGGGCGCATCTTGTGGCTGAGCGACAGCCCCTAAGCACACTTCTCAAGTCCCCAACTTTCAGCCTGTTCCTGGGCTGCATTAAAACCGCCTCACACATTGTCACTCGACGTATTTCAGAGAGTGGTCGTCTGAAATCTTCCAGAATTACCTGCCCGATATCGTTTGAAGGGTTGCGACATCCTACATAATTTTTAGAGTAACCAACTCTAATTCCAGCCTCATTCACCCTCTATATTCTTTTTCTCATACACCATGTCTCACAACGACTATTTCCGTCGCAAATTCGAAGAAGAGTGTAAGAAAACAAGAGATGCACTTGGCCCAGAATTTGAGGATTTGGACCTTGGATTCGTTTCCATAGGGTTTTTGGATGAGGTCTTCAAATCAGGGTACCCGAGCAAGCTGCGAAAAAGCCTTCAAGAAGATGTGGAGAGGCTCAAATCAGAAGATCTTTTCGGCCCTGCTGACATGGATGCGCTGGAGTCAGCAGTACGGACGCGAGCTCCAAAACTGTATGGAATCCTCCTGATGATCAACCAGTCAGAGCGAATCATCAAGCTTTTGAAAAAGGATCCGAAAATCGATGACTCTATCTTCGAGACAAGTCCGGGTTCGAAGCTGTCGTATTGCTTGGAAGCGCGCTTGAGCGAAGAGCCGCTTCTTCGCGACATTGCGGCGGAAATATACAAGATGCAATGGCTTGTTCCGCCTCGGTTTAATTCTGAGAGACACGAAAACTTTCCTTGTGCCTTGTTCAGGTTTCCTTTCGTAGGTGGACCGCCAGCACACAAAGACAGCGGCTCTTGGGGTGTTGTTTATCGGGCGAAGATTGCAGACCGTCATCTACCGCCAAGCTTAAATGTCCAGGTAAGCCAAAATACATTCCACTATATTAAGAAAGCAAGGATGTTCAAGCTAATGAGACTTTGCAGCAACACAACGTTGTGGCCTGTAAGAGCATCAAGAAAGAAGATAATACGACATGGAACAAGCTTTTGAGAGAGGCAGCAACTCTAAAGGAGCGCAAGCATGACCACATTGTCCCACTTCTGGCCAGTTTCACTGCAGGTCGAGCCAATCGTGAGCCGCATAACAGGCAAGAATACTTGTGGTTGTTGATGCCTTACGCCCAGGCAGGGAGTATGGAGACTTGGCTTGAGAAGAGTCCAGATCTTCCAAAACGAGGACCGGTAGGGTTGGGGGATGATTCGTTTCGACACTGCCACGTACGAGAGACTATGCTGGGACTTGTCTCGGCTCTGGCGTATATTCATAGGGAAATTAACGGCATGATCGGGTTTCACCATGACATCAAGCCCAGCAACATCATTCTGTTTCTAGAACCGGAGCCTACGTGGAAGATTTGCGACTTTGGAACGGCTAATCTCAAAGATCCAAAGGAAGGTACTGGAACTGCTTTCACACCTGAAAACGCATTTGGGACATATACGTACCGTCCGCCAGAATACTTCAAAGATGAAGGTATCGCACAACATGGACGGGCATTCGATGTTTACTCTCTTGGATGCGTAATGCTTGAACTAGCGACGGTCTTCACATATGGTTGGAAGCCAGAAGGTCTGCCTACATTCAGGCAACAGAGGCGAGACGCGTCCGAATATGTTTACCATGGAAATCTCAAACCAGAAAAAGATGAATCTTTTCACAACAACCCGGAAGCTGTGGAAAGATGGATAGAGCATCTCAGGAGCAAAACCAAATCGGCCGAAGATCCCAAAAAAGTGTCCGATATCATACAAGTACTGGATGTAATTGGGGAAATGCTTTTGTCTCGCTATAAACGAATATTCGCTTGGGAAGTCGAGATGGATCTATACGAGATCTTCAACCCGAACGCCTCTGTGGAAGATCGGGCTAAGCGACTTCGAAATATCGTTCAGCCATCTGCAACACCCCTCGACCAGACTAAAGAACAACACAACCCAATGAGGCGAGCGATCCTACACAGCAAAGACCAGTGGTATACTGAGATTCTTCAAGGGCGGGACTGGTATTATAGTGCGCGCTCCTTGTCTAGAAGGTCTACTTCCAGGGCGTTCGATCTTGACCATGGCAAACGCAGACCTCGTACGAATCTGGAGAAAGTTGCAAAAACTCGAGATTTCAGATCCGCGCATTTCTTTGGGCGTCACAACATTCACGAAAAGATTATCAGTGGGTTCCAAGGGCACAACACAGTCATTGGCCTTTACGGAAAATCAGGAGTAGGGTGAGTCTATTTGCGGCCCTTGGATATCCTCTCGACTAATACATAAGCAGCAAGTCTCACTCAGCTTATTACTATGCTTTTGGCTTCCAAAAGCCAAGGGATCCCAAGGACCAAAAGCACACTTTCTGGGTCGACTGCACATCCTGGACCAGCATATATAAATCGTTACAGGACACGATACCGTCAGAATTCGATAATCCTTCCATCCTTTCCTCGGTCTCCGATTGGCTAAGGAACGAAGAAACTGGTCCTTGGATCATGGTGCTCGATGGTCTTGAGAGCATAGCGATTGCCCAAAAACTCAACGAAGTGCTACCGATAGCCAATGGAGAGATTCTCGTCACCACGAAGAACAAGATCATCTTAACCGAGTTTCTTAACGTCAACAACAAAGATGGTTTCATTCACATGGAAGACCTGCCACTCCTGACGGCTAGCTACATCTTTGATTCTCATATCAACAGAGATCTAATCACGAATACTGATTCCAGGAATTTCGTTGTCGAACGGCTTCCACTGCCTGCACTCATCATCTCTATGGCAGACCATATGAATCGTACAGACTATACAACACAGAACCTGCAAGAAGATGAGTGCAGTGAAGCAAATCATACCATTGAGAAGCGATACAGTGACTTCTCAGAGCGCTTACTCAGTCCTCTGTTCCCGAGCTCCGGTGAGAGCAAGGTCACCCCAAAGTTAGACCTATTGGGCGAAATGTCTTGCTTGGATGCCTCAAGAATTGACTTTGCGCTTCTCCGACAAGTTCATACCAAGCCGGATAGGCTACAATCTCAGCTAAGTGGTCTGGAACAATGCTCTTTGATCTCAACCGTGGAGAACAGAGTCTACACCATGCAGCAGTACGTTCAAGTTGCAGTGTTGCAGTGGTTCCAGGTTCACTTGGGAGATGAACGCCTTCTACAGCTCTTCGCGACGGCACTCTGCATGCTGTACAAGCGCTATGACGATGAAACACAGGAGAGGTACAAACATATGAAAGGCAAGTCAAGGATACCTTCGAGACACTGGAAATTGCCGTACAAGCCGCATTTTGACCGATTTCTCGAATATACACGCAAGAACAAAAACAAAGCTAGAGCACGAGAGTTCGCATCCTATACCATCAAGGGCATTGACGTGATGGTCACTGCTATCGTCACCTTTTCGAAGCTTTACTTGGAAGAGCACCGCTATGATGATGCCATCTGTGTGCTCGAGTTCGTGGACGACGTGTATACTGGACATGAGAGGCGATACGAGCTCAAGCGTCTCCTTATTCGAGCATATCTGGAAAAGCCACTGCGGGACGAGTATAACGATAAATGGAGCAAAATTGCTAAGCTCTCAGCGGAGCTGATCAGTGATGCGGACAGGAGCAAAAATATTGAGCGCAAATGGGCCATCGTGCTTGATCTCGCTCGATTCTATACTGAGTCGCATCAACCAGAAAAAGCCTTGCGGGAATTGGGAAGTGTCTGGGAATTTGAGATGAACGTGGAGCATGGCGAGGTCAAGCTTTACATCAAAATAGAATTGCAACTCGACAAGTCAAAAAAGCGAAAACTTGCTGTGCAGCGCAAAGTTGAAGAAGGTAGAGTTCATTTTATGAACGGCAGGCTTCGACTCCACCAAGGGCTTCGTGACGCGGCAGCAAAGGAAACTGAAAAGGCTATCAATTTCTGGGAGGATGCGAGGCAAGGAATCATATCGTGGCAGTTGGATCATGACGAGGAATGGGTTATGGAGATTGAAGAGATGATCGCGGAAGCCTGCGTTGAAATCGACAAGTCAGGGGAACTGGACAAGGCAGAGAAAATACTCAAACGCCATCTGAAAAGGCTCAAACAGGTTCCAGACCACGAAGGTGCGGAGCATGCAGCCAAACGAATTTGGGACATCGAGTGCAAGCAAGCGAATATATGGATCAAGAGAAATGACAAGAAGCACCGAGAAGACGCCATCAAGCTACTCAAAGACAGACTGGAAAGATACAAAGACATTTACGGGCGCCAAGACGCATGTACACGTAATTGTGCCTATCTTCTTCGATCTGCGCTCAAGAAAGATGACCGGGACGAGGAAATCAGACTGCTAGAACAGCAGTATCAACTGCAAGAGATGAGCGCTGTGCGAGTGCCCACAGTGAAAAGAACCGGGAAGTACCTGTCGCTATCAAGTCAGCCATGGTGGTCGGTAGTCCTGATTGTTCTCATAACTCAGCGCCTCTTGCAGGTATTGTTGAATCGGTGGTGAATCAAAGTCGCTGGACCTGGACATAGCAAGCCAAATGTTAGTTCGCTGATTCAGTCGTACAAACTGGGCAAATGGCTGGTTATGATTGATCATGCAGGTTTTGTTAAGGAAGATGAAGTTCGTAGTGCTCACTTGTTGTCCACGCACCGTTTTCTGTAACTTCTTTCATCGATATGAGACATATAGAAGACACGATTCAATCCACTTGCTTTTTTAATCATGATGTGTATGAAAGTTAATACTTCTGCTTGGATGTATCTTATACAACGTCCTTCTTTCACGATTTTGTTACACTGCAGCCACCGGCCTTTCTAACATGCTATCGGCCTCTTTCATCATGTCCTCGGCTGGATTAGGCTCTAGCCTATTACAAATCCTGCTGTAAACCCTTCACGATTTCAAGACGCTCTGCTTGGTTTGAAGTTTCTCACGTGACGTCGGACATCGGCGTTTGGGCGCAGCGGTCAGAGCACAGCTTACGCCGCGCTCTGACCTGGTCTTCGTTCGACGAACAGACTATTGGGAACTTACGCATTCTGTTGCCTCTATACCTAATGCATCCGGATGCCGTTTTTACGAATCTAAACAAGAAAGAGAGTGAGAGACTATCCCTAATAAACGAGCCCGACATTAAAATACAGGAGGTTGAGCCGCCGTCGCGCTCCGGAAACGGCACCCGTGGCCTTCATTACTACAACTTGACCATAAACCGCGTCCTTAAGGTTTCTCCATATCGGTAGAACAGCCATGGAACAGGCGTGAACGCAAGAGTAATGAAACCCAAAACACTGTTACCCCAGCCGAGGCCCAGTTTGTCATACAACGGCGCTGCAACAAGGCCCAGAAACGCGCCGAATGGGGAGCGCACAAGAAGATTAGCAGCGAGAGCCGAAGCTGCGGCTTCTGCACCAAAGGAGTCCACGAGGTATATCTGGCCGGGTATGACAACGAACAGAGATCCAAAGCCGATGATGGAAGTACCCAAGATTGGGACGATCCAGTGGACATGGTGGTAGGCGCTCCAGCCGTACATGAAGCAGCCCAGCGGTGTGATGGGCCCAAACCACTTCATCAAGATGAGACGCTGCTCTGGCTTGCTGACAGTGCCACCCTGCTTCTGCCCGAGGAGTTTGTCGCTGAGAATTGAGAAGACCACCAGGCCGAGAAACATGCCGATCCCGAGACCGAGGTATGCCAGCCCTGATGTCCCTTCATCGAAGCCGTAGACTCCCTGGAAGACAGTAGGGAAGGTGGTGAAGAGAAGGAAGATGAGACCGAATAGCACACCAGTGTAGAGAGATATGAGCAGGACAATGGGCGAGAAGAGGAGCATCTTAAACGGCCGTGTGATAGCACGGACGAGGACCTGGCTAGGCGTCTCTTTCTTGGCTTTATCCAACTCGAGCTCCATACCCTCGGCGTCCTTCGACGACCGCTTGGCTTTTCTGCGTAAGAGGACAGCAGCATTGGTTTCGCGCATGAAGAACATGGTGGCCAAACCGATGATACCAGACTGAACGCGATACCGATTAGCAGTTGAGCGTTTATTATCCGGCCAGGATGACCTACCATGATCAAGATGATTCGGAACGTCCAGCGCCAATTAGTGTACTGCGACACGTAGCCTCCGATGATCGGGCCAAGCACCTATGTGGTCAGCATTTAAATACAAAGGGTCGTCCCGACTGGAAACCAAACGTACAGGTCCCAAGAGTGGGCCCATCGCGAACAGGGCCATTGCCTTGCCTCTCTTCTCCTGAGGAGTAATGTCTGCGACCGTACCGCCGCCAATGGACATTGGCCCCGAGGCAGCGCAGCCGCAAAGGAACCGGAAGACGAGGAACATGGACACGTTGGTACTGAAGGCGCATCCCACAGTGAAGGCGATGTAGACAGCATTGCAAGCGTTGTAGATGATGAGTCGGCCGTACAGCTCGGACAGAGGCGCGAGGAGAAGAGGGCCGAATGCAAAGCCCAGCACGTAGAGACTGACAGTCATGGCCTCGACAGTGGAGTTCGTGATGTTGAATTCCTTGGCAAGCTGGGGTGCTCCAGGGGCGAACATAGTAGCCGCCAAGTTGCTGAAGTTCACAAGTTAGCACTCATGCGCTGTTCTCAGGATCACAATAGGTCAGTACTTACGCTGTGAGGGTAAAGATGCTGACAATGGCCACATGGAAATTCTTCTTCGGCGCTGGCCAATTCAGGGGATTTTCAGGGCTGTTGGGGTCACCCCAAGGATCGCTCATAGACTCCGTGTGTAGTTGAGCAATCGAGGAGTGCTGCTCACTACCCACTTCTGGATCCCGGTCGCCAGCAGTTGAATGAGCCATTGCACGTCGAATATCGATCGATCTGAGTGCCTGGTTGTTATTGCTATGCAGGTTGCAGCACGAACATTGGGAGCAGTACGGCTCTCTTGAAGGCTTCCTCGCCTTCTTGGCCGTAAAAGGAAGTCCGCGGACCTGTCATTTGCTCCGGTTACAGAACAACGCCAAGCCAGAAACGGACATGAATCTTCTGGTTCTCCGAGCAAATGGTGGTGAGACTGGGCGGCCAAATGCAGTAAGTCCATGGAGCACCGGAGCGGACGTAGGCGGGGCGGAGCACGATCGCGGGGCGGGCGTTCGGGGCTTACAAGGATTGTTCGGTTGGCGGTGTAAGCCGCGTCGCCAGGCCGATTCTGACACGCATGAGTCTTAGCAGGAAGCTTGCTTCTACCTCGCCGACAATGTCAGAATCAAACGGATCTCAACTCCCAGAGTGGGGGCCGGGCAAGACGGCCAGAGGCAGGGCCCGCTTACCCTCCAGCAGGCGTCGCGAGCGACCTCAGTTCTCCTGCAACCTGTGCAGGCAGAGAAAGTAAGCTCACCACAACCTATACTCACTCGCCTGATAGAAGGGCGAAAGAGCTAACACTAATCTTATCAGACTGCGATGCGACAGACAGCAGCCCTGCGCATCGTGTGTGCAGCGTGGGTTGAGCCTCTCATGTTCATACGCCGCTCAATCAGCGGCGCGCCCAGTTGGTGCTGACCAACCTGTGCGTACGGTACAAGATCGAATCCAGCAGCTCGAGAACTTAGTGGTGGACCTGATGCAAGGAACATTGACAAGCCACGCGGCCCAGCCTGGCCAGGCCCTCCCAACGTCGCATTTGCCGAGTCCGTTGCTCACGACAAATCAGTCTGGCACGGACAGAGTTCCGGAGACTGACAACAGCACCTCACCTGGATCTGAAGCGGGCAGTCTGCAACTGACTAGTTCTGGTACCAATTATGTCAACAGTTCTCATTGGGCGGCAGTTTTGAATGGAATCGCAGAACTCAAGGACCATTTCGACAGTGAAGGGAACAGTCCTGCCAGCACCGATTTTCACGATATTTCGATTCCTGAGCAAACAGGCCCACAGCTGCTCTATGGCTGTAGCAAATTTCCGACCAGGCAAGAAATCATTGAGTCTGTCCCTCCACGGCAAGCTGTAGATCGGCTGGTGTCGCGCTATTTTAGCTCCTTTGAGATGTCTACGGGTCAGTTTTGTTCAAAAGTGAAACTTATTGTGAAACTGACAGCGGGACGCAGCTGTGTTGCACAGCGCTCAATTTCTGGAAGAGGTAGGCCGATGGTTTGCCTAGCTGTAGCTCGATTGCTAACACCGCCAAGTACGAAAACTTCTGGAAGGATCAATCCGCAACCCCAGTCATATGGCTTGGTTTACTGTTCACCATCATGTGTCTGGCGGCGCAGTTTCAGATATCGAGGCTTGACCCTAACAGCCAGACTCCAGCGACTCCCTCGACAGAGCACGATCTCGAGAACATGGTAGAGACATTCAAGGAGAAAATTGTGCAATGTCTGATTCTGGGGGAATATGCCAAAGGTGGCCCGCACGTGCTCGAAACGCTCCTCCTCTACATTGCAGTTGAGCTCTTCTCTCGAAACGACGCCGAGATTGGGGTCTGGATCCTCTTAGGCACCGCAGTTCAGCTCGCGATGTACATGGGATATCATAGGGACCCAAAGCATTTTCGAGAGATGTCGCCTTTTGTGGGAGAGATGCGAAAGAGGGTCTGGGCAACAATCGTCGAGCTTGATATCGGCATTTCCGCTCAGATGGGCCTTCCTAGACTGATCAAGCAATGGCAGACGGACACGGTGGAACCTGCAAATCTTCAAGACAGTGACTTCAATAAGACAACCAAAGAGATGCCTGCAGCTCGGCCAGAGAACGATCTCACTCCTATGCTATATCGGCTGGTGAAGGGCCGAATGATGTCGACGATCGGCTTCATCTGGGACTTTGCAGCCAACACCAGGTCTTACACATACGCGGATGTCATGGACATGGACACGAAGCTGCGAGGGACCTATGTCTCCATCCCCGAGTGTCTCAAATGGCGATCAATGGCGCAATGTATACTCGACTCACCACAGATCATCATGCAAAAGGTTTATCTGGAAATCATGTACCAAAGAGCGAGGATTGTACTCCACCGGCGGTATCTCAATTGTTCGCCGACCAAAACCCCGTACGGTTATTCCCAACAGGCATGCCTGGACGCAGCGCTGAAGCTTCTTGAATATCAGCATATGCTGCAAGAAGAAACGCGGCCGTTTTGTCAGCTGTACCAAGAGCGGTGGCGTGTTACCTCCCTTGTCAATCACGACTTTCTTTTGGCCACTAGCGTCCTGTGCGCGTACTTGCAGCAGGTCCGTGGGGAGACGGCGACGGCAGGCGCCGAAGGAGGCACCAGCGCTGACACAATACGAGCATCCTTACAACGCTCATACGGCATATGGCTCAACTCAAGCAGCTCGTCCAAGGAGGCGCAAAAGGCCGTGAGCGCGTTGAGTGTCATTCTCGGGTCTCAGGACTCCATGGACACGAACACCAACAGCGAGACGGACATGTCGTTTGATCAGCTCCCCACGTCTCCCGGAACTAGCGTCAGCTTCTACCCCCAGAGTGAGTGATGCACATGGCGCCGCCCGTATCTTGAGGCTAACCTGGCAAAGTGTTTGGCGACTCGGCCGGCTTCGGAGTCCAATTCCCCGTGTTTGACTTGATAGGCCTGGGTAATAATGCGACTTCGCCAGCGGTGGCACCGCTCAGCAACTTTCAGGTCTCCACACCTGCCTCTAGTAGTGACTGGCAGATGTTGGATGGTGAGCCGCTTCCAGGCCGCCTCACGACATACGACGGACGCGACCCGACTGAGCGGAACTTAGCTCTGCAAAGACCCTGGAGTGGGGCTTTCTATTAGCTTACGGCGATCCATAAGAAAGCCGGCGGCGACACATCAACGCCGCGCGAACCCCACGCCCAGTCTGGACGGGCCTACACAGTTGAGCATTCCACAGACCAACGGCCCTTTCTATTCCGATGGAACGAACACGCAGAGCCCCAGGTCCGCGTGCGGACTTGGCTACGTCCCATATAGCCAGATTGCAGTAGTCATAGCTTGATCCTCCGGAGGGTCCCAAGCCTTTAGCGAAAGAATTATCAGATGGTGGGGCATTTGCCTCCTCGCTGAACTATACGGGGCGGCCCGCACTGTGGCTTTTGAGGCAAACATGATCAGAAAATGTGTGTATCATCCAAGACGTGTATAAATCCAATCACACCACCGTGTACGCCGATGCGAGCGTCGAGTGGCTGTGGGCAGGATGAGTGCGTTAAAGCAATATCGACACGAAGTTTTTGTGACGGTGGTGCCACAATAACGTGCTCAGGCGTGCAACGGGGATGCGAATGCTTGTTCATCCTTGTTACTGCTTATTTCGCGCGTAATGCGGGGGACGGGGCAACAACGGCGCACACTCCCGTGAAGCCGCAATCGCTAGCGACTGTATCGTCCTTAGCGCTGTGGCGTATCTCTAAGTATGTAACAAACTGTAGGCGAATGAGACACGGGCGAAAGGATAAAGCAACAATCGGCCATTACAAGCACAGAACACATAACTCGGCGATTAAGTCTATCAAGTTATGCGGTGCACGCGTCGTAGCCAGGCCGTACAGAAGCTTGCAAAATCGGTTTCCGCTTTTTCCTGTGCACACCTGGTTTAAGTGACCCCAGTTTTGATAGGGATCCATGCCCGTGGGCCGCGCAGACTTCTTCAAAGGCGTTGGAGACCCGCGCACCTGGCCTAACTGCAAATATAAATCTTCCACGTGAAAACTCATCCGCAATCTACTTTCGGCGGCCGTTGCGTTTATAGCCCTCAGCTTATATACATCTTTTCGGTGATGAGAACTCAAGGCACCCGACTGCTTATGGCTCTAGACCCACACGCTGAGAGCTCTTCTTACTCCGCCCCAGCAACCCTGGCTATCGGCTCCCGGACATTCTTCTAACGAACGATGCTAAGTTGATTGCTAAGTTGCTTATAATGTTAGCGCCTTGGCTGGTCAGTACAGACTCTGCGATTGTTGAAGTAGACACACTATCCTCGACGTCATTCAGAGCCATTTCTAACCTTAAATGCCAATTGACGGGGGAACACGCAACATGTTCCAATCCATAAGATCCTCGTGCGAGCGCTGTCGTTCTCAGAAGCTCAAGTGCGCTCTGCCAGATGGATCCAATGGCCAGGGGCCATGTCAGCGCTGCTCTCGGGCCAAGGTCGAGTGCGCCTTCAGTAGACGCAGGAGGGCAAGTCGCGGAGACCCAGACAAGCCGAACAAGAGGGTGAACTCCACTGCCACCACTGCCACAACCCCCGACACGAACACCAATCCCATGCTGGCGAGCCCCGTCACTCCCGTCACCATGGCCGATATGGCTTGCTTGACCATGCCCAGCCCTGAGGTCGAGCCAATCGTCGAGTCAGCAACGTACGATGTGCTGGACTGGAACACCTTCCAGCTACAAGAACCATGGGACAAAACCATGGACTTGCTCAACGACATGAGCAGCTACGACCAGGGCCAGCACATGAAGGATCTGGACAACGAATCTCTTTTCGACACGAGTCAGCTGTACTCTTCTCGAAGCTCGCCGCCCAAGCAAGCATACACACAAGCGGCAAAGACTCTGACAGGGGCTTGTGGTGAAAGCAACGGCATGGTGCAACGGCTGCTGCTCCTGCTTTCGCAGATGCAATACCAGATGAGCACACTGAAGGAAAGACCGTGGCGATTCGGCAGCATGTGCGGTCTTAACGACTACCCCATCGGCACCATTCTCCACCTCACCCAAGAGTTTATCGCCGCCGCACAGCCCATTCTCGGGGGCCTCAACGAGCCATTCAACGGAAACACGAGCACCACGTCCTCGAGGTCGGAAGGCATACCGGTGGACGATCTGGCAACGGTATTGGTCTTGAGCGGCCACATGTCCCTGATGCGCATCTATAGCATCGCCTTTGGCCACTTCCAGTCCCACCTCAGCCGAGTGCCCAGCCAGGGCCACTCTCTGGGGCGGGGCTCCGTGAGCCCAGGACTCCAGCTGAGCGAGCTCCCGAGTGCGAATGCGGCTCACGAGCTGGGGCGCGTACATATGGCTCTTTGTATGCTGCAAGGATCGCTCAAGGACGTTGACGGACAATTGGGGGTTGGGGGTGCAGTTGCGCGCGAGATGGTCATGGCTCAGTTGAGGAAAGAAGGCATGTCGACGACTGAGAGTGTTCTGGACGGCAGTAGCGGACTGAGCAAACAGGCTTCGTCTGTCAAAGAGCTCTTGCGGGAGAAAATGAGCCTCTGATCGTTTTGGCGAGGAGGGCTCCTATGATCGCACGTTGGGATACATCCAAGGCGTCTTGACGGTCTTCTGTAGCATTGGCATTAGCAAACCTTGTTCGAACCACATACACATGTAGCATAGCCAGCTCAAATTCGTAGTGTTTTCAACCTTCAATCTATCCATTCACGTGATGGTCGGTCCATACCATCCTTCATCTCTCCTCCCTGTTATTCGTCCCACTTCTGTTCTTGTCGTGGCCGCATATTGCACTGCTGTTGGTCGGAACAACCTTGAGAATCTGATAACGCTAATGAGAACAAGGGCTAGAGTACAACTTAAAGCTCGTTTAGCTGGATCCCTTAGCAAATCTCTACGCACATCTGCATTGCGCCCCAGTATCAGATTCAGCCACAAGATAATGCAACGCATGGTCGTGGCGGGTCTGAAAATTCCCCAACGGAACGGAATCGACGAACAGGCTCAACAGTTCTGCTCCTTACCGCACGTTCCGTGATCATGATCCTTATCCCTACGAATCCTGTCAACCGCTAACGCAAAATCAGATAAGTCTCAAGAGCACCTGACCGCTTGTCGGTCATCGGATAGCTCTGATCAGATAACCTAGATCTAATCAAGAGGTGCCCAGATTCCCTATCTGGGCAATTTTGCCAATGCTTGCCATTGCGTAAGCACGCCATCCGAGTCAAGCAGTGGTCGTCGCCGTTTAACGGACTATGGTGACGCTACTTTCGGGCGCCTGAGAAGATGACCGCGCAAGCAGGGATGCGGGTAAAGTGATTGCTTATGGGTCTATGACTTGATCGTGCCCGCTCTACCTGGCATTTGGGGCCGGACATTTCGTACTCGGCACCACATATTGGTATGCAGGACGCGGAGCGCAATTCTTGCACTTACTTGTTGACACATGTCCGCAAGATGCAGTGCCTCGATGTAAAATGACGCACGAAATGGAAGCATGTCATCGCTAGCAATCTACGTTGAAATCGCAGGAAATGAGCGTTTATATCTCCAGTTTATGCTTAGGGCATGACCTTCCTCACGTACGGGCGGCCCGGCGCCTGGCTGGCGTCCTTCTCGGACATGGGCGCTCTGATGCCGATCTCTTTGTATTGGGTCGAGGCTGGCTTTCTTTCTCTTTGTTCCAGGATGGGAATGACGATGATGACCATGGTTACGTAGGACATGTATACGCTCTTTAATGAAATGTGTCATGATCGCGATCAATTGACGATCTCTTTATGAAGTCTTTCGCTTTTGAGACGGTTCCAGTGAGATGGTATCGTTCGGTCTTGGTTCTAGCACTCAAGGCAGGGTGTTGAGATTGGCTTGAGATGGTCGGTTGTAAGAACAGTGGGAAGACCTAGGGTCGTTAACCTAGGTTGAAGAGAGGGCAGGCGAATACTCGCTGTGCTTGGAGTAGCCAGTCAATCATTGAACGAACTGAGGTTACGAAAAGGCTGTGACAGGGTTTTGAGACAGTTGTCGTGCGCATCCACATATCCCAAGCTTTTTTTATTAAAGAAGGGATGTGGCATTCAATCCTTCCCACATGTCTCTGTAGAATACATACATAAACCAAAGCCGCGCATGATCCTCTGAGCACAACTCCCCAGAGGTGAACCTCCCCATCTCACACAGTAAACACAAGCTTCTGCCCCGAAATTCGCTTCTCACGGATATCCTCGATCCCGCCCAGCACATCCGGCAGCCCGCCCTGCCTGACCAATATCGGATGCGGCCTTATGAGCCCCTTATCCAGCAGCTTCTGCAGCGTGACCGTCCACTCCGCGCCGAAGCGCCCGATCTTCGCATCCGCGGGCCTCCAGTGAGGTTTCGGCCAGCCAATCTCCTTGCCCATCATCTGCGGGCCCATGACCCAGTCCGGGCGCACGACCTTGCGCTTCTGCGCCACGGCCTCGGCATACGGCTCCAGCGCCGTGTAGTTCCCGCCTGTGCGCCCGATGACCTGGTAGCAGAACTGCATGCTAGCGGTCGTGGAGATGCAGTCGAGCGCGAAGCGGAGACCGTTTTTGGTGTACGCTTTGATGGCGGGCACGACGCCCGGGTCCTTGTAGTCGAAGACGGCGGTGGCGCCGTACGTTCGCACGAGGTCGAAGTTGTGCGGTGAGCACGTGGCCACGGGGTCGAAGCCCGCGAGCTTAAGCAGCTGGATCGCGGCTGTGCCTGTTGAGGAGGAGCCGCCGAAGACGAGGACGGGCAGCCGTTGCGGGCTGGGTTTCAGCGGCGTGCCGGGGACGCCGAGGCTCTTGAAGATCGCGAGACCCGTCGTCATGAAACTTATGCCTAGTGATGCGCCTTCTTCGAAGCTCAGGCTGTTGGGGATCTTGAGCAGCGTCCATTCTGCCGCCGTCGTCCACTCTGCGAACGCGCCGATGGTAGGCTCGTTCGAATTCATGCCCAGGACGACTGTGCAGACGCGATCTCCGAGCATGATCCCGCATTTCGTGGCCTCTGATCCAATTTCTTCGACGGTCCCTGCAAAGTCGAAGCCTGCGATGGCATCGGCGGTCACGTAGCTGCCGGTCATTTTCGTGTCGACCGGGTTCACGGATACGGCTTTTGTCTTGATGAGGACGTGGTCGCCTACAACTTCTGGTACGGGAGCATCGTGGGAGAGGCGGATTGCGCCGTCCGAGGTCCCGATGAGTGCTGTCTGGTATTTTGGCGCCATGCTGAGGAGAATGGGGGTGGGAAATAGTCGTGAGGCGCTATGCAGCTAAGAAACGAACTCCCTGCCGGGCGCGTCACATCTGGATATGCCCAGATATCTTATTGCTCGCATTATCCGTATACACTCTTCACGAAGACCGCAGTCGCTATCCTTGGCACGTCCTCTCGTCTCGAGTACCCTCCGAAAAAGTCCGACCATTTCCGCAACGCACGTAGCACACGTGCGCGAACACGCGGTCTTCGGAGCCGCACCTGGGATTGGGGTAAATGGCGAGAGCGCAGCGCAGCACGATCAGATGGAGCTACGGACCGGGTGTCGGGCGCCTGGAACGCGCGTTGGGGTGATCTGAGTGTGGACTCGGGTTCGGCGTCGAGTCGCAACGTGCGGCCTCGTGGCGCGACGGGTGGCCGTTGGACCCTGGGGAGGGCGGATGTCTCATGATGGGTGGGCCTGGCAGGGTTCGAGAAAGTTTTGGGCGGTTTGCGGATAGTAATGCGCTCAACAGCGAGAGTTCCGTTGACTGGGGAAGTTCGTGTTAAGGACGGCTGCCTTGCAATAGGGTGTGGGTCGTGTCATCGGACGGCCCTATTCACTCATCTTAGCACACTGATAAGTAGTATCTCAACATCACCATTCCGTGCAATCGAGATGATTGTATGATTGTAAGCCATGTGAATAGTAAGTCAAGGTTATCAGATTTCGTCCCATCTTGCACCGCGTTCTCCGCCCCCGGATCCCGCACGCACGTGACGCACGTGTTGGGCCTGGCTAGACTATTTTGAGACACTGGGGCTGGGCCAATGTGCACCTGGCCCGGCTTGGCGAACTTCATCTCAGCCTCAGATAAGTGTTTCAGAGCACAATCACTTCGGAATCACTACAGTCTTACCAGCACAGCAGTGCTACCTACTCGCGACGAGCATGGTCGACGCTCGCGTACACGAAGCGGACAATGACACCGACGTCAGGTGCTTATTCGAAGGATTACTCAGACGTAGGTCTACGTTGCAGCACAGTTGCTTTATTGCAATATCTCGTCATAGAAAATCGCAAACTTAGACTGATCGATGCGTGTCGTTTGGAGCTCAACTATCTGAAGATAAATTACAATGTTAATCAACTCAGCTCAACTGACACTGTCCCCCAGTTCCGACACCGTTGAAGGACTCCCCTTGAGAACCTCCTTCGAGAGACTCTATGAATCCAGTATTGCCAGTCGCATTCGGACCTGGCGTACTAGTGGGCAGGTTCCAAATTGTCCTCTCGTGACGCACATCAAATGTCCATCGCTGCCCCGTAGGGCCGCCCTGGATGAAATGAACAGTGTAACCACTGTTCTTGTCGCGAAAGGCGCCAGTCAATCCTGCATCGTTTGGAGCTCCAAGAACTTTGCTCAACACGAGTGAGTCCCGGGGCACCTCGCCATCTGTCTCGTCTACAACATCTTGGGCAGCACAGATGAGCTTTCCGTCACGGTACAGTCTGGCCACCGTATGTGGCTGATTACCACTTTTCATGTCGGAAAAGATGCGCATAATCTGCATCGCATACGGTCCAACGTGAGCACGTAGATAGTACGACTCTGTCATGACCTGACCCCAAGACAGTGGCGACCAAACACGATCCATGCCACCCGTTGCGCCACCATCCATCGGCCAGACCAAGGACTTTGGAGTATTGCTTTCGGGAGGGTAGAACTCCAGATCGGCCGTAACAGAAGCTCGTCCAATCGGTCGCATGTAGTTGACTGGCGATCCTAGCTCTGGTCGTGTATTGAGGCCAGTATCGCCAGGCATAGAGGTTAGGCTCACATTGCCCTCGAGGACGCCAGGGATGGCAAACGTCAACTTGGCCCACGAAGAATCGACAGGGACCTGGAATGACGCGCTCATATTCTTGATCGGATCCTTCCAGACGCCTACAACATCTTCAGCGTCTCCCACAGTGGTGACAATAGAGTCGGAAAAGTACATGTCGCGGTGCCAGGTGCTCTCATCAGGCCAGATGCAGAGTACTTGGCAGCGGAATGGGGCCTGCCTTGGACCCTCCATGTTCCGTCCGAAGCCCACCACAATGGCAGCTTTGTCAGCAGAGATACCATCAAAGAACCAGAGCTCCCATCCTGTTTGCGTAATGGCGTCCACGTACTTGGGAAAGACGTTTCCGGATCCAGGGATGAATGGCAAGACAGAGACTGGGCCCAAAACGATAGGTTCAGTCTCGATGTTCAGGCGTGATTCGAATTGCTCGGTCATGATTGCGGGTATCTGCTCGGGTGGGGGATTGCGATCTCTGCAGTAAAGTTCAACGGTACTAATGTGTAGAAATGTAGATTCTTGTTGACTAAACTTAGAAACACCTACAACCGAATCGTGTGAGGCGTGGCCGCGCTCGCTCGAATTGGAGCCGAAGAGCCCTCCGAAAAACTCCGGCATCAGATGTGCATCCCCAAAGACCTACAGTGATACCGCGCACTGCACCGAAAAGGGTCCGCACGCATCTCCGAACTTCTCCAGTTTTGGCCCCAGCCCACTGCCCGGCACAGGGACTCAATCTACCGTCGTGTCGGGTCCTACCAATCGATCTCGTCAGCCTCAAAAGCACAGAATAGGAAGGAGGCTTGGCTACGCCCGTGTACTGTGGTATCAGGCGAAAGTTTGTACGTGGTCTTTGCATACCTAGGTAAGCAGGGTTGCGAACACACCAAAAATTACAACTCGTCAACAACAACAATGCAAATTTGGCATCATGTTGTAGAGAAGAAAATATCTAAGAAGGTATGTGAATAGCACCTTTTCAAGAAGTTCTATGGTGTCGTTGTCAAAAACTGCCTTGTAAGATCCCTACCTAGGTAGTCGCGCACGGTCCATGGCCAACATTTACGCCTGATACCACAGTACTACTCCTCGCGTAGCTTCAAAACTTGGACCACCAACACGAACCGGTCCCCTAGACGAATGAATGGTGGTAACGCTGTCATCAGTTCAGGCACCGGCAACAGCTGCAAAAGTGTCCTGCAACGACCGAGGATTTGCGCCGTATCAGCTTCAAGGGTCTAAGCAGCACCAGTGCACAGCTGAGCAGACGCAATTATTCGGAACGGTCTCACGGTTCGAGAACCGACTAAGAAGCTCGAGATGATAAAAATGGTCCCGTCACACCAAGGCAAACGAGTTCAGTCAATCCCAATCATCATTCAACTCAATCGAGGCACATCAACTTGTCGTCGTCTTGCTCATACCACATACGAGTTTCTATAAAGATACAGCAATTCTTCGCCAGAATGTCTAATTCGGAGCCTATTGCCATCGTTGGGAGCGCCTGTCGCTTTCCTGGCGATTCTGATACGCCGTCCAAACTATGGCAGCTCATCAAGTCTCCTCGAGATTTGCTGCGCCAGGTGCCAGAGGAGCGCTTCGATGCGGAAGCCTTCTACCACCCAGACTCCAAACACCACGGCACGACCAACGCTATCAAGTCGTACTTCCTCGACGAAGACCCTGCTTTGTTCGACAATGGCTTCTTCAACATCCCACAGAGTGAGGCCGAAGCCGTTGATCCTCAGCAGAGGTTGTTGATGGAGACGGTGTATGATTCACTCTGCGCTGCTGGACAAACCATTGAGGAGCTACGTGGGTCTTCCACTGCTGTTTACGTTGGGCTGATGTGCGACGATTGGGCTGGCATTCTCGCTCAAGACCCCGACGTCTTGCCGCAGTATGGAGCCACTGGCATGGCCCGAAGTATCATGTCAAACCGCATCTCATACTTTTTCGACTGGCACGGACCGTCCATGACGATTGACACTGCTTGCTCTTCCAGTCTAGTTGCTGTTCACCAGGCAATTCAGACTCTCCGCAGCGGCGAATCGCAGGTCGCTATTGCTGCTGGAGCTAATTTGATCCTCACTCCAGGTTTGTGTTTTGTCCCCCTTTGTAGGAGCATCTTGACTGATGCCGCTTCCCAGGAATGTACATTGCAGAGAGCAAGCTGTCTATGCTCTCACCCTCTGGCAGGTCCCGTATGTGGGACAAGGATGTCGACGGGTATGCTCGTGGTGAGGGCATTGCTGCTGTCGTTTTGAAGCCTCTTAGCGCTGCCATCCGGGACAATGACCACATTGAGTGCCTCATCCGAGGTACTGGTGTGAATCAGGATGGTCGTACGAACGGCATCACCATGCCCAGCGCAACGGCACAGGCTGCTCTTATCCGAGACACTTATGCTAGAGCTGGACTGGATGTCAATAAGCCCGAAGATCGCCCCCAGTTCTTCCATGCGCACGGCACAGGTATTTAACTTCCAGTTCTATATGCCCTTCTCTCCGAGTTCGGTAGACCATGTACGAGAGCCTTCTGCAGGATCTCAGAACTCTACGCTTTAGCACTTGTCGAGCTGACCCTGAGACTCTATAGGTACCGCCGCAGGTGATCCACAAGAGGCCGAAGCCATCTCAAAAGCATTTTATTCTACGAATGATTGCGATGAGACGCTCTACGTCGGCTCCATCAAGACTGTCATTGGACATACCGAGGGAACGGCTGGCCTCGCTAGCTTGATCAGTACTTCGTTGGCGCTCCAGCACAAGGTCATCCCGCCAAACATGCACTTCAACACGCTAAACCCCCGCCTCAAGCCGTTCTATGATCACTTGGAGGTTCCCACCCGGGCCCTTGCATGGCCCTTGCCTCGTCCCGGCCAGCCTTTCCGGGCCAGCGTGAACAGTTTTGGTGAGCATCCGGCTTGATATAGCAGGCCGTGTTTGCTAACAGGCGTCTTCAGGATTTGGCGGTACAAATGCGCACGCAATTCTCGACGCATACGAGCCTCAGCCGCAGCCCCAAGTCAAGGGTCCATTACTCACGCCATTGACATTCTCCGCTTCGTCCGAAACTTCATTACGATCGATGTTGGCTGACTATGCGGAGTACTTCAGGTCCACCCCAGACATTTCCCTGCACGATGTGGCGTACACCTTGCAAACGCGTCGCTCGACCTTGGGGCACCGAGTTACCCTTACAGTCACTGGAGTGGAAGAGGCAGTCTCTCAGATTGATGCCATTGTCAACGGCGAGCTCGACAGTACCTTGGCCACCCGTCAGCTGAACAAGTCATCGCCCAAGATCCTAGGTGTCTTCACTGGCCAGGGTGCGCAATGGCCGCGAATGGGAGCGAAGCTGCTCGAGACGTCTCCATACGTGGCCAAGCGGCTCTCTGAGCTTGACCAAGCGTTGGCTGAGTCGCTCGCTGGCGAGTGCCCATCATGGACGCTCGCAGAGATGATTTTGGCTGATGCAAAGTCATCGAGGATGGCCGAGGCAGCAATCTCTCAGCCGCTTTGCACTGCAGTCCAAATTGTGCTCGTCGATCTGCTTCGATTTGCCGGTATCAAGTTCGAAACAGTGATTGGACACTCGTCTGGTTAATATACTGCTGTGATGTGTAGTCATTCTGGTAGCTGATTTTGTCCCAGGTGAAATCGGAGCCGCTTACGCTGCAGGTCTCTTGACAGCCCGCGATGCCATCAGAATTGCCTACTATAGGGGGCTCTACGCCAAGCTTGCCAAATCTCCTTGCGGTGGCAAGGGTGCGAGTAAGTATCACATATTAGAAAGAGGTGTACACACGCTGACAATGTCCTAGTGATGGCTGTTGGTACAACTGTCGAAGACGCGACAGAGTTCTGCAACCTTGAAGACTTCCAAGGCCGGATTCAAATCGCCGCTGAGAATTCCCCCACCAGCATCACCTTGTCCGGCGATGAGGACGCCATCATCGAAGCCGTAGAGATTTTCAAGGACGAAGGCAAATTCGCACGCCAACTCAAGGTCGACACTGCCTACCATTCGTCCCACGTTTTGCCCTGTGCCGAAGCATACATTGCGGCAATGGAGAAATGTGGGATTGAGTATTCGACGCCTACCGGGGCGAAGTGGCACTCAAGCGTCCACAAAGGCACAATCATGGGCCTGGACCAGCTCACTTGCCAGTACTGGGTCGACAACATGACCAATCCGGTTCTCTTCTCCTCTGTCGTTGCACAGGCAGCCTCTAAGAGTGGGTCATTTGATCTGATCCTAGAAGTCGGCCCACACCCTGTGCTCAAGACGCCGTGCCTCGATTCGCTTGACGAGGATGCCCACCCTCCTTACTCTGGTGTGATTGCGCGAGGCAAAAATGATGTGAGAGAGTTCTCCAATGCTCTTGGCTTCATCTGGACTCATATCGGCGCCGGATCCGTCAACTTTGATAGGTTTTCCCGAGCAGCGTCTGGGTCATCTGTGCCTAGGAAGTTCCTGCACGACCTTCCCAAGTACCGTTTCGATCACTCTAGGCGCTTCATGACCCTTTCCCGCAAGTCTGGACTATACAACTCGCTCAAGGCTCCACCTCATCCTTTGTTGGGCAAGAGGTGCATTGACCGCGAGACCTCTCGATCCATCCAATGGCGCAATGTTTTGCATCCAAAGGAGATTGGCTGGCTTCATGGGCATCAGATTCAGGGACAGCTTGTCTTCCCTGCGACTGGCTACGTTGCCATGGCAGTCGAGGCCATGTCCATTCTGGCTGGGGAATCTCCCATGAGTCTCTTGACGATTGAGGATCTCCGCATCACCAGGGCTATGGCGTTCAATGATGATGACTCGAGCGTGGAGGCCGTCTTCGACGTGAGAATCATCATTCAGACCAATAATGAAATCGAAGCCACATGGTCATGCAGTTCGGCAGCACCAACGGATCACAGGGCAACTCTGGCCACGAATGCAACCGGTAGCGTCAAAGTTACGTTTGGAGCTCCCGCGCCGCACTCGCTTCCCAGCATCGAGACCGACAAACTGAACTTGAATGAAGTTGCCATTGACCGTTTCTATTCATCACTCAGTCGGCTCGGCTACAACTACTCTTGGCCGTTCCACGGTACCAGCAGCATTCAGCGCAAGGCTGACTACGCCACTGGTATCCTTGAGGATCAATCTGGCATGGACTGGGAGGACCGGCTGATTGTGCACCCTGGCATGCTTGACACAGCTCTGCAGACCGGCTTTGCGGCGTTTAGCTGCCCTGGCGACGAGCGCCTGTGGGCCCTAATCGTTCCCACCAGCTTCAAGTCGATCGTCATCAACCCCTACTTCACTTCTGCTGGCATCGGAAAACAGGAACGATATCAATATGTTTCCGTCGCCAAGGAGTACAAGAAGGGCAAGGCCATTACCGAGCTCAATCTGTTGACTGAGCAAGACGGCCAGACCTTCTTGCAGATTGAGGGGATGGAGCTCGTGCCGTTCTCTGCCGCGCTCGAAGAGAACGACGCAGTCCTCTTTTCACGATTCGACTACCAGCTCGCGCATCCAGATGGCCAGGTCACCGCTGCGAGCTGTACCTACAAGGCTGAGGATCTAGAGATCGCACTCGACTCGGAGCGTATTGCCTTTTTCTACCTGCGCCGCCTTGTGGACTCCATCACACCGGAAGAGAAGGCCAACGCATTGTTCCAATACCGACACCTAGTCGAGTGGGCCGCTTACGTCGTGCCGAAGGTTCTGAGGGGCGAGAATCCGTACATTCCGCAAGAGGCGCAGAATGACACACGATTTGACATCAACGCTCTCCTCAAGAAGTAAGTACACTTTTCCGATTCTCCATTAATACTAATCATCTTACCAGACACGACCACCGTACGGACGTTCGTCTCCTAGAGTCCGTTGGCGAGAACCTTCCCCAATGTGTCCGGGACGGATCCAACATCCTCGAGCACATGACCAAAGATGGGATGCTGGACGATGTCTACGAAGAAGGCTTTGGTCTTGACTTTGTCAATGAGTACATTGCTCGCATGGCGGCTCAGATTGCCCACCGCTACCCACGCATGGACGTCTTGGAGATTGGCGCTGGTACTGGTGGGTCAACTAGGAGGATTCTTCCCCGACTGGGATCTGCCTTTTTGTCTTACACGTACACGGACGTTTCTGGAGGCTTCTTCAGCCACGCCGAGGATCGCTTCAAGGACTTTGCCAGTCGCATGATCTTCAAGACGTTTGACATGAACACGGATCCTGCCGCTCAAGGCTACGTTCCAGGCTCATACGACCTTGTCATTGCCTCCAACGTCCTTCACGCCACCTTGGAGATGGATGCCATGATGCAGAACGTCCGCAGCCTGCTCAAACCGGGTGGTTATCTCATCATTCTTGAGACCGTAAACAACAACTGCCTCCGAATTGGTCTACCCATGGGCAGTCTTCCAGGTTGGTGGCTCGGAGCTGAGACTGGCCGTCGCTGGGGCCCAACGCTCACTTTGGAGCAATGGGACTCGCTTCTGGCCAAGAACGGCTTCGGCGGAATTGAGACCACAACGCCGCCTGCCCACGAGATTCTGCCCGGCAACGTCTTTTGCGCTCAGGCGGTTGACGATCGCATGACGATGCTGCGAACCCCTCTTTTGGACGTCTCCATGCTCCCAGCGACCAAAGCACCCGGAATAGTCATCATCGGAGGCAAGACCCCGTCCGTCTTCACACTCTCTGGGCAAATCGCGGCTATTCTTGCCCCCAGATATTCCCAGATCACTCGCATCAAGTCTGTGGAAGCGCTCAGTCATATGGGTTTGGCTGACTCCAGCACTGTCTTGTCGCTCACCGAGCTGGATGAACCGCTCTACGCTGACATGACCGCCGAAAAGCTGGAAGCCATGCAGATTCTTTACCGACAAAGTGGTAATATCCTCTGGTTGACTACAGGAGCTAGGTCGGAAAACCCATACTCGAACATGAGTCTTGGCGTCAGCCGGTGTCTGCGATATGAGTACCCCAACATTACGCTTCAGATTCTGGATCTCAACTCGCCAAGCCACCGTCAGCCAGGCATAATTGCAGAGTACCTCCTCCGCCTGGAAATGCTTGACAAGTGGTCAAAAGAGCTTGCGCCGAACGACCTCATGTGCACATTGGAGCCTGAGCTGCACCTGGAGGACGACACCGTACTTATTCCACGACTTTATCCCTATGTCTCTGGAAACGCGCGCTACAACACTGCCCGTCGTGTCGTCAGCGAGCAGGTTGACCCTCAAGAGACCAGCATCATGTTCACAGGCGATGATGACTCATGGGGGCTGCAACGCGCTTCTCCGCTGCACATTCCGACACCGCTGCCCTTCACTGGGGAAACACGCACTATTCGCATCACATATTTTTTACTCTCGACCGTCAATATCCTCCCGGGGTGCAGCCTAATGGTCTGCGTCGGCACCGACTCTTCGACCAAAGAGAAGCTCCTGGCAGTAACCCACACAGCGGAGTCACCTGCTACGATCCCATCGTCTTGGTGCACTTCAATTGAAGGCCTCGATGCTTCCAGTGTGCTGGGTCTTGCAGCCGCCAACATGGTTGCAAGCAGCATCTCGAGGCTCACAGATAAAGGAGATGTGCTTATTGTCCACGAGCCACACCCAATGGTCGCCGCTGCCTTGCTAAAAGGAAGTAAGAGTGTTCACATCACTACTTCCCGTCAGCAAGAGGCCAAGAATGGATGGCAGTATGTGAACAAGAACCTTCCGGAGCGCCTCGTCCAGAAGCTTCTCCCTTTCAACGCCAACAAGTTCATCGACCTCTCTCAAATCTGCTGGGGATCCGAGAAGTCTCACGTCATTCCCGCAGCATTGCCCCGCAATTGTCAAGTCATTGATGAGGCGCGTCTATTTGGCACTAGCACTGAGCTCAGGCCTTTCGTCTCTGAGGCTGAAGTGTCTGAGCAACTCAGGGCTGCTTTCTCTGAGATCAAGAGTAGCACTCCAGCATCGGTTGCGTCAATTGTCCCTCTGCAGGACATTTCGGAGTTTGCTGCTGCTGGTGGGCGGTTCGCAGTAGCGGATTGTACCATTCCTTCCGTTACGGCTCAATTGACTCCCATTGATACAGGCAACATTTTCCAGCCCGATAGGACGTACTTCCTTGTTGGTCTGAGTGGTGAGCTTGGACAGAGTCTTTTGAAGTGGATGGTCGTCCACGGCGCTCGATATATTGCTGTCACGAGCCGAAGGCCCAACGTCCAACCAGAGTTTATCGCTGGAATGGAGCGCATGGGCGCGACGGTCAAGGTTCTTGCCATGTAAGTCATCCCCTCTCGCCATGTCTACCACAAGCGATCTCCCCAGGAGCTAATCAGAACGCAGGGACATCACCGTTCGGGAGTCGCTACACGCGTGCCACGCGGAAATTGTCAAGACCATGCCTCCCATTGCAGGTGTAGCCAACGGCGCCATGGTACTCCAGGATGGTCTGTTTGACAACATGTCCTACGACGCATTCGCCAAAGTCCTGAAGCCCAAGGTTCTCGGCTCCCAGCTCCTGGATGAGCTCTTCTACGACACTCCGCTCGATTTCTTCATCTTCTTCTCTTCTGCCACGGCAGTCATGGGTAACAGCGGGCAGAGCAACTACATTGCAGGAAACATGTACATGAACGCTCTTGCAGCACAGCGCAAGAAGCGTGGTGTCCCTGCGTCGTCCATGAACATTGGCTCCATTATCGGTATCGGATACGTGGAGCGAGCCGCTGACATTGACGAGCACACCTTCTTGAAGATGGGATACAAGCCCATGTCGGAGCAGGATCTGCAGCAGCTGTTTGCCGAGGCCGTTCTGCTTGGTCGGCCAGAGTTGCAAGAGAACTGCGAACTCGCCACGGGAGTGACGCCCATTTACAAGGACGCTCAGGCCAAAGACCAGTACCTCAAAGATGTCAAGTTCAGTCATTTCGTCATGGAGCGTGTAAATGCGGTCGGAGCCACCGGCAAGACATCGTCAGTCCCCGTCAAGGTCCAGCTCGCAGAGGCCAAGACCAAGGCCGACGCTGTTGCGATCATCACTGGTAAGTACTCCCTGATGCTGAGAAGTGCCATTACTAATAATTGGAAGAATCGTTCATGGCCCGACTAAGGCGCATTCTTGCGGTTTCACCTGACGAGGTCATTAACGAAAAGGTGACCCTTGTGGACCAAGGAGTCGATTCTCTCATGGCTGTCGAGGTGCGCTCTTGGTTCCTCAAAGAGCTGGACGTTGACATTCCTGTTCTCAAGATTCTCGGTGGTAGCTCCCCCTTGGACCTCTTGACCGAAGCGCTCAAATTATTGTCGCCTTCCATTGCTGACCTCTCTGCCCTTAAGCCCGGCCAAGCCGCACAGGCAGCGGTGCCGAAGGCAGCACCCAAGGCAGCGCCAAAAGGAACCCCCAGCCCGGCGGTCAATCCAATCATCGAGATCAAGCGCCCAGACAACACTTCGAATGGACGGCCCAGTTCCTCATCTGGAGACTCCAGCGCTGATGAATCCCCAAGCAGAAGGACGCCCACGAGTACCGCCGCCAACACCGCCGGCTACAACACACCAATGACGTCGTCGGCCCTCTCCACGGCCTCCATTCAGCTCGCATCGGAGAAAAATGCCAGGAGCTCGTATTTTTCTAATCAGCGTCCGGACGAGTCTACCAGCCCTATGTCCTTTGGTCAAACAGGCTTCTGGTTTCTGAACGAGTACCTGGCAGAGAAGAAGGCATTCAATATGGCCGTAATGCTCAAGCTGACTGGGCCGGTTCGCATCCGCTCGCTCGAAGATGCTCTCCATCTAGTTGGCAACCGTCACGAGATTCTGCGCACCCGATTCTTCTGGTCCGGCGAGGGTGAGGATAGAAAGCCCATGCAGGGTATCAGGGCATTGTCTGAATTGAGGTTGACCACCAAGCGCATCCGCTCTGAAGCAGAGGCCAAGGCGGAGCTGCAGGCTGTTCACGACGAGATCTGGGACCTTAGCAGTGGAGACGCGATGAAAGTCTCGCTGCTCTCGCAATCCGATCAGAAGCACTATCTCGTGCTGGGCATGCACCACATTTTCATGGACGGATACAGCTTCAGCGTCTTCTTCAAGGATCTCGACGCTGCATACAACCGCAAGACTCTGTCTCCCCTGCCTTCGGAGTCGCAATATCGTCACTTTGCGATGCAGCAGATAAAGGCGTACGAATCTGGCGCCTTCGACAAGACGATTGAGCACTACCGCAACACGTTGCCCCAGGAGTTTAAGTCCAAGCCTATCGAACTGTTTCCCTTTGCCCGGTCCGCTACCAGGCAGCCGATGCTCACTTATAGCCAACAAGAAGCATCTGTACGACTTGAAGCCGGTATGGCAGCTAAGATACGCCAGCTGGCCCGCCAAAATAGTTCGACGTCCTTCCACGTCTATCTGAGTGCGCTGCGGGTCCTCTTGTTCAGTCTCTTGCCCAGCACTGATGATATCTGCATTGGCATTGCAGACACAAACCGTACTGACAAGAACTACATGAACAGCATAGGTTTCTTCTTGAACCTGCTGCCGCTCCACTTCCGTCGAAGCGAAGCAGGAACTTCCTTGGCTTCAATCATCAAGTCGGCGCGTGATACGGCTTACGGTGCGCTTCAGCACTCGCAGCTGCCGCTCGATGTCCTTCTCAAGGAGCTCAATGTCTCTCGCTCGAACGCATACACGCCGATTTTCCAAGTCTTTTTAGACTACAGGCAAGTAGTCCAGGAGCGACCAAGCTGCGTGGGATGCAAGCTGGATGGCGAAGACTGGTGCAATGCCAGCACTGGCTACGATGTTGCTCTGGAAATCACCGAAAACGCCAACACCGACACGCTGCTCAGCCTGCGTCTCCAAGACTCGCTCTGCTCCCAGGAGAGCACTCAGCTGTTACTTCGATCCTTTGTCAACGTGCTCAAGCATATGATTGATGCTCCGAGCAGAGCTGTCGTCGGTGATCTTCCAACATGGCCGCGCAATGATGTTGCGGCGGCGCTGACGGCAGGTCAAGGTGAGATATCCGATTCTACCGGAGGTGTTCAGGAGATAGCTGACAAGACTATAGAACAATCACTCGAGTCCAAGTGGAACCAGCCCACGGTCGCGCATCGGATTGAACAACTGACGCGCGCCCATCCTGAAAAGACAGCAATTCGCGACGGGAATGGCAACACCCTCACTTATGCTCAAATGGCTGCTCGCGTGGACACTATCCGCAAGGCCTTGGAGGATTCGAGCGTGCGCAAGGGAGACATTGTCGGTGTCTTCCAAGAACCATGTGCTGATTGGATCTGTTCAATGTTGGCCATTTTCAGGGCTGGCGCTGTGTACGTGCCCTTGGATCTGCGCAGTTCCACTGCTCGTCTGGCAAGCATCGTCAGGGTCTCTCGGCCCTCGACTATCCTCACAGACAATACTACGGCCGACAAGATTTCTCTGATTGGCGCTACGAATGTAACCGTCCTGTCAGTCTCGGGTCTGATGCCTGCAAATACCTCGTACCCGAATCGTGCCGAACCGAATGCGCAAGCCGTCATCCTCTTTACAAGCGGCTCCACAGGAGAACCCAAGGGCCTCAACATGACCCATGTCAACATGGTGACTTCTGCAGAGGCTTCGAGCTGTACGTTTATGACCTCCAGCGGTGGCAATCTTGTCGTTCTGCAACAGAGTCCCTATAGCTTCGATTTCTCTCTCGATCAGACCTTCGCCGCCCTCACAAACGGCGGGTGTCTGTGCGTGGTGCCAGCCTGCTACAGAGGAGATCCAGTTGAGATTAGCAGGATCATGGCTGCGGAAGAAGTCACATACACCAGCGGCACGCCGTCTGAATTCGCCATGTGGCTGCGATATGGCGCTAGTAACTTGTCCCAGTGCCGTTCCTGGACGCATGTCTTCTCCGGTGGTGAAGCCATGAGCCATGGCCTTGCCCGCGAGTTCTCTACTCTGAACCTCCCTCAACTGCACGTCTCTACCGGTTACGGACCAGCAGAGACCACCATGTTCTCGACCAAGATTGAGCTCAACTACACTTCGCCAGACCTTCCAAATCCCCTGCCAGCTGGGCACATGCTGGCTGGATACTCTATCTGCATTGTGGACGCCAATGTGCAGCCTGTGCCCCTCGGCGTCTCTGGTGAAATCGTCATCGGAGGCCGCTGCGTCGTGGACGGCTACTTTGGGAACCCAGAGTTGACGAAGCAGAGGTTCCTTCAAGATAGCTTCTTTGGTACTCCAGGAAAGGTCTATCGCAGCGGCGATCGCGGCCGCCTGCTTGCAGATGGCACTCTGTTTGTTGAAGGGCGCCTAGAGGGCGATACACAAGTCAAGATTCGCGGCTTCCGTGTGGAAATCACCGAGATCGAAAACGTCCTCTTGAAGCGCGCTGCCGGTGCCCTTTCTCACGCTGTTGTCACGCTGCGAGGAAGCGGGGATGCAAAGTACCTGGCTGCGCACGTCGTCTTCTCTCCCGAATACCCCGAGGAGCATCGCCCAGCGATGCTAGAGTCTCTTCGCCACGGTCTGCCACTGCCACCATACATGCGTCCATCTGCCGTTGTGCCGCTCTCAGATATCCCAAGGACCGCCCACTCCAAGGTCGATAGGAAAGCTATCCAAGCACTGCCTCTTCCGAGCGCACAGGAGGCGACACAGACTTCCGAGAATCTCTCCGAAACAGAGCGCAAGCTGGGCGACGTTTGGCGCCAAGTGTTGCCGCTTCATCCCGGTCCACTCCACCTCGACTCTGACTTCTTCCTGGTTGGCGGTAGCTCGATTCTGCTGGTCAGGTTGCAGTCTCTGCTGAGAGATGCCTTCTCTGCAACGCCGAAGCTCTTCACTTTAATGGGAGCCAGCACACTTGGCGAGATGGCAGCTACCATTACGGCCAATGTCTCCACTGCCATCGATTGGGATACGGAAACGAGCCTAGCAGAGTCGCTGAAGCAGATCGTGCCTACAAAGCGGACCACGAACGCTGGCACTAAGACCATGCTCTTGACGGGCTCTTCAGGTTATCTTGGCCGCCATTTACTTGCTCAGCTCGCCGAGGATCCAAATCTCAAGCAAGTTATCTGTCTCGTCCGCCAAGCAGACAGTGGTTCTTTGACCCTGGGCACGAACAACAAGATTACCTTTGTCCAAACCGACATCTCGCAGCATAATCTTGGCCTGTCCGACGGCAGCTTCTCAGCGCTCGTTGAAAAGGCTGACGTCGTTGTCCACTGCGCTGCCAATCGCTCTTTCTGGGATCGGTACGAAGTCTTGCGCCACGACAATCTAAACTCGGTCAAGGAGCTGGCCCGACTGGCGGCGCACCACGCTATCCCACTGCACTTCATCTCGTCTGGTGCAGTCAAGACCTACGTTGATGCTGGTATGACACCTCCCCAGGATGGAAGCGACGGCTATGTTGCCGCCAAGTGGGCTGCTGAGACGTTCTTGCACAAGGCCGCCGTTGCACTGAAAATTCCCGTCTACATCCACCGACCTACAGGCCTCCCAAAGGCGACTTCTGGCGATAACGCAACGGAGCGCGCCGTCGTGACGGACGAGCTACTAAAGATCGCCGGCAAGCTCGGCATGCGTCCCTCTTTCGACACAGTCAAGGGCACAGTGGACGTCGTCCCCGTCCACGACGTTGTGCAAGCCATCCACCGATCCGCATACTTCAGCATTGGCGCGAGTCTGCACGGCAAGAATGGAGGGCTTGTGGAGATTCTGCACCATGAGGCGGTGCTCAGGGTGTCGGTCGACGAGTTTGCGGCGCTGATGCAAGAACAGAAGGGGTTGAGCAGTCTGCCGAGTGTGCCCATTTTGGAGTGGTTTGGGCAAGCGAAGAAGGCCGGGTTTTCATTTTTTATGGCGGCGCAGGATTTGAGTATGGGGACTGCGGGTGCGGAGTTGGTTTCGAGACGTTGAGCCTGGGATTCGAAGGTGTTATGTTACAGGCTGTTCACATGCCGTTTCGTAGTGTTTAGTTCTCTCGGAGTTAGCTACTTGTATAGACAATAATTTTCAATTGTTAAGTTAACTTAATAGATTAATTTTTCTTGCATCTAGCATTGCAACGTTCGTCCCTCCCTTTCACTCAGGCCCAGGACGGTTAAGTGTCAACGCCGAGCGTTGACAAAATTACCTAGGTAGCTGTCAACGAGCTTGTTAACTTCAGTCGCGGTAGAAACGAGAGAGTTCTGAAGAAGGATTCTGTTGAGCCGTGATATTGATCGCACAGTAATTTCAACCTGGTTGCTTCCCCGGATGGAATCTGAGAAGACACGAAGTTATTTAGAGCTCGGCTACTAAGTGCTGCTTGATGCTTTCCTCGGCCTGCGTTGAGACCTTCCTATATTTCTTTCACCAAGGTTACAATCCTGCATAGGTACCTGCAGGAGACCCAAGGCCCACATGGCTCAAGTCGACACCACTGCGGGATGGCAATTAAGCATTGTTGCTTGTCAACGAACCTAAAAGCTTGGTCCGCCCACGATGCATTATAAGACTGATGATTTGCTGCGGCTATTAACAACGCCAAGAGTGCCAAGCCGGGATAAGACCAGTGTAGCCGCAAACATAAGCTTTAGATTATGAAACGTTAAGCGCCCATGCTAAGGAATCCTTTTGTACACCAGACAGTCGACAAAGCCGCAATGCAATCAAGGTAAGACTTACATCGAGGCGTATGAGGTTACATCTACACACTCTCGCCACAAGCGCTACTGCAAGGGCGTTGCCGTGAACCCTGTACAAGCCATGCAGGGCTCCCATTGGAGGGACGTCATGCCCCCTACGGTGAATGCTAAGCACGCACGAACGTCCTCCTACCTCCGCTGAATCTTTCCGACACTTCTATTCCTCCACACTTTTTTTCTTTTGAGGCACACAGATATTTTCATGTTCATTACTTGGCTACCTTAGTTCACCGGCTGACATGGCCTACCACGTGCCTGTGCCTATTACGCTTGGCACTTCCTTAACGCTACATTTCCTGGTCTTCAGTGCAACATGGGTAAAGATGGTTGGAGCCTCGTCGGTGTGGTAGAGGTTGATCTGATCTTTCCGCGCAACGAGACATATGCGCCTACCGCCTATTTGCCCATTATTTTCGCCTTCCAAAATTCTCATCTGGCGCCTTTCCACGATCCGCTCATTCACATCGACGCTTATCTAGTCCAGAACGCGAACGGCAGCACTCCTCAATGGGCTCCGCCCGAGTCAATCGATCTGGAACAACTGCGATGGGCAAACTTTACCAACAACGACACCTACTTTGCATACCCAACTTACCAACGTAATGAGTTCACCTTCGCGACTGAAGGAATCTGGCAGGTCACTTGGACATTCAACTGGGCAGTGTGTACCGAAGACTCGTTGGCAAACAACATATTTATCCGAAACGAATCGCAACGCACGACGACGCTCACCATCAGAAAGGACGCTCAAGAGGTAGATCTTGTGTCCGGAACAATGGGCAAGAGCTGCTCTGGACAAGATGGTGTCGCAGTCAACATCACGAATACGCTCCATATCCCTAGCTCCGCTCATTGGGAAGGTCAACCCGACAAATGGGAAGGTCAAGGCGACATGTGTGCATCCACGGCGTCTTCTGTTCCTAAGTCGGATCCTTGTCGAGTGAGCATCGACCCTGCCGCCGCTGCAAGCATCTCATGTTCAATCACCTTTGGTAGCTCAGCGGCAGATTTCAGCACAACAACCTCTTCGCTGACATGCCCGGAGGATAAGAAGAGCGCTGCTGGGTGTTTGACCGTTGGGGGCCTTGCAGCGCTGTTTGGGGTATTTTCCTACCTTCTTCATTAATACTAGGAGTTCTGTACAAGGTCAAATTGATCCGTCACATTGAGGCGCATGAACACACTTCTCCTGGTTTTGCCAAATAGATGGCGTTCATTGCAATATATTGTTTATCGAAGCTCAAATTTGCACATACGACCATAGGACACTGAAAATTAGGCTTCCCGTCCGCTCAGCCATATACAAGCAGTGTACCGGCGGATTAGTAGTTAGGTGGGTGACCACTAGCGAATCCCCGCTGTTGTATGTTTTTGCGTCTTTTTGCTCCATAACACGGCCCATCATGCATTTTAGCCTCGTTAGGTTGACGAGAGCTTCTAGTAAGTCCCTGGGTAAAAAGGTCCTGATCATCAGACGAGATGCAATACCTTCTCGTGGAGATCGCCCTTGTCTCGTAGGTCTAGTGCTTCTCCCTTCTGGAGTCCCTCAACATAGCACTCACCAACGAGACGATAGCAGTCGGTGCGGGGAAGAGCATTACTTTTCGCAGGCGGTGGTGTACATTCTTTTGACTTCTTCTGGAACGGATTCCAGCTCTTCAATGAGCCTTTGAATTTCTCGACCGAGCTGATGGGAAGATCCAGATCAAGGTCCAGCCACTCAGGACAGTTGGGTCCTTTCGTTACTTTCTGCACGACGAAGGGTGTTTTCCCACCATACAGTACACATACCTCGTCTCCAACTCGTGTAATCGGCGGTCCACTGCCAATGTACCCCGTCTCAGTTACGAAGATGGCCCGTTCGATATCCACAGCGATGTTGAATCTCAACGCCATTAAAGGCAGCCTTTCCAAGGCTTCTTCACTCGAGGTATTCTCCATACAAGGCCACTCCTCGATGTCTCGCTTATTTGGGGAAGAGAAAGCGCTGAATGTCGGAAGTGTACCTGGTTCCTCTTCTTTCGCGTATTGAAGGCCAAACTCGTAATACGCAGTAAAGTACTGCCCAGGCGACCCTGTTCCAGGCGGTCCGCAAGCAGAACCCCCCGTAATGACCTTCGCAAATGCTTCCCCGTTAAGCGAGTACCGACCGCGGCCATTAACCTCCGAGCCCCAAAGGATGGCCTTCCATATCTTTATGACAGCGCGGAACTGGTTCAAGGAGAACATTGGATCGTGATCATTACGGATATCATCCAGATGGGTGTATACCTTCGCGATTCTGTCGACAACGATGCCTTTCAGGGAGAGTATGCGGTCATCTTGCGATTCGACGATACACGGTTCAGTATCGTATGTTGTTTGGAAAGTAAAATGCGACATGCGCTGCACGATAGCACAGTTGCTGTGGATTTTATCCCATTTGGGCACCCAGGAAGATTGTCTTTTGTCCCAGGCAAAATTTCCTTCGTCGTCACGCTCCTGACGTACTGAACTCAAGATATGCAGTGTCGGCTTGGGTCCGTAGGAGCCGGGCATCTCGATGCAGTGTCTTGCAACATCGCGGAACACAGCTTCCCAGTCTCGGGCGTAGTCGACGCGTAAGCGCGGGTATTCCTCGGGTGTTAGGGATTCGATGGATAGGCCCAGTACTGCATATATCTTGTCATGCGGGACCGTAGAGTTGAACCTAGATATTTGATCCAGTCTGCGCATCAAGGGCGGAGTCTTATACCTACGACATGTCTCGATCATGGAGATATTGCTCAATACACGGAGGCCGTCTATGTTGTCTGGGTAAGCACGAGCTATAAACCAATTCACCGCTTGTGACAGTTGGCCCCAGCCGAGTCTCGCATTCTTTCCTACCATCAGCAGCGTGTGGTCCACACTGGATGCTTCCTGGATGATCCATACGCGACTAAACCATGGCCTGCTTAAGAATTTGCTCAAGCTCTCCCATTCCGGAGCACCAACCTTGGGGAGACCGACCGTGCTCGGATCTTCAAAAGGCTGCATGCTCCCAGCGTTACTCATGAACAGCTCTTGATAATCCAGTTTGCCAACCGTGTCTTTCCCACGCACGATTCTGTGTGCTTTTTTCAGAAAAGACATAGCCTTGATCGCAATGTCGACTTCATCCCTGTCGTTTCCGGTCCCGTCCATTATTGCGTCGCCCAGCCAGACGAGTACTCTTTCACACATTGTGTATATATCCTTCATGCGCATGACCTGTATATTCTTCTCTTCGACATCCCGCTGGTTGATACATACAGCGTCTACCCAAAGCAGCTCTGCCTTTTCCGTATTTCTGACTCTCCGCAAGGCTGCCTCCAGATTCATCGTCACCTCGATTGTCTTGCCATCTACCTTGATCCGCTCTTTGATGTCCGCATAGCCCCACACATAGGACAGTGCATCGAAAGCGCCTGAGACCTCTTCCAACGACACGGTAAAAAGCTCGCACTGTATCATGTCACACTCGGTGCAGATGCACGCATCCCCACAGCACACTTCGTCACGCAGGATTTTGCCGCGCTCGAAATCCTGCACGAAGACCCTCTCAAACAGGCTTTCAGTAATGGCTCTGCAGTCCTCCTTTTCGCAATCACTTTCCTCGCCATCTTGGTGGTAGTGGCCGCTCCCGCCGGGTACGGTCGTGGGTAAGATTCGCAATAGCCGGATTTGGTCGCCTTCAAGAGGTGAGTAAGTGGACAATGTGTAGGTAGGCGGCGTGGGCAGTGAGTTGGTGGATGGGGAAGCGCTTTGTGCCCGGCGGCTGTCGCTCCTGCAGCACTCATCAAAGGGTATGAAGCGGTGATGGGGGTGGATGAACTCGGCGTTCTTGAGACAATCAGAGCAGTAATCCCAGTCTGGGCAGTCCAAGCACTTGTGGCGGACACCGTAGATGTCCTTGTCGCAGCCATCGCAAATAGCGCTGTGATGAACGTTCATGCCAGAACTGCACTGGCAGCATGAGTGAGACGTCACCGACATGTCGTCGATTTATTTCCTGCTTACAACCACTTTCCTGAACTCATATATCTAGGTATGTTCCCGTGAGAGGGGCTGTGCTAGAGCAACGCCCGGCGGCTATTTTGGGATAGGATTTGGGGGCCAAAAGTTTCATGATCTAATGAGGGTATACCTTGCCGAGGCTCGCACCTTAACATCAACCACCTTCAAGCGCAACAACAAACGACGCGACATGGCCTCGCTAAGCAGTTGGGAGAAGCAAGATATCCTGCGCTGCGCGCGATTTCTGAAAAGGATCGAAGGCTGGGTCGACCCCACCTGGGGATTTTATGTCTATGGCACCTACACACGCCTGCAAAAGCGAAAGGATTCAGACAAGGGGAACGATGAGGGCAAAGCCCAGGAGAAAGCGGGTGAGTCATATTAATTCGAGCTTAGAGAGGGATGTCTAATGGCTGCGTATCTAGTAGACAGCGAACACTTCCAGGCTGTGCTGAACAAGCTGCACGCCCACGCTGCTGATACCCTGCGCTACGAATAACCAGAGCCGTACAATTAACAGTTTATTGACACTTTGCGCTTACAACCCGCTGCGTACCTTCCTGGCGCTTCGCTCGCTGACATCTGTGAACATTTCCGCTAGAACGCAGGCAGTTTTCTTGGCGCTGAAGGCGAAGTTATAGAGGAGGGTTACAACTGCGGTCCCAAGACTGACTGGTGTCTGATCATAGACGATGACTCACTCGATAGTATCGAACATGGGCCCGAACCAATCGGACCAACGCCGCCAGACGATGCGATGCCCTGGACTCTAAAGCGTAACGCTAACAGGGTGTTTGTCAAGCTGCTTAGTAAGAACGAGTTTACAACGGAAGAGCCCAAAGTTCTTGCTGCGCAGGGTCGGGGCGGGACTGGCCAGAGGGTTGAGTGGCATGGCTGGTGCAAGTTCTCACCCGTGTATCTAATGCCTGTCTTCAATGAGACCGACAAAGGAGATATCGAGACTTATTGCAAGCATCCCGATAAGCTCATCACGATCTAGCTATATGTTGTAGTCATCTAGCATCGAACTGGGACGACGCCCTTCGATGCACGCAGCACCACCTGGTCGATCTGGTGAAGTACCTAGACCGTAATGAGATGTATCAGCATATTAGAAAGATCAAGAAGACAGGAATATGGTGTGACTGCGAGAGCCGCACAGCGGAAGAGCAAAGAAAGGCGCTCATAGGCCGAAAAAGGCCGCCTATGTATCGAAGAAGGACGGTGACGGACCGAAAGAAGATACTTGCGGATCGATCAGACTCGCGATATACCAACCGAGGTTTACGGCCATGGTACAGATACGACAAGTGGGATCCAGATTATGACGATACAATTGACCTGGGTAAAATGCTGGAGATAACCTGCACCGCGGGATTCGACCAAAAGCTTTACCCTGGCGTCTGGAAGCGCACGATGAACTGGAAAGAAATGCATTGGTAGCAAGAAGACTACGGTACGAATTCCGATGACGGCCACAGCGTTAATGAAGACTTTGAAAAGCTGCAGAGTTATGAGAAGTTGCACAAGGAAGGACAAGCGAAGATAAAGGCTGTATTTGCAGAATGGGGGTACAAGGTTGACGAACACGATCAGGGCGAAGCTGCGGAGGGCCTTGAGGTCGACAAAGAGCGTGACAACCACAATCACAACTATTGGGAATCGATTTCGTAAAAAAGCAAGCAGGCGTTCGCAATGAGTCATTATGCGCATTCATTGAAGCGTGAAAGCATCGCTTGAGCGGCGTAGCGTCATTGCGGTACTGAGGCCAGTTGCGAGGCAGCAAGTGCGGATGAACTGTCGTCGCGAGTGGAGCAGCGGGCACAAATTGATGCGCGCTGGAATCGTGGTGATGAGAGGTGTGGAAGGTGGATATAACTCGGTGGGGGCACGTCCACTTCTACCGGCGCCCCACTTCTTGGGCTCTTCGTCAGTTTTGTGGATTATCGCGCAATGAAGCTAAGTCGCAGGCTCCACCACGCGATAAACAACCACTCCAACATATAATAAACCAGGGTAAGATCGCATTACGGAAGATAGGCGAAGCGTTGCTAAGAAAGATGAAGTTGACCAATTATCTCTTCGCGACCGGAACATGCTCGGCATACCTTGTTCCACTTGCTCATGCGGCGAACGTTTCAAACCCTCATGATAGTGCAGTGCAAAACGCCACAGCATTTGCAATTCAGGTAAATGACAAATCGCAAACATGCTGTGTTCTTGTTAACACTCCTTCAGTATGCGTATCCAATATCTCAATGGCAACAAGCTGTGACGAACATCCTGGATGCCGTCGACAAAACGAACACTCTATGGCCATATCATATACTTTCCGGCCCCTTAAATCGCACTATAGTCGGTCCAAATGCAGACACGCTGTATATTTGGGCGGCTATCGACTTATCGCATGAAGACCTCGTCTTGACCATCCCCAACATCAGTGATGGAAGAAACTGGATATGGCCTTTCTATGACCTGTTAGTCTCGTTAAAGGTCGAATATGTACAACAAAATACTGACTGATCTCAGTTATGGCAGCAATTTTGCCTGGATGTCAATCAATGAGGACTCGCCACCCGGGGACTATCTGATCAGACGTGCAGACGATGCACTTGTTCAACCAGGAATTGAATACGCTAACCCGTCTGAATCATCTGATTACAAAGGTGTAATTTCGTATGCCACCACTTACGGTATCATGCTTGGTCGTATCCTCGTACGTCAAAACACCACGGAAGATATTGCGACCATACGCAACTACGAAGACCAGACCTTCCTCAAAACAGTTCCTCGTACACTATCTCAGCCTTTCGTAGCACAAGCACCTAGACTGACACGTGATCTTATCGATACCTCGAATGCCACTGATAGAGTCACTGGCTACCTAGAACTGCTTGCCAAGATCGGACAGTTCAATCAACCCGAAATACTTGCAGATCGGTACCGAGTAGCGTCCAAACTTGGTCTTGCTGGCATTGCGGATGGAATTTACACTCCACCTCGGACAGTTAACCTAACTGCTGCTACCATTGCAGCAAACGCAAGCATCTCCGCGGCTTACTCCCAAAACTTGATCGATGTCGGCAACAACTGGGTCATCCCGAAAGTAAAGTGTCAAGGCATTTTCGGCCTCGAATACGGCTGCCGTGCTTACCGCGCTCTCCGCGGTTATCTAGGCCTGGTACAATCCGAGAACCTCTTCATCACCAACAAATCGGATAACTTGACCTTGAGTGCAACGTCGGCCTTTCTCTTCACCTTCTCTGGCAAGCCGCCGATCAAGTCGACCGGATTTTGGAGTTTGACCGTGTATGGAGCGGACCAGTATCTAGTGCCCAACGAACTGGGTCGGTACGTCATTGGAGACCGAAGCACGCAGTTGAAGTATGAGAATGGTGGCCTAGTATATGGTGGCGATGGAGCGCTTTCCAGGAACGGCACGGAGGATGGGCAATTCCAGGTTCTATTGCAACCTGCTGATATCCCCCCACCCAATAACTGGACTAGCAAGTAAGTTTACCCATCTTCCACGTTGTTAGTCGCCTTCACCTTACACCATACGTATTGTTTGAATGCGATAGAACATTGACTAACTTGAGACTTGCATAGCTGGCTTCCGGCCCCAGCGGGTGGCGGTAAGCTTCTATACTCGATACGGTTCTACTCACCAGCAGAGGCTTTCACCAATGGGTCATACATATTCCCAACTGTCGAAACCATTGGTGCAATCACGGCTTGAGGACAATTTGTTCTTGAAATGGCTCGTACATCGAGGAATTGAAAAGAAAATACGTGTAATATTGCTTCTTATATCTGCCAGAGCCAGTATCAGTTGCGGGCAGCTATATTCCATCAATCCGTGAACACGTTTTAGCTTGCATATCTCAGTATGCACGCGAGAAATACTTTCTAACGTGCCACGACACCTGCATATGTTTCGCGTTCTCTAGCAGACCTCGTGCAGGGTCCTGAGCGCCAGAAAAAACAAGAGATTCTCACGACAGGATTTGCCCACCGGTGTAGGTGAGAGGACTATTGCCACATCAACTACAGAAAGAATTAGCGAAACGCTCTATAGAGCAGCATAGGAAGGGAGGCGTGCTATTCTTTTGGTTCGATGACACATCGCTTGCCTTTTGGCAAAGTCATGAAGTATGTGTCGACCTCCATCTCTGCCTTGCTGAACGACCTAGCACTCGACGCTGTAACGCCTTTCGTAAAGGTACGGTAAAAGTTTGCAAGAGCATGGCGAAGTTCAAGCTGAGCAAAGTGTGCCCCGATGCAGGCTAAAATCCATGTTAGTCAAGTACGTTCCTAGTAAAGATATAAAGGGCCAAACCTTACCTCGACTACCTCCACCGAACGTGTAGAAGCTTTGCAGCATATCTGTTGAAGGATTGTCCCATCTTGCAGGAATGAACCTTTCCGGATCCTTGAATACTGTCGGGTTACGGTGCATCGACCACGCTTGTACTCCAACGATAGCGCCTGCCGGGACGTGATGTCCGCATAGTTCAGCTCCCCCTTCGGGAACAACACGAGGAAGACTTTGGCCAATAGGGGGCCTTATGCGGAGCGTTTCGGTAAGCACGTTGTTGAGTAACTTGCACTTGCGCAAATTGTCATCTGTGAAGCCGTCCGGAAGGGCTGCGACTTCTTGAATCACAGCTGCTTCGATCTCTGGATGGCAAGCTAAATTCTACACTGTGTAGATGGCCGAAAGTGCGGTGGTATCTGTGCCGGCTACAAGATACACTATAGCCTCGCGTTCCAATTGACTAGTAGTCATGCTTCCATCTTCAACGGCATCGTACGCTTTCGTTAGGAGTGTAGGCTTGACATTTTCCTCTCCGGTTTTCAGAAGATTCCAATATCCTATTGTTGGAATTATGATTAGCGGGTGTTCCAATCAACATATATAGGATCCGGAGATCCCACGGTTTGACTTACTCATGATGGATTCTTTCGAGTAATCAGCGATTCGCTCCCTTGAGCGCTGAACTTCTTTCGACCCAAATGGGAGATAATACAGTATGTTCATCAGGAGGGGGAATTCTGCCCTAAGCATGCCTCTCACAGGGACCTCCTCAAGGTCCTTGACGTACTGGGTTTTCTGTCATATATGATTAGCCTGATCTAGGATGGCGGAGAGATTGGCAAACAAACAATTCCAGTCTCAAGCATCCGGAAAGACTCCCCAAAAGACGACTGTCCAACAACATCAGTTGCCTAGATTGTGATTAGCGCCCAGATATTAGTAGCTACAAGGCGCTTGGTACACTCACCATGAACGTGAACCACTTGTAAATATCGCTGTGCCCGTGTTCCTTTATATCTCCGGCTATCCTCTCGATAGCTAGTCTTACAGTCTTGGCGATGTATGGCTCCAAATTTTTAATCCATTTCTCAGAGAAGTTGTACGCCACTAATCTGCGAAAGTTTGCGTGGATGTGTGGATCCGTTACCGTGAACAGATTTGGTTCCTTGGTCTCCCCGGTGAAGAAACTGTACCATGAGGATTTCATGAATGGGCTACCAACCCTGTAAATGGATTTGGCAGCGGCTATATCGGCTACCGAGACTTCATAGGGAGATATGCGGACGATGGGACCTAATATTTTCAGCTTGGTACGCTAAAATATAACGAATCGCGATATCACTGACCGTAACGTTCGTGAAGTGCTTGGATATATTGGCCCCTGTATCCTCGCAGTGTTGCATGCCTATACCATCAGATATGTAATCAAAAAAAAGCCATAGGGTTACCATAATGGAGTTTATGAGAACTTACTTTAACCGTAAATTTGTCCATCGGCTGATTCTGGGACCAGGCAGGTCAGTAAGTCGATTGGTTAATCCACTGTAAAGAAACCACTGCGGTTTTGTTAGTCTGAACAAATATAGATGCAGAGAGAACACACGGTGATGAAAGGCAAGAGCACTATGAGGGTTCTAGAGAAAACTGAAAAAGGAGGTATAGATTGCGCCGATATTGTATGCCCTTGGTAGCAGAATGAGGAGATCAAAGGATTGTTCGAGTGTTGCGACGACATTTGGAGAGTCGGTAGGTACTGCGTTCGAGATATGATACCAGTGTTGCTCTTAGGATGAGTGCTCTCCGGAACACTTTTATAGATCTGTCGGGTCAATAAATTCTCAAAAGTCCGCCCAGGCGTAGGTCATGATGTCACACTGTAGCATGTACCGCTGTGATGAACTAGTTGTGCATCGATCTTGCAACGTCACTCTACTCCACATATCGCGAGAACAACCCTGGGTCGGGTCATTTGATAAAACCTCGATATAGTTTGTGTATCAATATCCTGTTTCATTAGTCCTGTTGTACAATCGTGGGAGAGGAATGCGCTAAGTGATTTGTTTGGCAGATTCACACCATGATGCAGGCGAGATATGGAAGTTGGATTGGCTCCTTCTCTCTCAAAATCCGGCTACATGGAGTTTTTGTGGTGCTAGATTGTTGACCTTTCGCATCCATACACTCTGGCGTTGAGCTCAGTCAGACATGTGATTGGTCGCCACTGGTGAGTAATCCTCGATATTGATCTGCACTATTCGCAGAAACGCGGACACCGGACCCCCAGAACTCCACAATTTCAAAGTAGGAGCAAGGTCTACTGGGTTTTGCCTCCACATACCGGCAGAACATCTATCCATCGTCACGCATGGGCCTGAGGGCCAAGTCCGGAGAAACCGCTTGGAGTTTTGCACTCGATCATACCTTACGGCCGCAAGGCCTTGGCTCACGAGCACCACATCTCTCGCCGTAATGTGTTAGCGTGATCAAGACGTTTTATATGAACTCTCGAGGTCATTGTGAGAATCAATCTCTATAGTCACACTCGAGGCATCAATCCATACATTACACAAGCCTACCTGATTTGCACGTGGACCACTTTAGAAGCACCAACATGGCTGCAGAAGAAATATCCCCAGATTTCCCGTTTGAGAAGAAACGTGTCAATACTCTCGATTCCTTCATGGCTTATGTCGACACCGGTCATCCCAGTACAGCTGCAACGACAACCGTTGTCTTCGTGCACGGAAATCCAACGTCATCTTATCTTTGGCGCAATGTTATTCCGCATGTATCACCTGTTGCCCGTTGCGTCGCGCCTGATCTTGTAGGCTTTGGAGATTCGGGAAAGATGCCTTCAGGCGGATACTACATTAAAGAGCATATTGAGTATTTTGCGGCGTTTATGGAAGCTGTAGTACCAGCGAACGAAAAGGTGGTTTTCGTTATACATGACTGGGGCTCTGGTTTGGGGTTCGACTGGGCACGAAAGAATGAGGAACGGATGGCTGGATTGGTTTGCATGGAGTTCATTCACATGATGGTGACTACGGAGGACTTCGTAGGCTGGGAGAGGAATCTGAGTAAGATGCGCGATCCCGAAACTGGGCACCAGTGTGTCATTGAAGAGAATTACTTCGTTGAAGTTATTCTTGGGGAAGAAGGTACTTCAAAGGAATCTCTTCCTGACGCGGTAATGGGACACTATCGTAGGCCGTTTGCACATCTGGCTGACCGCGAACCCCAATGGCGGATGCCTAACGAGATTCCACTTGAGGGTCGTGCCCCAGAAGTCGGCGAGATTCTCTATAAAGCTTGGAACTGGTGAGTTGTGACTGTACGAAATGCATGTGAGACATGTACTGCCCTCGCATCTTCATATCGGTAGGTTGAAGGAGGGCAACAACCAAGTTCCAAAACTATTATTCTCAGTAAACCCAGGTATGTTGTTGCCGCCGCACAGGGTTAATGATGTTGCCGAGTGGATGGGCAACCCCCCCCCCCCCCCCCCCCCAGTCGTTAGGCTCGGAAACTCTGGTCATTTTCCACAAGAAGAGCATCCTCATCGCATCGGTGAGGAAACTAGAAAGTTTGTCGACAACCTTTTGGTAGGGAAATAAGTTGGTAGAACATCACATACAGCAGCAGGCATACAGCCTATACCTTGCCCTTTCTCACTACCTTCGTTCCAGTCGTAACACAAGGACTGCGTCTGTTGGTGTATGAAAACCTGTAACATGCATTGTCATGGCCTGCATTACGGGTCACATAAGCTTGTATCAGGTCGCTGTCTTCAAAATCCAAGTGCGCAATAAAGCTATATACTGCGGATGTTCCTCTCAAACGAGCTGGTAGAAACCGATAAACACGTCCTCATGCGATCTTCACCACCAGTGTCACTGGTAAGGGCGAACTTACATCACACAAGACAAGGGGGAAAGTCAGAACAATAGTGGCAGTGACGCCGATACGGCCGTACGGCTCGCGAGATCTACATACACACAACAATGTCCAATCGCACTATCTTGTTAGTAGACTTGCGCTTTGTTTTTAATCTCCCAAGACCTTCTTTTGTCAAAGTCTAATGAGAGAAAATTATCGCTCTAGATACGCTATACATCTTGTAGTCTCTTAGATATATATCGTAAGGCAGACTTTGCGCATAGAAGAGCAGATCAGTGCCTAGTTCGATGTTCGGAGCAGTTGCAATGTGTTATCCAGGGCGTCGTGTTGTTGTTGATGTTGCTGTGATGGTATGGCTCGATTGGTCTTCCTTGGCTGTCGGAATCGAGCGAAAATACACGAGATTAGAACCGAGTTTATGCAAGCGAAGAAGATGGCCGCAAACAATGAAACCATAAGGTACTTGACACGACATACACGAATCCAGACATTGCCACAGAAATTTAGATTCGGAAAGGCTATCCAGTCATTCCGTCTACAAAGGCCAGGGACGATGGAATGGTAATAGCATATTCTCTAACCCCTCTCATGTTGTCCGAAAGTAATCAACGAAAACGCCAACAGAAAAGTCTCATCCTATACCCAAACCGTGAAGCAGCCAAATACCAGGGGAATAAGTAGCAACGTACCCTTTGTGCGCCATATCGCCAGCCATGGAGACAGAGTGAAGAGGAAGGGCCGTGAATAGTACGAAGGGAGGCTGATAGGATCTCAGATATCCTCCATGTTCCCTGCCGCCTCATCCTCATCACCCGACTCATAGCTACCAACCGAACTCATCTCATCGTCGTCGCCATCGTCTTTGTCGGAGTCTTCAGCGGTATCCTTGTTGGCGTACTTTTGAACGTATTCTGGCTAATCTTAGCTCGACTCTACTCCTAGCACCTGTATACTACGTACCCTTGACCTTGGCATCGTAGCTTTTCGGTTCCCGCATCAACAGCGCCGCAGCTTCTCCGTTAAGGGGATCGGTTGGGTTGGGGTAGCGCAGGAGTTGGGGAAGGAAGACCTCGAAGATGTTGATCATGTCGTACATTGGTGACCAGGTCTGGTTGATGACATCGAGACAGACGGAGCCGGAGCTGTGTATGTAAGCGGAGATTTGGTGACGTGGTGGAAGGGAGTGGGCGAGCCATACAGTTCATCGATGTTGGGATGGAAGATACGGTTAACAAATCCGATGCTGGGACTCTTGTAGGGGTATTGGTCGGGGAGCTCGACGTGGATCTTCCAGAGGCCACCTTCGAATGGCGCTGTATGACGTTAGCGCATTGTTGGTTGCGTGAGATTTCCTGGCTTACTCTCTACCGGGCCCTTGAACCTGACGTAGAACTCCTGCCTATGGTGTGTTAGCATCGTTTCAATGGGTGCGTATTTGAATGGTAGAAATCACTAACACTATATTTTGTTAGCTGTGTATCTGGCAGGAATCGGCGCAATGCTACTCACTGTTGTCGTTGACGAGCGTCACCTCGTAGTCACTCATGAGCCTGCGTTTCATTAGCTACCAGCTCTGGGGTCCGCCATAGGGGTGCCAGGCGCGTGAGGCAAATGAGCGAGGAAACCGATTAACATACATCCTGTTCTGCTGTTAGCACTCTATATTCCAGCCTAACAATGCGCAACCTACTTCATGACCTGTATAGTTCGACAGAAGACCTCTGTTAGCTCTTGTCCCTTCTTATCTATCGCCAGGGTGAAGGTCTCCACATACATCCGTCTCGATACGTCTCTTTGGCGAACTCATCTTGACGCGGTTGCTACAGCACTATGACAGTATGTTGTTCTTATCGTGGAGCTGCGATTCCTTCTGGGGGTATTCGAGATCTTTATGGTAGTCCGTCGCTCGTGGCGGGAGCTCTCGTGAGGTCGGCGGCGGGGGTTATCGATAGCGGATGAGGGGCGCGTTCGCTGGCAAGCTACAAGTGGTTTGTTGGCAAGGTATGGCTCTTCGTAGCCTTTGATTCGTGTCGTATTTGGCAGTTGTGTGTTGCTGTCTTTTGTTTGGCTAGGATGTGTTGGAGGGAGCAAGTGGGAGTGATGGTGGAGGTAGTCGTGATCACGAGCGTCGAGAGCCGGCATGTCACGCTTGCGCACGTCTCCCCGGCCAGTCATCGCCGAGAACATGACGCGCCATCGCTGTGATACACCTTCTATAGCATTCACAGAGGCTTCTTCTTAACAACTCTATCGTCCCATCTTGAGACCTAATATCACATAGTCTATCTACGCGTCTACTATCAGGCAGTACAGATGTGATGAAACCAAAGGCTGCATCACCAGGTACCACAAACCGGTAGCCACATCAAGGGTCCAGATCGACAAGCCGATACTCCAAAGACAGTCTACGACTAAAGATGACGCGAACCTAGCGCCAAGTGTGCTATGCTCGGTTGCGACAGAGCATGACAACAATGAGAGATGCTCGCAACAGATAGCTTAGACTGGCGATCCGCCAGCAAGACCGAACCTATCACCACAGGACTTGGAGAAAGACATAGAGATCATCCTCGTCGATGCGCGTTCACGTTTGAATGTGCTGCAGCCGGTACAACAGACGTCCAATCACTGTGGAGCAATGCCGCAGCTTCCCCGAGATCCTGCCTGGGTCCTTCACCGCTGGTCCGAATGATACATTGTACATGCTAACTGTTTCTCTGGCAAACAGAAATAAAGAACAAAAAGATCAGACATATGCGCCAAAACACTTGAATACTAATGGCTGAAGGCGGGGTGTACCGAGCACTCGACTCGCCGAAAGGGTGACACCCCTGGCGTCTCGGCGGGTGGAGGCTGACCCTCGGTTCTTCCAAAACTCCAAGGTTAGGTATACAATCTTCAGCGCAGCTTTCTGCACATGTTGCTTAAAAGCAATCCCCCTCCCGCCCTAAAGTCATGGCTTACGAACACATCTCCGCGTCGTCTCCAGGGGCTGTGAAAATCTTTCTCACTCCAAAAATCCTCTCCACCACCGCACTTGCGACACTTCCGCCATGTCGCGTGCCCTCGTGAACGTGCTGCGAACATGCTCGCAATATACTGTAGCAGCACCACGTATATACCAACCATCGTCGTCGCCGATACCGCGAACCGTTTTGACCTGCGCACAACGGCGATGGAGTTCGCACTCACCGTTGGGCTCTGCGCCAGCAAACGCCCGTAAACCCGTCACCATCAACACGCTTCAGAGTCTCTACCGCAAAGGCGAGCCCATAACCATGATCACCGCGCATGACTTCCCCAGCGCTCATGTCGCCGACCATGCTGGCATGGACATGATACTGGTTGGCGACAGTCTAGCCATGGTCGCACTCGGCATGGAAGACACGAGCGAAGTATTAATGGAAGAGATGCTGCTGCACTGCAAGTCCGTGGCGCGCGCGACGAAAGGCGCTTTCACTGTATGTCCATATTTATCTCTCCATACCCCTTACTCTCACGACTACCTCCAAGTCATGTCCGCTTGCTGATGCTGAATGTTTGAATAGGTCGGCGACCTTCCCATGGGAACCTATGAGATCTCTCCCGCCCAAGCCCTCGAATCTGCTATCCGTATGATAAAGATCGGCCGCATGAAAGCCATAAAACTAGAAGGTGGCGCCGAAATGGCACCCACCATCTCCAAGATAACATCCGCCGGCATCCCTGTCCTCGCGCACATCGGTCTCACACCACAGCGCCAAAACGCCCTCGGCGGTTTCCGTGTGCAGGGTAAATCCACACACAGCGCTCTCAAGCTCCTGGACGATGCACTCGCCGTGCAGCAAGCCGGAGCGTTCGCAGTAGTACTGGAGGCTGTGCCTGCACAAGTCGCTGCGTTGGTGACGAGGGAGTTACGGATCCCGACGATTGGGATCGGGGCCGGGAATGGGTGCTCAGGGCAGGTCCTTGTGCAGGTCGACATGTTGGGAAATTTCCCGCCGGGAAGGTTTTTGCCCAAGTTTGTGAAGCAGTATGGGAACGTGTGGGAGGAGGCGCATAGGGCGATAAGTCAGTACAAGGATGAGGTAAGTTGCAAGTGCATGAATATTTGTGAAATATACACTGACTCTTTATCTCCGTTTCTACAGGTTAAGAGTAGGAGTTATCCTGCTGAGCAGCATACGTACCCGATGGATCAGAAAGCGTTTGAGGAGTTTAGAGACCTAGTCGACGAGGAGAAGGAGAAGTCGGATCTGTTATAGTAGCGCCGCTGATCTATGTACTCACTTTATAGACTCCTATCCTATTAGAAGATGATAAAAATTTCGCGCGATACATCAGAGATCATCACACCTGCTTCCACGCTCTGTTCTTTTGATACCCCTCCCATAACCCTTCCGGCGTCCGTCCCTTTTCAACAGCCTTAACGCCCAACACCCACCCCACCGCCCTCGCGAATCCCACCACAATCATGATAATGCACCATTCCACCGCCCCCTCAATCTGCCGATTCCATCTCCCCATCCACGGCCAGCCCGTCTCCTCGCCCAGCATACCCCTCAACCCAACAACAACAGGCCAGTTATCCAACTCATGAAAGATAGTAAACAGCTGCAAAGACACCCACCATCTACCTAACATCCACCTCGCTGCCTTCTTCCTCCTTCTTTCAAGACGCGCATCCAGCGGCGTCAAAACAACAGCATTTAGATTCCAGAAGAACAGCGGCTTGACCAGATCTACCGGCTCCGTCCACTCCTCCACCACAACCTCGTCGTCGACGTCTTCTGGGTGACGCGGTGCGACGCAGATTATTCTTCTGCTACGTGACAAGTACTCACGTGCTCTGCCCCAGTCATGTCTCGCGTACTTGTTTACTTTGACTTGTAAGCCAGGTCTTGTGTTTACTGCAGTCTTATGCCCGTATATGGCTACGCTGCCGCCTGCTTTCGCGCTTAGGATCTGGGTCTCGCCGTCGAGGTAGATGAAGATGGCGCCGCGGAGTAGACGTAGGTATTCGGTGTGCGTGGTGTGGAAGTGCAGTCCTGATGTCCATGTAGAGTAGCGAGGGAGGGAGATTGTGGTTTTGTATGGGGATGGCGTGGGTGAAGAAGGGAGGGTAAGGGAGGGTGGAGAGATGGGGATGTGGTATACGACTGCTTCGCAACCTTGGCGGATGATGGGTTGGGTTCCTGAGGGTTGGGGGTCTAGGATTTGGGGCGAGGGAAGGGGAGCGCGGTTTGGTTTACGGGCAGATCTTTTGGCGCGCTTCTGCATCTTGGATGCGGGATGGATGTTTTACGATTTCGCGAGTTGGATCTGAGGCCTGGACGGTCGAGAAGAGGTATTGGGAAGGAGTGGTGGATTCCAATAGTGGACTATGCGGTAATCTCCTACGGAATGAGTCAAGTCGACGCTCTATAAGAACTGTAGCTGCCGAGTATACAAGCCTACTACTTTTTGATGATGTTAATACAAGAGCTGGTTGCCTAAGCATACCCTGTGCTGTCAGCACATGGTGGCTGACGTTGCCGATGGACATGCGGAAAGAATCCGCACTCGTCAACATGCTACGAAAAAACATTCCAATTCCAATATATGGTAACTATGTGATTGCGCACTTTGTTGGTAAAAGTCAGACTAATAAGTACTATAAACGCTGCAAGAGTACGTGATCGCCGATTCATTCCCACAAATTGCTTATTCGGCTTCGAGACTGGTCAATTAATTTAGTCGCTGTGCCATCTGCGGGCGGTCACCCCTTGGGTCACGTCGCCTCTTTGTTTCGACTTTCTGGATGAATATCGGTCTTCCATTCTTCATGCCTCTCTTTCTCAAGACGTGGTACCCAATGAACCATCGGAGCTGGTCTAACCCATGCTCTATATAGTGGCGTGTTGGCCTCTCGAAGACTTGGTCTAGTTCTTCCAGTGTTAAATCTTTCGTTTCTGGCACAAATAAGAGAATCAGCCACCATCCTATAAGACACCACACTCCATACCAGGCGAAGGCTCCCGATGGCCCCAGTCCCTCTTTACTATCTTTCATGCTTGGCCAAGTAAAAGATACGATGAAGTTGAAGAGCCAATTGATGGCAGTGACTATACCCATGCCGTAGTCGCGATTGTACAAAGGCATGGACTCGGCACTATAGACGAACGGTACAGGCCCTTCACCTGGTGAATAGGCAATACCAAACAGGTACATTCCTACAATCGCAAGCGCGCGTTTTTGGGTAACATCCGGTAGAGCCACGGCTACAACCATGATGAATTGGAACAGGGCCATGAACGGAAAGGTGAAGAGGAGAAGGTTTCGGCGTCCAAAGGTGTCGATCGTCCACACCGCTGGGAACGCGAAGAGAAAGTTGATAATACCAAAGCCGGCAGACAGCAAAAGTGAACTCTCAGGAGACCAGCCTGCTTCCACCTTCATGGTCTGCGATGAGTAGTAGACTGTGATGTTGACACCGCACATCTGTTGCAGGAACATACAGATGACAGATGCTGTCAATGCGCGACGACACCGACCGACGGTGAATAGCTCAACAAACCGCCTTTGATCATGCATTATCTTGGCTTCCTCTCCCAAGAGATAGTCCATCAGGAAAAGGTCGCGCGCTGCTTGGACTTTGGAATTGCGAAGACCTTTCAAGGCGAGAAAGGCCTCTTCGTAAAGCTCATGTGCTTTTGATCCATCTTTCCGTGCTTTAGCAAGTAAAACTCTTGGAGACTCCGGCAGGGCGTAGATATATATAACGACGAGGAGTGGAAGTACCATCTACTTTTGGTCAGCAGCAAGCATTCGAATTGGATTGACTCGCACATACTGGGCTGCCGAGCATTAGTCGCCACCCAAGGGTACCACCAACTTTTGTGAATGCGACACCGGATAAGCAGCCACACATGATACCAAATGCAGTCCACATCTGCCACATCATCACCAGTGCGCCTCGGATATTTTCTGGAGCAGCTTCAGCCGCGTAGATTGGTATAGTAGCACTCTTCGGTCCGATTCCGAACCCCAATGCGAACCTTGCGAGGAACAGATGCCACCACTTTTGTGAAAATGCTTGTAGAAGACAAGTTACGGAACTTATGAGGCAGGTTGCGAAAATAACACCGCGGCGGTCGAGGTATTTGTTCAACGGGTAATTGAGGCAGCAAGCCAGTGCGCAACAAAGGTATGGGGCGCCGTTCACAAGTCCTATCAAAGTAGTGTTGTTTTCGATGCCAAAGTGATCTGGATAGAAGAGCTGCGCTCCGTTGATGGCACTTTGGTCCCTATTGGTGTCAAAGAGGGACAAGATTGCGACTTCGCTCTACGTACCATCCTTGCACCGCAGCACCGAGTGAACAACAGGCCACAAGGAAGTACAATTTTTTTGGCTGGTTGAAGCGGTCCCACCGGTTGTCGCTGTACTCCTTACGAAGCGCTTCGCGCTCCTTGTCGCTCAAGGTCATGCCACCGTATCCAGATTCTTCGTTGTCAAGTAGTATTCTCGACTGTGCGAGGGATGCACCCTTGCGAAGGTGATCTCTGTAGTCGTTCAGGCCCGATCTCAGTATGAAAGCCTCTGCATGTTGTAGCACTTCATCGTGAGACCATTTTGTGAAAGGATTGATCAGTCGTCGGTCTGTTTTACCCCCTACAGGTGCGGCGGCAGTGTCTGTACGGTCGCCGCTCATCGTGTCAGCATGTACCTGAAAGGCCGTTGGAGGTAGGCAATGTAGTCAGGTACCAGACTGATCAGAGGGGATATGCCGAACGCTTATACCTGCGAATGATCTAGAGGGCGGCTCATTCGCATTGGACTGAACAACAGGCCACAACGCAATGAGGCTCTGCTGCGTCGACCATCTCGATTCATCACCGGTGAGAGTAGCTCCTGCTTGGCATTCATATGGCCAATATTGGTGGATAAGCTGAGAGATCTGCCAGCGAGACAAATTTGTCCGTGAGGTTGCACACAGAACTCTGTGTGGGGGCTGAGGCGTGCTTGGCTTTGCAGGAGGACCCCTTGGCTTATACAGCCGGGGGCTCAGCCACTATAATTCAGGTTTTATGGGCCTTTGAAGCCTGATGATTGCAGAAACAATAGAAAGTAAGTATTGTCAGAGCCACTAGCCATGATGCGGTGATGTTGTGATGCATGGTGGAGATTGGAAAGGTGCGGAGGGACGGGGAAGCTGGGGTTGAGTTGGGGTTGAGCAGGGGTTGCAAGAGCCGCAGGCGGCAGGCAACCATCAAAACGAACAGGCGCCACCAAGTTCGACGTGGCTACCGCACTTCCCCAGCAATCTTTCGACTTTCAGCCTGGTTCTTCTCGCGTTCACCTGGAGATGCCCGTCTCCACAAAATCGGCATCATCATGTGCCCCACGCGCGCAGTGGGCGGAGAGGAAATCGATCACTTGACCTCCAACCTATACAGCTCGCCGTTTGTAGATGATGCCATTGTCTTCGATATTCGGAAGCTTCTCGAGGAACACGAAGATCCCCTGATCACGCAATTCAGCGACAGACCCCGACTGTTCACTCTCTTGCGCATGCTAGAGTGCGACAACAATGTATTGGAGGAGATCCTGAGCGCCAATGTCAACGACTATTGTCTGCCTCTCAACGAGAGTATATTCAAAACCTTAAACGCTCTGTGTAACGCGAAACCCTGGGATGAATTCCGAAAGGCACAGCGGTACCTATTGTCAAATCCTAAGCTCAGAAGCCAGGAAAGTTTAGATCACAATTCACAGCTGCACCTTCATCTGGAAAATGGAAAGCGCACCTTCAAGGACGAAAAGGAATTGGACAATGGAGGAACAGCTACAGTCTTCAGAGTGCAGCTTACCACTTTTGATAATCCGGACAAAGGACGACTATACGCCTGCAAACGCTTGACGCGCGACAAGAGGAATAAACAGGAAAAGCACCTCCAGCCATTCATGGACGAGCTACTTATACTGCGCAAAATCAGTCATCCTGACACGGTCATCCATCCTCACATGGTACGACTCGTCGCAAGCTACACGGATCTGGAGGACTTCGCACTTGTTCTTGATCCTGTAGCAGACAGCTCACTCAAGGATGTGTTGCATAATCCCTCCACACCACTTAACCTCGAAATTTCCACCAACTTACGGCAATGGTTTGGGTGTTTAGCATCTGCATTGGCGTATCTACACAGGCAGTCCATACGTCACAAAGATATCAAACCAGGCAATATCCTTCTGCACAACAGGACTGTCTACTTGTGCGACTTTGGTATTTCGTTCGACTGGAGTGGGTCTCACCCTACCACAGAAGGACCGTCTGCTATGACCCAAGGCTATTGCGCTCCCGAAGTTTGGTATGCGGATGCTCGCGATAACAGTTCAGACGTCTGGTCATTAGGCCGTGTCTTTTGCGACATGTTGACCGTTTTGGCTGGCAAACACATGACCGAGCTATCAGAGCGTATTGGTGGCAATTTGCGTAGAATATATGATGAAGATTGCCTAGAGGATCTGCACAAATGGCTGTCTGGTTTCTCACTCGAGAACATCCGACATGATACACTCGCGACGAATATCCAGCAATTGATCAAGAAAATGGTGAGTGATCACAGCTCATCTCAATATTGCGTATGCTCACAACGTTCAGATGTACAAGGATCGAAACTCGCGACCTGATGCCAAACAAGTCCTTCAGTGGTTCTGTAGAAACGATTCCAGCCTCATAGGCCCATGCTGTCAAGGTGGGAGTGGAACTGCATCGATCAAGAGACCCGAGGAGACTATCGTGCAAACTGACTTGGAGGAAACTCCATCACGACATCCTTCATCCCTACCCTCAACTCCTATCGCGGCTGATGATCGCACTTCCATTCTGGACGAATCTGTGACGAAGACGCTCCCGATACCACGAGTACATGTACCTGGTAACGATCCGGTCGTTGTTGTTGTCGAAGATACAGGGTCGTCACCAAGTCCATCGCTCGGCTGCGGATCACCGACGACCGGCCATCCAACGAGTTTTGCTGAATCGTCCATAGGATCGCAGGGTCTCGTACAGTGGTCAAGCGGACTTGTGCATCATCTAGAGCTACCACCCGTTGACTCCTTGCACACATGCAATTGTGTTCCTCGACCAAATCACGACGGGGGAAAAGAGCGCCTTATTCTATGTTTACCCAACGTGGATCTACTCATCAGGGCGAAGCAACCAACAATGGAGACAAATGAGAATTGCGGCCTCCAAAAGGATATGCTATATGTGTACGAATCCTACAGTGAGATATCGAAAATCTGGTTCAAAACGCGCCGACTAGTCGTAAGTTACAAGCACGAGTCTCACAATCAACGGACGTGCAGCTCGTTCTGGTTACCTTTGACGGATCTCAACTTCGTGGTCGAGGACATGAGTCTCACATTGAGCTGGTCCGATTGTAACCAATGGAACCCTGGACCTACTGTGAACAATAAACAGAGCTGGGACTGCATATACGATTCCGAGAAGCCGAACAATGAGATCATGTTGCTCTTCGCAGAAGCTGGAATAGCCAAGGTAGTCGAGACAGATTTTTGTACCATCTACAGCGGACTAGATGGCGTTAAGGAATGGCGCATGGTTAATATTGTGGGCCAGCAAAGACTGCTTGTCGTAGATTTATGTGACAACGAAACCCTCGGCTATCGCTTAGCCTGTCTAGCTACCTACGAATTGCCTTCCAGAAGCACCTTCCGGGCGTTCATACACTGGTCGAACCTCGATCTGGACATTCAGATAAAATCCGGCGTTATGGTCATCCGGTTCGACCAAGTATCGACTCCTCACTACTACTCAGACATCAACAACGAGCCTTGGAAGGACGAGACTAAGATTGCGCGATACACAGAGAGCGCATTGGTGTTGAGTGAATACTCGATGACGTTTCCGTGCAGCTTTGAGAACTCTACGTTCTTGCCTGAAGGTACGTGTTTCTCATTCAAATAAGATCTGAAGACAGTAAAGCTGATTGGACAGGTTTGAAACAAATGTTCGAATCTCTTACAGGCTGGACCATGTGCTTTTTTGCCTCCGATGTGGAAATAAAGAAGATGAACACGCTGCCAAAGACGAACTATGGAGAGTCAGAGGTTATTCTATGGAAACGATGCTTAGAAGTCCAGTCAAGTGTACGACAGGTGGCACAAATTACATTCCGTCACCGGAATCGCAGGCCGGGAAAAGGCTATCTCTGGCGCAGCGGATCAGGTAGCTTCCACCACCTTTTCCCCTTGAAAGTTGTCCAGCTAACACAAATACACTAGTAAACGTAGGTAAGATGACCATCGTTGACTCTCAGCAAGCCGTAATCAACATTTCATGCAAATCTCATGGCTCTCAACTGGACACAACTACTATGACTGCAATAGAAGTAGGCGACGACGGATACCCGGTCTATCAGCCTGATGATGCTTCATCGACGAGGCTCAAACTGCGTTTTAGGAGCGAGAGCGATCTGACAGAGTTCATGATCAGATACCAGGAACTACAACAGGTTGTCAAATCACAGGCGTTGCTGAGGGTGACAACGACCGCATCAAGCCGATTATCCAGCAGTAGTCGAAGGAGGGACTCAGGAACTGCGCACGCCAATCGACGCTCATCTTGAAGTCAGCATTCGAGTGTTGTTGCCAATGTCGCATTGTCGCAAAGCAACATGTGATTTACAGTAGAGATATAGTCATATAGTCTGTATTTAGTTAGTGACGAAATAGTATAATGCAAGCGAATATGATGATATGTGCACATTGGAGTTGATACCGATTTGCAACAAGTTCAAATACGGGATGTTCGAACTTCGTTCTAGTATTGTTATGAATCTGGTTGCCTAAGCATACCCTGTACTGTCAACGCATGACGGCTGACGTCGCTGATAAACGAGCGGAACTGGTCCGCATTCGTGAACTTGCTAGGAGATTTCGTGCACCACCTCAGCTGTGTACCACACAAGCAACAGCTGGAAAGATATCTATCGATCACCTAACATCCATCTCGTCCCCTTCATCGTTTGAAAGTATATAGCCTCTGTTCCCAGCACTTACAACCCTGTTTGCCTTTGTCTTCGTCCTTGCTTTTTGCTTCCGCAACAATGATAGTCTAGATAAGATCTCCTAGACAATAGTAACAGTGGTGACTACATAGTCATCGCCCCAACTTGTCCTTAGCTCATGCTGTTCGACCGCTCCATAATCGTGCCAATTGTCGCCTACGTAGATCTGGAAGAGCCCTATCCGTTCAAAAAGATCATCTGCCCGCTTTGCAAGGGCTAAACCACTCGATTCGTAGTTGAGGTCTGCGTGTCTTGACAATCCAAGGCACCAGATTCCTGTTAACTTGATAGGTAGAGCTGCTCCACCACGTAGTGTAGTAGGCTCGTCGCCGTGACGCCGCGATCTCATGTCATAAAAGATCCCTCCAATGAACATCGCACTGCTCAGTTTCAGCCTCAGCAGCTCGTCAAGCTTTTCGTCGTCAAGATGTGTCGGGTTCAGCACCTCCTCGACCTCTCTGTCACTGAGGAATTTGATTGGTGCACGAATCTTAAGTTCTCCACCATTGACAGATCCAAACGGTGCAGAGGCTGATACTCGATTGACCTTACAGTCGATAATTACCACTCTTCCTGAATCGATATCATGCTGCGCGCTGGAGAATATAATTACGCAGTCATGGACAGATGCCCAGGTCCAAGTAGGGGCATCATACTTGAAATCGTTCCTACCGGTGTTGTTCGATGACTCGTACAATTGGCGACGGGTTCGCCACTGCAGGTCTCTTATCAAACACGACTTCCAAAGCCCCGCGATATAAACGTCGCCGGTCATCTTGTAGAACTCAGACGCAATTCCAGCAATTGCGGGAAGTCTGTCGTCTAGATTTGACAGACTACCCAGTGTGTACTCGAACACTGCCCTCTGCCAAAACAAGGATAAAGTCTCAAGTTCTTTTGGAGATTTACGTTCATGTCTTGGCAAGACGCGTAAAAGCTGGCCCATACCATATGACCTTTCATATGATGGTTTTGTTAATTCTAGATATGCCGGATCCGTTGCACCTAATTCGTCGTTCCCCAGCCTATCATCGGACAGATGGCAAGAGTAGCAGCTCCACTCCATGGCATCTTCGAAGAAACTAACCACGCGACGAGACAGTAATTGCTCTTGGTAAGTCCATGCCCTTTTTTCTATTGCTACAAGCCCGTCGGTATTTCGAAATAGTGACCTGGAGGGATACAGTAGTACAGACCCAATGGCTCCATTGAGGCAGTTTATTGGGAGTTTGATGGCATTCTGTTGGAGTAGCTGAACCCTCTTTTCTTGTACGCCCAGAAACCCATCGTCGCAAGACTCAGCTGTTGCAGCGGAAATCGTTAAGACCGCATTTTTGTATATGTTGGCCATTTTGGTGATTTCGCGATCCTTGTCTTCATCGCAGTCCTGAATGATACAAAGAGAGTCGATCCAGATGTATTGGAACCCAAGGGCACGAGTAAGGAGAATGGCATCTTGAAGTGATTTTGGCAGTTCTTCCACTGGTAAGGTATGCATGTATCGTTCGATCCTGTTTCTTTCAGTCTGATGCCTCTGGGGGCCACCCCAACAGTAGCTGAGAGCGACATATGCAGCTTTTTCTCTATTACCTAGATGTAGCCCAGGAGGGTCATGCTCTTTATCTGTGCCAACATAAACCACGCGTGTAGGAAGTTCCGTTCTAATTGGCATCACATCTGGACATGCTTCGTGTCCAGGCTGACGGCTTGCACAACAACGCAGCCAGTGTTTAAGCAGCATCAGATTTTGAGGCGATGTTGGGTCAGCATCTGGTAGACCAAGTGTTATAGTATGTGCAGGATCATCTAATGAAGAGCTCTTAGTATCTTAGAGAGCAGGCGGGAGTAAACTCACTAGCAGCGGTCCCAACAGCGAGATAGAAGGGATTTACACTGATATGATCATTTTCTCCAACGAGTGAGATCAATCGCACGCTTGATGGGCCGGTTTTATCAACTCGCCGAAGGGCCAGGGCTATCGGCCTCTCCAATCCATGGTCTGTCTCGGAATCGTCATCCACGTAGCCTATAAGACATTCAGCGAACTTGCAGCCTCTTATAGAAAGGCTTTTTAGCTCTTCATATCGCCCTTGGAATAGTGGAACTCTCTGCCCGTCGAGAAGTTGACGCACGGAATCTGCAGATTCGAGAACAGAACAAAGCCCATTACAATAGGCGCAACCTTGGAAAGGAGTCCAGTCGGACGGGTTTTGATCATCGAGATTGTAGCACGGTGATTCGTTCATCCATCCCAAAAACCTCTCAATGTTGAAATTGTCATGCAGAGTCATAGGAGTTCTTCCTGCCACTTTGTCGCATACCTGGTCCGTAACAGCCCGTCTCCTTAGGAGTTTGCGGAAGAATGAAGCGTGCTTGGGCATGAGGAGGGAAGCAGATCTGCAGTAGTATGATTTGGAGGCGGGGGTGCTCGTCACAATCAGCTTTATACTGCGTATCGCCACAGAGGGGTTTGGCTGCGGCTGAAGCCTTGGCCAATGAGCAGCTTCTACCCCATTGGGTGCTAAGACCACAGTCTTCGGTGCGTAGGCTGCAAGAACGGGAGTTGTGTCCTCAGGTGTCCTCGAGGCCCGAGTTGTTTGGCAGAGGTCATTGGTTTGTGCTTTGGTATAGACTTGGGTTTGGAGGCCGTAGCTTCGGCACTTCGCGCAACCTTTGTAACCGCGGTAGTTAGCTGCAGCAAATGAGAGAGCAGCGTTAATCGTCCAACTCGAGCGTGCGCTCCAGCTCACACGTCCTGAACCAAATCAGGCCTGCTTTTGATATGACGGATGTGCTGGTGATAAGACGCAGACACAACGCTGTTGAATTACATTGTATTGTACCGCAGTAGAAGTGTGTTCCCAAACACTTACTTAGCTTCACTGTATGCAGCTGTATATATACTTGTTTAGAAGTTTCATTGATTGCAACCAAAGCCATGAATCTTATGCGGTTTTGGAGAGCCACCATGGAGCTCTAGATAGTTGCCGTGAAGCTCGACGTTGGAAGAAGAGTATCAGGCCTGCTTTATAGGGCAACAAAACACTTTACTGCTGACATTTTAAATAGTATCCAGGCTAAGCAGATACGTATCCGAAGTTACGGTTATGACCGGCACTTCAACCATGTTTTAACTTTATAATTGAATTGAGTTCCTAGTTACATAATGCGAATACATCGCTACTCAAACGCCATTGTGTTGCCAATCCCGTCCCTATTCCATCCAATCCCTCTTCGCCTTACAAAAAAATATCAAGGCATCAATGCCGGTACATGAGTCCCATCCAATACGCCCAGCATCTCGTTGATGCATGTGTGTCTGTGTAGTAAGCACCCCACTCCTCCTTTGTCTAACCATTTCGCCATGCTAGAACGATCAGAAGAAGTAGCAGCAGTAGCCAAGCTCAAGTTTCGCTATGCAAAAGTAGAAGAAAAAAACGCCGCCAGGTGAAGAGAGAGAGAGCGCGAGACGAAAGAAGATAAGCCTAGGAAAAAAACCAAAGAATGTTTCCTTCTCACTCGCTCTCCTCACCATCTTCAATCTCCTCCTTACCCCCAGCAGTAATAGCAATGCGTTTCTTCGGCTCCCCCCACATCTGCTGCCTAACCTTCTTCTTCTGATCATCCCTCAGCGTCTTGAGAAAACTATACGTGCCCGTAAGATCACTAAGCTGCTGATCAATTCCAAAGCTATTACTCTGCGCCGCGCGAATCAACGGACTAATCAAATTCTTCCTGGCTTTATCCAACTGATCCCTCACCGAATGTATAATTTGAATGTGAACTTTGAGTTCCGACTTGTTAATCAATGTCGACGCCCGGACATCTTTCAGCAGCTTGAGGTTTTTTTCGTACTTTTTAATCTTCATCTTGTTGTTGATGGTTTGTCGCCACATGCTGGCTAGGAACTCGTCTTTGCGATTGGCAAGACTGTCTTCTTCCTTGGCAACGGAGCGATGCAGGTTGTGGAATTGGCGGTCTACGGATTCAAAGAGCTGGAAAAGCACGTCTGCGCGCGCAAGTTCGTTGGCAATGTTTTCTTCAAGCGTAGACAACAGGTAGTCAAATGTCCGTTGTAGAGTGGCTTTGCTCCGCTGTTGAGTGGTGTGGCCCAGGATATCGTTTACAACATGACCAATAGCTGTTGGGGACCCGTCGTTGCGTTCTAGAAGACCGATTTTACTTAGGCCGCCATGCACGTTATCGATGACGGTGTCGATCATGCCTATTTTAGGGCCTTGGATGCTTTGCAATTCGCGCTTTGCCCATTCCATGGTTATGAGGATGCTGCGATGCGAGAACAGATCAGTAGGTGTGATGAGGTCAAGACAGATGTATACCTACGAGTCCATATCGCCATCTACATTGGTGAAGAAACTGGTAATCTTTTCTGATAGGATTTTGAGGCTATCGCCCAAGTCGTCGAGCTGGTCGATGATGACAGACGACGCCGACATGTTTGTCGCGCGCACGCTCTCCCCCAGGTCTTGGACTGCGATACTAGCATCAGCCAACTCGCGCGACCGGGGGATAACACTTTCCGAAGCATAAAGCAGCGGCTCGAATTGCTTGGCCATGTTGGCGACATTCGCGACATCCGGAATGAGACTAGCTTGCCAGGGCTGCAGCAAGAGATAAGATAAGAAGACGGTCGCGACCGTGAAGATGACGTTTGCGCGCGACCTCGTAAAGATGTGAAGGCCAGACGCGACGGTAGATATGGTGTCTTCAATGGGCGCAGTGCGGAACTTGGCTTCTCCTCTGTAAGCAAAGCGCATGACTATGGCTGTTAGATTGCACAGCGCGCGCGCGGAGGGAACAGCGACTACTTACACCCCTCTACTGGCCCCTCATCGTGTTGCGACACGGTTGATTCAGTTCCGTGCAATGCGCCCGCGCTCGCCTGAGGGTCTTCGCATGGGCTCTGCAGGCGCGACGCAATGTTGTTGGACATGTATCGCTGTTCCTCCTCGGGTATGGGTTCTGGGCTTGTGCGCGGCGTCATCTTGTAGGGCGACTCTGGCAGCGGTATGCGCGAAGGCGTCACGTCGCGGTCGGTGCGGTACTCAAAGGGCGACTTGGAGGGGCTGTTGCGCATTGCGCTCTCGCCCAGCAGCGACTTCCTGTACCAGTGGTTGCTCGATTGGGACTTCTGCCAGGCTGGGGGCGCCCATGGGCCGTCCGACTCGGTCTCGGAGTCGACGTCGTCCTGGGGCACGCTCCAGCGCGACGAATGCATGTTGGAGCGGCCGCTGTAGGCCGAGTGCATGCTGCGCTCTGGGTCGAAGGCCTCGAGTGAGGCGCTCAGAGACGGAATGTCGTGCTCGTATATGCTGCCGCGATCCGTCGTGTCCATCATCTTTTGCGCGCAGTCGGTGGTGGTGGAGGAATGGGGACGGGTGCGAACAAGGCTGGTGTTGGTATGCTATGGCGGTATGGTCTCACAGTGTGGGGGGCTCTGCAGGCACATGGGAGTACCCTTGTGACGCGTGAATCGGGGCAGGAACCGTGCAGTGTCGCGGGTGCCTAGCGCTTTGGTCGTGAATGAGTCGGGAGAGAATGCGCTCATGGTGAAGGCGGGCCTCTCTGCTCTCCGTATACCAGCGATAAGCTAATCCATTCGAGGAGCGAGATCAACCGTCCGTGTGCTGTCCAGGGCTGCAGTGGGGTGAAACGGAGTGGCTGGGAGACCTGATGTGGTTGGCTGTCATCGCTCCGGGCTAGTGCGGGGAAAGGCGACCGCGACCCCGTGACGCCCTGCAGCACACTCGCGCCTAGACCCTTGCATGCCCGAGTCGTGACGATAACATTATTGAGCGCCATGCAATAAACTTAAAGTCTGAACGAGTGACTGGAGTTCGACAGCTATGTCTGCCTAATTCTGACCAATACCATGTCTGCAATACCTCTCCATCTACGCCTACGCAACAAACAAAACCAACGCCAATTCCAACTGGGCAAATGTGGAGACAGCCATGTCGATATAGAAGTGGGGTGGCGGCAAAAAGCAACGCTGCATTGCCTCAGTAAACAGGGAATGCAAGAGAACAAGTAATACAGCTCGCTCCTTGCTTGCCGCATACCTCAGTTCCCCCTTAGAGGTAGTACATCGTCTCGCTTAGTGCCGGATTTACATCTCGCGACCAAGCACTCTCACTCAACGCCGCACCAGGGCCTTTGAGTACGCTGTTTAGATACGACCGACCGCATTCGCAAAGGATGTCTGCATCTGAAGGTGGTTTTATCAAGTCAGCCAACGATTCTCACAAGCAGTTTGTACAGAGACACTTACAGTATGCTGGAGGGCATATGCTGACAGATCGAGTGGCGCGAGCGAAGGTATAGCACAGGTTGTTTGTCAGGGTTTGGAGCTGATCGGCTCCGAACTTGTTTTCGTCTTTGAGCACGACGTAGTGTGCTGGTCGCGAAGTGCCTTGTAGTCCCTATCACGATATCAGTACAAGCGATCATGTTGCTTCTTATAGAGAGAGGTGAGTGTTGAAGACGGTCTTCGAGCTGTATATGGCGGTGGTAGAGTCTTGGATGCTTTCTCCGGTTTCTCGTGCTTTTGATGATGTAGGTGACAGAGAGAGCAACATACTATCATAAATTAGCTGTATGTCACAGTGCGCGGATTGGCTTCCTTACCCTGATGCGCAAGCAGGAAGAAGTCGAACAACTTCTCGCCAGTAACACCCCGATCAACAACAGTACCCGGCTTCGGGTTGCCTGTGGTCCCGTCTGTATCCTCCATCTTTGTCGGGTAGAAACGCGTATGATGCCGCTTACCGACCATAACGATGGAGAGCTTCGGGTGCTTTGCCCTGGCGCCGTACAGTCTGTCGAATGCCTTGCTGAACGATTCACCTTCAGTCTCGACGACTTGCTGGTACTGGCCTTCACCCACTCCGTCGCGGTAGACGATAACCTTGTTTGGGAGACGGTCTTGGTTGCGCTTCTGCCATAACCGGAGACGTTCGATGATCATCTCCTCCAGGTCCGTGACCATCTCTTTGTAACCCTGTTGGCGACGCATGCTCGCGGGGTATTGCGAGAACATTGCATCGATCGAAGCCACTACACCAGCGATACTTGGTGCGGTTTCCGAACTTCCAGGAGATGGATGCGTCACGTCGATGCCGAAGATGATGGTTTGCGTGTCCAGTGGTGTCATCCTCTTGATATCAACCACGTGGTTGACGCCACCGAGCTTCTGGTTGACCTTCATTGCGACGTTTGCGTAGATTTGTTCTGACTTCTTGTCGAATTTTTTGCCAACGCAGCAGACACTCGGTATTCCGTACGTCAAGTCAAACAGAGACTTGAGTGTGTCGTAAAGTATAATGTTGTCGCTGGGCAGCAGGACCAACAAGAAGGTTGGTTTTTTAGGCAATTGAGTCCTCAGCCCAGTCTCAACCAATGATCGAATAGTATCCACAAATTCTGGATGGCGTTTTGCGTCCTCCAGGATTCCTGGTGCAATGTTGATGATGCATGGTTTTTGAGGCTCGATGAGATTCAGACCGTACTTGTTGAGCTCCTCCCGGAACTTGTGCAGATCGGCCTTGAGGCCCTCGATCCCGCCTGGAATAGTATCATATCTCCCGGAATTGATGATGAGTGTAGACCTAGAGGTTGGTGTCTATGTTAGCTCTTGTCTTGTATCCACTTCAGGTCCAGGTAAGCTTACCATTCACCCAGCTTCTTCACGACGCGGAATGGCGAAAGACCCAGTTCTGAGACCTTCAAGTTCCATGTCCCATTGTTCGGGGTCCGGTTCTTCAAACCCTTGTACATCACAGTTGGAGGCATCAGAATCCGGCCAGGTACAGTGATCATCCTGGGGTCGACCTTGACGCCGAATTCCTTCAAGTTCGTATTCTCACCATTTACCACTGGATTGATCATGGTAACTGTCAAGCCATTGCCAGTGATTGACTCGGCGTTTGCATGTGGCCTGCGGGCAGCAAATGTGATCATTTTGGCCGTTTGATCAGATGTGAGCAGACCTCGTTTTAGCTGACCAGGCAGGATCTTGCACAGCTCAGCTGGTATCCAAATTGGGTTTGGGTCATCAGCGTTTCTAGCATTGGCCAAAGGTGCTCGCGGAAAGTGGAGTCTTATGTTGTGCTCCTCCAGGAAGTGCTGCTGGACTGTAGGGTGAGTGACGTTTCCATTGGCGTCCGTTTTTGAGAAGGTAACATTCGTTGCGTTCTTTCCATAAGGGGCGAGGATTACGGTGCGCACTTGACGTTTGGTTCCTTTGTTCTCTTTGTTTTTGCTACTGTCGTCAGGCAGATAGTTCGTCTCAACTCTGATGGGACTGAAGAATTTCGAAACCTGTTTATGACGCTGTTCGCTAAGTGGTGGGTAACTTCCACAGACCTCTTTCATCATTTCAATAAGGGGTCTGAACATGGGTGCCAGAGTTAGTGTACGACGCAAACGAAATTCCTGCGTAGAATCAACTCACCCAGAATTATAAAAAGCACCAGTCGCGACGTTGAGGTTGACGAGCATTCTGCTCGCGCTTGTACGCACACTGGTGAAGTATCCGCGTTGAGCCTGAAGACCTTCCTCGAGGTCGGATGACTCCATTTGGGGATGATTACCGAAAGGAAAGAACTTGTTTCCTGCGGTGGTGATGTTGAGCGCAGTGCTGGGTCCATGTGCCATGATAGTGTTCAAGGCATCAATAGCCTCGAGCTTCAGTGGATAGGTGGATTTCGGTCCAGACAGATCTTGCAGAAGGTCTGCGAGCGAGACAGAGCCGATTGCTTGGACGCGTATGTGATACGTCTTTCGTGTGCGAGCCTCTGTTAGTCTGGCTTCTTCGTTGGGTGTGGGTGGAGGCAAAGGTCCACGGTCCTTGTGGTAGAATTCAACGGTATACTCTTGGCCTTCTTCGGCGAGTGGTATCTTTTGTGCGGACACAAGCTTCTGAGTCCAATCACTGGCAATCTTGAGTGTCGAAAAGGGTGGCATGTCCAGTAGTATCTCTATCACCCGCTTCTTCTTGACTTTCTTGTCCTTCAACTCTGACTCTTCCGCGGACCGAAACGCGAGTGAGTAGCGGTACAGATCTTTGTTCTTGTTTGCGGCTTTCAATTCGAAGTAGTTAGCGTACAGTGCGATAGCCCTTCCCTGCATGCCATAGGCAGGTCGGGAGGGCAGTTTGAAATCCAGGGAGCTGGCCGCCATCGCTGATGACAAGCCAGGTTTGACCATTTCGTTCTCTAGCTTGACGACTTGAGGATTGGGTGCGGGGAATTGGCCGTTGCTGTGTGGATGTTAGAAATCTACGTATGTACCTGTATAGAGGCTCCTGTCTGCATAGCTGCGACATCTACCACAGTGATGCACTATCTGATCGATAGTCTGGTGCGGCTTACCCATAGACTCTAGCCACCTCACGAGCTGGTTTATAGTAGCCTGCACCGCCACCACGCCCTCGCCCTCGTCCCGTCATCGTGGATATGGTGTTGAGGTCTGGTGTTGTAGACGTTTGAGTGTTGAGCGAGCGACAGCAGAGAATAGTGAATATGTGAGTTGAATAGCTTGTGTGAGAGTCCAAAAGTTGGAAGACAGGAAAGTTGGAGGAAGCAAGGGAACATCTGTTGTTAACTCTCGGAGCTGAGACCTGTCTTGACGCGTTGCTGCCGGGTGGTCACGTTATGGAAGGGTCGAGCGGTGGGCTGGCGGCAGTTGAGACCGTCTTGCAGGAGCCCTGACTTACCAATTGAAGAAGCTTCCGCAGCTGAAATATATGCTTGGGTGCCGCAGGAGACCTCAGATTGACTTGCTCAAAAGGAGAATTGGCCCAGCGGGCTTAGCCATTCGACCACAGCTGCTACGCCGCCATCGCCATCCAATACAATCCAGCAGCAGCAGGAAAGCGCTCCCTGAACATTGCGTCTTTGGTCTTCTCCGCTGACTCACTGGTTGTCTTATCTCATGTGTAACGTTCTCTGGACTAGCATTGGACCATGGTGTCCAAGTCTCACTGGATAGACCGCCAATCCGCAGTGCCATCTCCAATTGACTGAAGCCTCCGGGGGCTTTCAAGACTAATAGCGAAAGTGACTCCGTGTTTCCCGCGCGTATGTTGCAAAAGGCTCTCGTGAAGAAATGTCAATACTCGAGACAATTCAAATGGATATTTTCTGCCACTGTCAGATAGACCGCAAATACGTTTGCATCTTCTCAATGTTGGTTCGAGTTGATCTGTCATATTCCGGGTTGCAGGGTTGTTTGTCGTGATACGTGTTGGACGGATGTATCTGGGGTAATTGGAGGCGGCTGTTGTAGTTTGCGCACGGACTTTGGCGCGACATCGGCTTGAATATTCGGCGTCACTTTGCAAGAACATCACCAACCCGACCACACAACACAACGCCATGCCACCACGATTAAACTTCCCCGCGCTTACGCGGTCAATCGCGTTCCGGCCCAGACCCCAAGTCCAATTTCCTGCTCGAGCAGCGCTTCGCCTGTCACCGTCGCAATGCCGCCTCTACTCGGACTCCACCAAGCCGCCAGCCAACGACCGGACGAAGCGAGAGGACGCGAAGCCGATTGAACATGTTTCTGAAGAGGCAGCATCCATGGCGAAAACAATGGGAGAAGATGGCCCCGACCTAAACCAGGGCACCTCGATTG